CTATTATTGGCTTGCCATATTTGCGGGCCCCCAATTTTGGTCCACTGCGCTACTACTACTGCAGGTATCAAATAACTGCTCCCATGCATGAGCGTCGATCTACACGTAGTTCCTGGTAATCATTCATTTTTGCCAGATATCAGGAAGAGGGTAGTGGCCCGGAATTTTGAAAAATCCATGATCAAAAGCGTATACTAGTGTCTTCGTAAGCTTGATACGCTTCTATCTCCCAGGAGCCAGTTATCGCACTGAAGCACCGCTGGTCGATTACCTGGCTAGGTTCTCCACAAAACGTGTAAGTGTAACAGCGGTAATGTAACCCAGTCGTAGGAGTGAGCCTCAAAAACAATAGCATGAAGGCGGTTGCCGAGGACCCGGCTTGGATACTGGGTATGTAAATGACCGGAAACGCGATGGTATTCACGTGGGTAGATGAGTCCCAAAGCCGCTTCCAGTAGATCACACCAGAGCCAATCAAAGAGTTAAAATCGCGATGCAGCCGAGAACATTTGTGGAGGCAGTGTGGTCCGCCCAGTGAAAGCGTGGAAGACCACATGTGGTATGCTACGCAGGTTGACCTCAATGATAATGTTAGCGTGGTACTTCCATCCCTAGTTGATTATTAATACCCTCTCTAACCGCCTTCCAAAATAGTGCTAGCCTAATACCACACATTTCAAACCTTTCCTCTCTTCTAGAATCTCCTACCACCTACCTACCTACCTACCTACCCCTATACCATGGAGACTAGTGACACCCCGCAGACCCCTAGTCATAAGGCTACTCGTGATCAACGTATCGCAGCGCGTACGCTACGCGCTCGAGGGGATACCTATGCCCAAATTGCATCGAAATTAGGTATCACTCAGCGTCAGGTCCAGAAAGCCTGTACTGATGAGAGGCCTACACCGCGCAAGGCCCCCGGCCGAGGTCGAAAGCTATCAGAAGAACAACTCGATGAGATAATTGATTATATCTCATCTTCAAAAGAGACACGACGAATGCCTTACTCGAGGGTTATTCAAGAACTATAACTTCCTGTTAGTTCTGAGACCTTACGAAGAGCTCTAGCTAGACGTGGATATTACCGATGTAAGGCCCTCCGAAAGCCTCCTTTATCGGATCGTACACGAGCACTGCGTTTAACCTGGGTATTAGAGCACGTTAACCAGACGCGCGAGCAGTGGGAGAAGGTATTATAGACTGATGAGACCTAGGTTACATCGATCTATTATCGACGGATCTATATTACCCGTAGGGCCGGTAAGGAATTCGATGATACTTGTATACGAGATCGAATCTCTTACGCACCTAGCTAGATGTTTTGGGGCTTATTCTATGGTAATAAGAAAGGCCCTTGTTTATTCTGGGAGAAAGAATGGATTAAAATAATGCGGGGCAGTCTTAGGTTTGCCACTGAACTGAAGCTTTATTAGACTCATACAAAAAATTGTGATCCCTGGATGAGCACAGTTACTCCTAGGAAGGGGTTTGAAGCTCTCAGGATCGCGGGTTATCTTCCTAGGGTTGTAAAATCTGTCTCTGGGAACATGAACACCGCCTCCTGGAAAGTATATTGATCCTGGAACACTAAGGTCATATTCCCAGAAACATTTCCGTCGATCCTGGGAACAGAATTCTCCAAAATATGGATGAAGAAACTTTTGGGCTGCTGCACGTACGGATCCACTCCTTTCTTCACAGCCCTATCGACTCAGGAACATGTTGGCAAGCCCCAGTAACTCTACTGCTCCTGGAAACTCAAGCCGCGTCCTTAAGAGGTCAACAGCGGATCTCCGGGCGACTGAAGTACCTCTGGGATCGCCTCGAGTGTACCTGGGATTGATGTGAAGGATATACGGAATACATGAGCTTGCAGTACACAGCGCTAGCTCTAAGAGCGTGCAAGTCGACTCTAGAAACTTTGTTGCTCTTGGAACCTCTCGTACAGTTCCCAGAGCAGCAACATGCCCTCTGTGGAGCGAATGGAGTGTCTCTAGGATTGGCTTTGAGTGATGGTGGTTTCCAATAAACATCTGAGGGTTCAAGGTTTCCCATGTCTCCTTTTCTTGCGGTCCCCTGAGCCCCATTTTCACACGAACAACTGCTACGAGGTACAGAACAGTTGAGAGATGCTGCCTATTCAGAGAGATCCTAATTTGAGCTTCAGTTTCCCTCCCAACCATCTCTAAAACACGCCAGAATACCCATTCATGCTGGGGGAAGAGCGAGAGCAACAACGTCACTCAGCCTTATTGGCGGTGATCAGTGGGGCCCAGTGGAGATTCGGGACTCCTAACCCAAAATGGGCCAACCTGTCCTCAGGAATACAAGGGCTTTGATATTGAGCAACGTGACTGTGTGGGCTACCTTGTCAGTCAGTCCTACTGGACTGCTCTGGTGGAGAGCACATCGCCGCTAACGCAGGCCCACTCGAACACTACTATTTCGGAAAACACCCGGTTCCAACCGGTTCCGCGAAGCTGAGCGTTGAAGTTGGCATGTCAAAAGATGAGGCACATGATCTGTTATAGCTGACATGCCTTCCTGTGGCTTTGATTATGTATTAGTGAACGATAGTAAACGGTGGAACAATATTCGATGGATTGGGGAATTTCCAGGCCTACAATTGACCCTAGTTAATTGAAAAAAATTTTGAGGTCGACAGATCGTAGGAAAGATAAGGAGATGGGCGGATCTACAAGATCAGGTAGGTATACCTCCGTTCTGAAAACTATGTACCCGTGCTGAAATTTCTATAATGCCAGGGAAGTGCGGCGTAAATAGTAGGTAAGCATGAGCTAATTTGTATACATTAATTGGTGTTTTAGTTGTTGAGAGAGTTTGCCCTCTCCCAGATTTTTGCTAGGCCCAGCAGCAGTCATGTGCCTTGAGGGTTTTTCTCCCGCTCATGGGTTTTCCCTCCCTCTCTCGCTCTCTTCTTCCTTCCCTCTAGACTTCCGAATCCCAGTTGTCTCGCCTCCAGATTGCTTCCTTGCCTTGTAGACCTGTAGGTCTATCAGCTGTTGCTGAATAAAGGATTGTTTTCATGAGAATTGGGCGATGAAGAAAAAAACGGGCAAAAATATTAAAATATGAGGCATACAAAGCATAGGGTATAATCCATGGGACCTCTAACACTAGCTTTAATTGAGGGCAAGGTATGTTGCTTTTGGTGCAAGTGATTATCTCCTCCTTATTTTTTCTGCAGGGATGCTCATTCTACAGTTCCCGTCCAATTTTCCATTAACCTGTTCAAAACTGAGGATACTGTCCAAGATTACCATGATCAAGAATGCTTCGCGTCTATAAATATCGTGTCGGAGATCTACGTCAATCCTCTGGCCATGGGTTCTGTGAGCGATGGCACTTCAGTTTGCCTCTGGCACAGATCCTATTCCTTAAAAAGGGACTTGACTACCACAGATAGGTCAGGTACGTCATTTCATTTTTCCACGAGGTCCCTTGGAATGATTGCATGATGTCTAACAGCCAAGACTAGAGCATGCCGAAGCGTGTTTCGTCAGACGGACAGTGATAGAGGTAAGCGTATTTCCCCCATTTCAAAAGAACTTCGCTGACTATTGGCTTTATTGTGAACCTTCCTCAGCGAAATGACAAAACATAATTATCCTTCGAAGTAAACGGCCTCTATTGGAGGACGAAATGCGGACCTCGCGAGTGATGCAACTGAGATAGTATTCTCGCTATGGTGACTGTACTTGCAGAGGATTTTGAAGATGGACCCAATTTATCTATGTACTGACGAGGCACACTAGGTACCATCGAATCGGCGTATGTTTTGGAAACGGCGACTAAAACCACTCATAGCGAAAGGTTGTCGTGCCTGAGGCACCGATCCGCTCGAGCCTTCAGCGACAGGTGTCACCGCCCTTGCTTTCAGACAACAAGCTGTCCCTCCCAGAACTGCTTCCATCTTCCGCTCCGAACGGTCGTCTCATCTTTGCTGCTTGTACTGCCATTGACGGGCTACAGAGAATGCGTTTGATGTCGATGCATGGAGCTTTGCCTGCCCACATTCGGTGTCGTTCGTCCGCCCAGTTTTGGCACTCGAGCAGGATGTGCCTTACGGGTTGCGGCCCGTGGCCGCATCCGCATTGGTCGGAGTCGGCCTTGTTGATGGCGCAGAGGTATGCACGAGGCCCGATCTTGCCCGTGCGCATCTGTGAGATGGCGGAGGTGATTGCTCTGTAAGTGCCAATGTGCGCGTCAAGCATCGCCTTCCCTGGAAAGCTTTTGAGGGACTCTAAAGAGGTTCAGCTAAGTGGCAAACCTAAGGATATCTGAATTGGGTCAATCCTAGAAGTATTCCACTCAATCCCTGGACGTAGAAAACTGATTATAGTAGCACGATAACTCCCAGGGTCAGCTATGTGTCTCCAGACCGTATAAATTCGTTAACACGGCTAGTAGCTCCAAGGAACCAACAGCGTGAGCCTAGAGGCGATGTAAAGGGGAATTAATGATTACCGAACAAATGCGCATACTGTACCAATCTCGCTAGAGGGGGTTACACACTGCCAAGGCTCTATGAGAAATGACAACATGCTTCTTATGGTCGCAGATTACTTGTTCATTTACAATTACGTTCTTTCGTACATCTTATCAAAACATATCGAGTTGTGAAAGCAGATCACTTATTCAATTATCAAATTCGATGTGAATATGTGTGCTTGATCTGGGTACAAAATTGACTACGCATACACATTATAACTGGCTAATTTTTTTGCTTGTTGTTCCGACGTCAAGCATTCCCCTAACACAGCCAGTGTTCGATTAAATATAGCAACAAGGATGTTTCAATGTATTGTCAGTCAGCTTCGCAAGGTTCAAGAAATCCCCTCTTTGCGTTCTCAGAGGATGAATGCAGCACGTACTGCTCCTGCTGAGCAGCCGCACGAACGAGAGGGTGGAACGGCATTATGGGCTTCGTGGCTTTCACAGAAGCTCTCCATGAAGTGCAACTATCGATCCCAATATCATCTTGGATTACTTCCCACTGGAAGTGGATGTTTGCTGGACCACCAGATTCTGAGACCAGCTTGGTTCAGCGTACCAGTGACTTGTGAGTAGTCTAACCACAGATTGTCGATAGGACCGCGGATACCGTGGGTAGTCAAAACCCGAATCTTACCAGCAAATATGCCTAGAAAGTCTCCCTCGCGCACGGGGACGATGGAATAGACGAATAAAGAGCTGCCATCTTTAGGCAGGAGGAAGGTAAATGCGGACTTATCAATCCCACATTCGAGCCCTAATTGGTTGTCGTAAGGTGCGCATGTGACATCAGGAGAGAAAGCCTGTAGACCCTTTCCTTTGAAGCTTTCTTCTTCATTGGTGACAGCCCATTCATTTTTGGCATTGTTCCAAGAGCACTCGTGAACTTTCAGCCTCTCTACAACTTGGGGGTTCTCAAGATTAGATACGCGGATGAGGTCGCCTTTCGCGAGTTCGAGAGCTCGTGTTTCCAGTTGTTCGATATAGGGTCTATGTTGGGCCTCCCACTTCGTTATTGCATCTACAAGGGAGATTTTTGATGTCTTCGGGTATTCCTTGCAGTAGCCGTCGAATTCCTTGGTTCGGTAATAGAGGACTTTGCCAATACCGGCTTCGCGCATTTGGAATAGGTTTTTCTAGAAAATACGGCATTGCTGTTGGTTTTCAGAACCCAACCCGTATCTAGCATCTTCCATGAACTTCTTGGTTGCAGCTTTTTCTGCCATAGTGAATCCATCTGCAGGTCATTTCGCTGACGGCAGTTTTGTATGATCGAGCAACGCCGCAGCCTTGAGAATGATTTTCCAGAAAATTGTTTCGTCGTATCGATTTTGCAGACCTTTTCCTGTGGCCAAAGCATTGTCTCTGCGGATGACGTTAATTGCCTTCTCATAATCATATCCCGAAACTTCATCAACATATTTCTGGATTTTGTCAGCCTTTGTTGTTGTTGGGGCACTACTCGTTCGATGTCCGTACGGAGCAATAGCGAAATTGACCCTCGTGCATTCGAACAATATTGATGACATTGCTTTTACTGTATACGCGGAGTTTGCTTGATAGGATGAGGAAGTGTCAACGGGGATATCTAAATGGTGGGTACTTTTCAAATGGTCGTCATCAGGCTAGGCGGCTAGTTGATTTCTACTTGCTTGAGCCGACGCTGGGTCTTGAATGGCGGTGCTGTACATCCGGTATGCGTGCATGTATAACTGTCGGTTGCTCGAGCGCCATTGATCAGTGCCGTCGAGCCGAACGAGGTCCGCTTGTTTCCGGTGTAGGAGATTCGGCCATTGGGGACATGTCATAGATAGAGCGTAGGTGCGGCGTCGGCGGTTGGCTGGGGTGATGGTGGCGGCGGCGAGGGACGTCCGCGCCAGAATGTGGATGACGGTTGGGCCTGGGAAGAAGCATTTTTGGAGGTCTCTTTGGGACTGAAAGGGAAGAGGTGTTGTGAGAACGGACTGGGTGAGATGCGGGATGGGAAGAATTGCCATGAGGAGAGTCTGTCGATGCTGCAGACGTCGCACAGGACGAGGAGGGGCACAACGGACGTAGACCACTGAGCGGAGTGAAAGGGGACTCGCCGGGTGGAAGGCCACCGAGCGCGGATTGGATGGAGGGGAGGAAGTTTGCGTTCGGTTTGCTGCTGCCCGAGTCGGGGAGTGTGGCCACGGAGGATGGCAGAGATATGGACTCTAGAGGTGGTAAAGTCACACAGTGACCCAGCTCGGGAGGGGGTCGACTTGGGGGATGGCCATGATCGACTGAACACGCGGAAGCAGTCGCGACGAGACAAACTCGCTCTTGGAGTCGTTCTTGATCTCTGGTACCGCGGATGGTCGCAGAAATATGAGGAAAGGTTGGTTACGCGGCGATAGTGACGGCTCTCGTTCTCGTTTCCTTCCATTTCGCTTCAACTGCGGCTCTGTGCAGAGACTTGAACTTGGCATCATCCTCGACCGGGATATCTTTTTTCCGCAGTGCCCATCGCCGAGGGCCTTGGGACCTGGTGGAAAGCTCAGGGACGGTTGACAACGCTTTGACTGGCGTGGGAGATGGCAGTCGTTCTTTTATCTTGACCTAACCTCCCGGCCATCCAACAGCTCAAGGTGATGATCTTCACCACTTTGATCGGCAGGCAAGCCGGCGTTCTAGTTAATTTTGCTGTACTTCGAGCAACTCTTTTGCTCTGTCCGGAGTTTCTGTAAGCCCGAGATCGGACTCCCTTGCGTGTCGGACACCAAACTCTTAAGCTTTTCTTCAATGCTTCTTTTTACGGATTATTTACAACAAAAGGCCTTGCGCAATTCCTTATCCAATAATTAGACCATTTTATACATGCCTTTTCGAACTCTCTCTCCCGAGGACGTGATGGCTGGGGGTACGAGAATCATGCGAGCGGGGTTAGAAGGCGGTAAGATTGTCGTAGCTTATGGCAAACCTACCCTTGAAAAGTCCGCAAACCTGGCGGTTCAGGTCGGTATACACTACTTATGAAAAAGGTTCGAATGCTTGCTACTAAATTCCAGTAGGCAGCAAACTGGAGTGCCGAAAACCCGATTCTCGCTGCCTGCGCAGTTGTCGGCACCACCGGAGCGACTATTCTGGCAGCTCCTAGCCTTGCAACAGCCCCAGTACTGTCGAGTTTGGGCTTTACGATGAACGGTATACAAGCAGGTATGTGCAATGTGGTAGAAAATTCAACAAAACCTCCTCTGCCTCCTGTGCTGTGAAGCTTGAATAACCATTTGTTTCCACAATACAGGGTCTGCGGCCGCAACCGCCCATAGTTGGATCGGAAACATTGTAGCGGGGAGCGCGATGGCGATAGGACAGAGTGCTGGTGCAGGAGGAAATGGCCTGGTCATTGTTAACGGAGCTGCACAATTAGGAGGCGCGGTGATGACTCTGGGAAGTGCTGGTATAGCATGGATCAAGGCTCAATTATGAGCTGCATATTTATCGACATTCCGTCCTGTTGTGATATGAGGCTGTAGCTGCTCAGGAAAGAAGCCGCAATATCGGAAATAATTCCTGCACTATCTATACGAAGTCAAAGTTGATTGGAAATCAACTTGGACTTCCTGGTGTATATATGGCCTCTCTGTATCCCTCTGAAATGATAATAATCAAGCTTCCTTTTATACTACAACAAAAGGCACCCACAACCTAAGACCCATCGTGGGAGCAGACGAAGAAAAAGTCCGCAGTCGCATCGATGCAATCCGCTGATCTCCAAGCACGTCAGTCTAGCGTATGCACTGCTCGTCCTCTACACCTTTTCCTCAAAGGATTTGAAAGGTTTAAGTCCCGAAGACCTTTTGTATATTTTCACGTACCGGTAGCAAATTCCAACCCACACCGCTTCCCGCGTTTCCACAACCGCGAGCTGGAGGTCAGCAATCCAATACTAACGACTACTGACCACGGCAGGCCCCAAGGCTCTAAGGTCGTTTAAGAAGAAGCATGAGACACATATATTTACATTGATAGCTATAGTTGTTAGTTTAAACGTCTAAGCCAGAATACGAATTCGTACCTAGCCTAGTGGGCTGTGGTTTACAATCCAACTTTGCGAGCGGTCAGCATAAATGAAATCATCCATCCAGCCCTCCATCCATCCACGAATCCTCTCTCAATAGCAGCTGAAAGGACAAGAGAATGACGAAGGGTCCTGAACCATTTTACTTGCCAGCAAGTCTGCTTGCTTGATTCCGGTGTGATGCATCCGGAAGGGGAGCTATACAGCTACTGTGGTTGTTAATACTGCATGTTTCAATGCAAGATACTCATACACACTGAATGGCTGCTGTGACTCGTCCGAGATATTTCACACCAGATGCCACGGCGACCATCTTTGAGCCGCAACTGGAGGCCGCTCCACAACCGTTGAGATATGCGATACCCACAGGTCTATTAGAGCGTTACTTCCAATATTTAAGAGCCTCTCCTGGGAAGCGGAATCATGCCATAGGCATGCTAGGCTACACTGCCTTGAAACTCAGTTCACAGCCAGTACGATTGTCCCAGGGGCACCGTTCCTAAGAGCAGGCGGCCAATTCTGCATTTGATACAGTTATCAACTGACGACAAAAATTGTTATTGTGGGGGTTCTTTGAGCCATGACTATGAAACTTGGAGATGGTTTAACTTTGTGACCATCCCAGGATCTAACTGACGCTTCCTGGGGTGGATGGCACCCCCGGGATTCATTTAGTGGTTCCTAGGACATGCAATGCCCATCCCAGAAGATGTACACTCAATCTAGTGTGATTTTTAAGTTTTTTCTCCCAGGATCTCTCGGTACGTCGTGCCCATCTAGGACTTTTCTGTTACTGAGGTTGGGGGCTAAAATCACAAGCCTAGCCCAATGCTACAATTCTTTACCAATGACGAACATATAAAGCGTTATTTGGGCCCTCAATCCTTGAGGCGTTTATTGTAGCCCACGTGGGCTGTTGGCGAAATGCCTCCATATAAGCCTCCCTGTGCAACGTACAGTCAGAAACATTCAAACCACAGCAACTAGTTTTTGTAGTCCAAATACCAACCCCAAGATTTCCTTTGTTGACGAATTTCCCCTTACTGGTCAAACCTCTAATAGTAAAAGACTTGAGAGCATCAGAGAGCTTGTAATCTATTATCTTTTGCACGATATCTCCTTCGTTCCATCTTCCATTGTCAACGATGGATTCCCAAACCCGCCATTCAACCATGTTACTAGGAAACATCACCGGATTAGATCAAGCTGGAAATACCGCCTCATAATTCCCTGGAGCTTAGGTTAAACGATGGTTACATAATCCGTTTGGGTAGTGTGGTCAGTGTCATCAATTTAACTCTACAATTTTTGAGACCTTTAAGTGGGATGCGCCAGGTTCCGTTGAACAATCACAGCGGTGGAGGTCTAAATATTGACGGCATATCTGCAGGAAGACATTGACTGCGTAGGGGTCTAATATCTATAAATACAGTATGATAGAACTCGGCTATAGTCTCAAGCAGAAGAACCGTTCAGCTTTTTAAAACCAGTCATGTCTACTGTGGAGTCTGTATCCAGCTCTGTAGACAGTAATATCGCTACCCCGTTTGTCCGTAATGATATCCACCAAGCCATATTTAATTATGAGTCAAGAAGCCGCCCTCAGTCATTCCTCCAATTGCACTCGAATAACCAGTTATCTCAAGATGTCACCCGAGAGCCACTAGGGAGAATCATCAAGGGCTCTCCCAAAACCCTATGTCTCCCAGCGTTGTGCAAATTGGACGACATCTCTGTGGTGCTGATTGTGAGACAAGAGTGTCCATGGGATACATATCGCCCGGCAATAAGATGTGACATTGCAGGCAAAGTGATCATCGCTAGCCGCCGATCCAATCGATCACGGCTCCAGGCGATCCGTCAGTATTCTGGATCCGACGCCAAAAGCCTCATCCAGCGATTTGAATGTCTTGATCATGCCAACGTTCTCTCAGCTCGGGACTGCTACCTCGATGGTCCCTCCCTCTACGCACTGGTCGAAGATCTTCCCCTCACACTGCAGCACCTTGTGTCGTGCCCCAGGATCTATCCCACCGAGCTGGAGCTAGGGTCGATAATGTCTCAGGTACGATGTCTTGCGGTGGTGTTGGCGAGAGTCTACTGACAAAGAAAGATCTTGGCCGGTCTACGTTATCTGAGCACCGTTGGGCTCTCCCATGAATCTCTTTCATGCCGTGAAATACTGCTCGGCCTAGATGGGACGGTCAAGATTGGTGAGCGTCCTTTATTTATCTGAAGATGCTGCTAACAATCACGTAGCCTGTCTGGAGAAATGCATAGAGGGGTCGCCATCCGAGTCACAGACGAGATACATCACAGCTCTACCGTCCATAATTATGTCACTTATACAAAAGCACGAGAAGGTGAAAGGGATTTCGGGGGTAGATGACGTGCATCGCTGGCCAGTCGATTCAGCTAGCGTTGGATTCTTGTCTGCTTCCTCGCTGGCACAATCCATCGCATCACTGCAAGAGGTAAGGTGGTGAGGTGATACAAGGTCGCTCAGGAGCCTCACTGATGTTGGCTAGCATCCCCTTGTTGCCACGAGGCACCGACCTGCGGCAGATCTCGTCATGCTAGCACGGATCGTGTTCCTTGTTGCGGAAGTTCCAGTCTCTTACGAAATCGAGTAACGTGCCACCACACATCTCGGCCCGGAACAAGAATTGGGTGTTGACCTGTACATTGTGGGCCTACCGCTGCGCTTTTTGCAGGGATCCCGATCCCGTTGATGGAGAACTGCTAGCTAATGAGGCTCCGCATGAGGCGAAATAAACAACCCACAGCAAAGTCACCTTGGATCGTTTGTTCTCCTGCGTTGCTCGGTCGCCTTCGGAACCTCATGTCTTAAGTTATCCAGGGCAATCTTAATACCACTCCGTCATTGCGGTCATTGACGATAGCGACTATGAAGTATCGAATCCGGCGGATATTCTGCATCTGTATAACACACATCTGGCACTTTAGCTGCCTTGGCGTCATCGTGCATATTCGACCAATTCAACAGCCATCGTTCCAACGAGGTCCTACCATACGGGATATCCACCATTTTACGCCAATCGGTACGGAGATCTTGCACCCTCGTATTTTTCTTAGGTGCGAACTGCTGCTTCAGCCGTACCAATTGGCGAGAGGGACACGTCACATCTGCGAGGATACCATGCCATTCAGGTGCTAACCAGTCCTTGGTCTTCGACGGAATACGTGCCATAGGTTTGCTGAGTGAGTGTTTGAAGGATCTCTCTTCCTTGAGGAAATATAGCAGATCTTTATACTCAGCTAGCTCTTTGGCATCTAGGCCGCTGGCTGATAAGGCACCGGGCTTGATGAGACTCGGTTCTGGCCATACCCTACTGCTTAGGGCAGGTAACTACCTTCAGGACCTCTGTTTCGGTCTTACCTGAATGCAAATAATTCCATACATACTCTGCTACCGCAACAGATTTGATATAAGAGATCCAAACCCGCCATTGGTGAAAGCTGCCCAGCAGGAAACCATGGGTTTGATGCCCTTCAAGCCCTTGGATCTTCTCAGACTTACCCATTTTTGCATACAATCTACTGCATGTAGGACGCACGTGGATATATCCGCAGCAAATCGGATAAGGGGGCATCCGGATTACCTTCAAATGCCAATCTGAATTGAATAAGTAGGAAGATGATCCGTCAGAGAAGATTTCGAATTCAGAGCCAACGTGCGGTCGGGCTCATAACAGATAAATTATGGGATTACGGTATGGCCGGTTACGCATAAATGGGCTAAGAGATCCAAGGGCAACAAATCCGAATTGAGATAAACGAGATGATTCAAGAGAAGAAGAGATCAAACTTGGGCGAGAATCTGTTGAACGGTCGTCGCTTACGGTACTCATCTAAGAAAGGGGGTTTGAGCAGCCCTTGGAACTCTCCGAGTGTCGTAAACCCTTTGGTTGGACAACGAAATCACGACAAACACTAAATCAATCTTGCTCTAGTGGTTTTCTACCAAACGCACAATCCTCGACAGTGGGCGACGAAGAATAGGTGCGCAAATTGAGCTAGATGCTGAGGGACGATACAACTCCATATTGCTGGCAATATGAAGTCTGGATTCTGCCGAGGATTTCTGCCTTAGTTTTTATAAACCCAGGATGCAATCCTTTAAGCTAATTATATTGTAATTTCTTTTACAGCAGGTATTAGCGACTGATACCTTCCGTAGACCTTCTACGCTTAAATACTCTCTTTTGTCTTCATGCGCCATATTCTACCATAGCTAGACTAAAACTCACCTGGCGAGGCAAATGGACGAATACCACATAATTTAGGTCAGAATTGGCGGAACTCCACTACCTATGTGCTCTCAATATATGTTAACGCTGACGATGCATCACAATATCGCTAGATTCGCGAATGCTAAATCAACTGGCATAAGTTTTACTAACTAATGAAACTGCCTCAAGTGATGCCATATTTCATATGACGCTGCTAATGAATATTGCCGAACTGAGAGGTGGTGATTCACCACCAAGAACTGGTGGAATCACCCTCCATGTGAACTAGGACCATCCACGGTTTAACACGGTTGTACTAGCTTGAGACGCTCTCAACAGCTATCTCCAGGCTTCTTCAATTAACTGATCCAAAATTAGTTTCCTCATTATTTGCATGTCCGCAAACCTACGATCCGATAGCATTACACTATTGTATTGCACTGTATTACTGTTACCGACTGGCGAGTATGAGTGTTGAGCGGTAGTGAAAGGGGTGTTGAATAAATCCTTACGTTTCGGGTGCAGTGTCTAGTACTTTTAACTAAAACCGACTTGAAGCGTACAGCAACGTGTTCACTCACCCCAGCATAAATACTTCGCCTCTTCCCGCTATACCAGATAGACATTTTGCAACATGACTTTGCTTTGCTCTTGGGTTTTGATCCTTCCTCTTGTCTTTTCGTATGGGGTCACGTACGCAGAGTTTCATGCTTCTACTTCACCCGCGAGGTCCTCCGGGAAGGTCTCTGTCATCCTGAGTCGACTTTCGTCAACGTCTCAATTCGGGGGTACGACAAACTCAAGTGGCTATGGTGTGAAATATATTGGCAACGTCGGCGATCCCTATGGAAGCAACATCATTGAAGTACCTGAAAACACGGCCAATCAGTATAAATATGTTTTACGATTCGAAGGACCAGTGGCAGGAGAAAGCTGGACTGTGGTGATTTGGAACAAAATAGGGCCGGATGGTTTGCTAAGCGGCTGGTATGGCCAGGCCTGCAGAAAATTCATCTTAAAGTCGGGTCAGTTCCGGTACATCGCAGTCGATGAGAACTCTCAAGGAGGGTGGGCTGCTGCCCCTGGAGATTCTATACCGGTCGACTCTCAGGGTGGTTACGCTTCCACATGGGGCGAGTTTGACTTCGGTTCAGTCATCAACTCCGGTTGGTCAGGATTCGATGTGTCAGCCATAGCCGCACAAAATGCGGGCCTACCAGTCCAAGGCATGAAAATTTGCGATGTTCTGGCCGGTATCTGTTCTTTTGTCACTAAGGACGCCGCCCTTATCCACAATGCATACATAAGTTCCCTTGCCGAGGTTGGTGGTATCGGAGGCAATCTTTATCCCGGGCCAGTCAGACTCGCAGTGACGATTGGCTACGATACTGCAGCTTAGCTTTGAGCGGAGGGTTTGAACTGATAGGGCCCGCAGAATACAATGAGGCATCAATATATTCTTGCTTTAATAGCTGGGGAAAGTTCCCTGTATACTACCATCATGACCGTAATGCCATCCATAGGCTCTAAATGAAAGGCAGAGCCATCTGGCTTTTTGGAACATGTGGTTAAAGTTCATGTGCGCAGTTACACAAGGTTCTGCAATTGCAGATTGGTGAGGCCCAAAGGGCTTGGGCCAGATAAGCGTTCTGATTAAAATGATAGAAATCGAAGGTAGTCAAAGCCGCGATCTGCAACTGGGAGGTCTGGCGCGTAGGGTGTCTGTCGATTGTCGAATGATACAGTAGAGACGCCTTCTCTTTGTCTGAGACGAGTAAAGAGCGATGACTAAACAAACATTTGGGTGACCTTCGAATTAGCGTAGTTTTCCGGTTTGGCTGGGAGCATGGCTAGCACTCTCCGTCGTGACTACTACAGTAGCGCCCGCACTTCTGACTTCACCCTTCTATTTCACCACCCTCTCTTTTCACCACCCTCTCTTTTCACCACCCTCTCTTTTCACCACCCTCTCTTTTCACCACCCTCTCTTTTCACCACCCTCTCTTTTCACCACCCTCTCTTTTCACCACCCTCTCTTTTCACCACCCTCTCTTTTCACCACCCTCTCTTTTCACCACCCTCTCTTTTCACCACCGCCCTATACCCTACCTCCCTTAGAATAGGGCTCTTCTGTGTCACGTCAATCATCTGGTTCTACTGAGAGATGTAGTCTCAATTTGCACCGTTTTTCTGAGATTGCCGCCGCTTCATCCGAGGCAACTGCATGGTGAATCCATATCATTTTGAAGGTGTTTGCTTCACGGCGCCTGCGGGATCTCTACCGCTGGCCCAGGCGACCTAGCCAAACTCAACCGTTGTATTGTGCTACAGTGGATTTCGAAGACAGATTATCTCCAAGACACTCGCACTTTCTTTCACAGCACCCCACTACGCCCACGCTAGACTAAATTTGGTCAAGGGATATTCCAAATTTTTTCCCCGGAATATTTTTGGTACTGTAGTCCAGCAAAGTTACCGTAATAACAGGTTCCGGCACCGGCAGAACTCTCTACCGAAGTGCATCACCCTTCCACTTGGACATTTTGCCCAACACACCGACGGTTTATCTCGTTCTACATGCTCGAATTCATGTTGGTTTGTAGTAGGCGAAGCGATGATACAAGTGTCTTATTAATGGGAACCCGACTTTATGACGTACAGTACTCTAATACGGTTTGCAGCACATAGTGTTCGCTCACTGGTGTAATCCTTCCCAGTCAGAGCTGCTTTAAAGGACACCACAAGCGCAGTCTCAGGATACGAACGGCGATTGAGCCATGATACATTAGGTCACAGCAAGCATTTGAGTTCGTACAAGGAAGTAATGTTCATTGCTTACGTGTATGTTTTGGAAAATATATAATCTAGTTGAGGCAGCCTCTTATATGGCATTAGTGGCATTGATTGACCAACCAACCAAGTGGCTTTATTTAAATCATGTGGAATTTATAAGAATTTAATATATACTTGCATCGTGTGGTTACTAACTGTTGGTATCACCAGCTAGGTACTGTGTACACAGTTAAGTGGACAGCATGTATGCTCCAAAAGCAGAAAGTAAATTGATTGATTTAGATAGATGTGTCCCCCAGGTTGGAAAGTACCCTTGAATCCCATACGATGGGATTCACGGCTTAGCGCACAGACATGTTGTCTTTGCTTCTTCTTCTTCTGACGGGAGGATATGTCCCGACACTAACAGTAGAAGAAGTATTTATAGAGCTCCTGAAAGCCGGTACAAACCTGTTCTCTCGAGGCTACTCATATGGTATGTCTTGCAAAACCTTCTCATTCGTCCTCAGTAAATGCGAAAGTAGATGCACAGTGTTACGGCGTGGCCGAACAATATTGCGATACTATACTATATATACCGGACTCTGGGCAGTATCCGCAACTGTGGATATTAGTGATCTTTTATGGTCTTGTTGGTTAGTGTCTGCCCAGAACGCTTCCGTAACACACAGCGCTGACAAGTTCAGCTTGTTTTTGTTGTATCAGAGTACCATGTTTTTGATGAACATAATTTTGGTGAATTGAAGTTCGATTCCATCACCAACAGGGATCCTTCTGGGCCCACGTCATTTGCGGGCCCTGTGATTTAGGGATAAGGCTTGGAGTCCAGTAAATCTACATCCGAGTCCCATTTCATGGCCTCCATCTCTGCTGTACTGTAAATGTAGACGAGCTATGGTCTTCCATTTCCCCGAGAGCCACGCCATATCAACAAATCAGGTCGGTGTCTGCGTTAAAAAAGAGACCCCGAACATGAAACCATCGTGGTTAGCACCACAACCTTAACAGCCGCATACCACAGGAGTGCTATATGTACTTGCAAAATACAGAGAATTTCGGAAAACAGTTTCCCCTCAAGAAACAGGTTTTCTTTCCCATGACCCACTAACGGTCTAGGCCAGAATCGTCGAACCTTAAAATGTCCAGCCCAGCCAATCACCCATCTAGTCTCTACTCGAAGAGGCTTAGCCTCTACCGTATCAGGCTTAGATTAATTGGAATGGGGCACCTGGAAAGACTGTCTGTGTCTCCAGAAGGGAAACTGTTTTCGAAATTCTTTGTATAGAGTGCTACTTAAGGAGGTGCAAGGAGTAGTAGTAAAACAAGCGAATATCACTCCGTTCTATGCTCGCTGCTTGCTGGGGCACATTCATAGTCATATTGGCTCTGCTGAAAACTGTATATCTAGTCATTTTAGGCCTGGTAAGACTCGCCCAGTGGCTTCTTTGAGGGTGTTCCAGAACAAGCCATACGTTTCTAAAATGCTTTTGCTGTCCTCAAATGACGTACCTTTCTTGTGCGGGTGACGTCTTCATGTTTGCTTCTCATCCAGGAACCTGCAGCCATAGTTCTAAAACACCGAAAATTGACGTCTCACAGTATCGGCCATCTGTCCTAGCAGTCCCCTGATCATTGACTCCTGCCAAAACTGCACTGAGGTCACGAGTCATGAATCATGAAGGCTCTCGGCCAAACTTTGGTCATCGAGATCCTCCAGGAAATCAATACGTCACCATTAGCTGAGCGACAACTTCCTCTAGTACTTATAAGTCCAATCCTAGTCCCTGAGATTCTTGAACAATAACTATATTAATATATTCTGAAGAAAGACAAACACTACTTGGCGACTTTGAACAATCAATTCTTGACTCAAACTCAATTGAGAATGCGTCTCCACACAACTCTTGTACCATTGGCTCCTGCACCTGATACGGGGCCCGATTGCATGAGATGCGGCAAGCCTAGCGACGAATTCGTGACGAAAACTTCGAACCGTAACAACAATGCAGGTCGACCATATTTTAAATGTGTCCCATGCAATAAATTCTTGGTTTTCAATGACATCCGTGGCAATGATCCCGATAACCCGGTCTGTTATTGTGGTGTTTCCAGTAAACGACAAGCTGCAGGGCGCTATCGCCAAGTTCCGCGTGGTGTACATTATGTCTGTCGACTCGGCCGGTGTAATTTTTATATGCCACAGATAGGGAGTACCGGCCGTCAGGTGTCTCTGGAAGATGTTGAAGAAGAGCTTTTGCAACTGCTAGTTCGATTTTGTGTAATTTAAAGGCTTCCTAGATGGTTGTTTGCCTGGAGGTCGAAAAATGGAGTCTGTTGTGAGATGAGGCATGTTTTACGATGGAAAGAAGTTGTAACATCGGCCGATAAAGAACCCTTCTTTTACAGTATCATCCACTCTCGGTGTTGTTTGCTTCCATCGTCAAATCGTGCTCAATTGTGCGTCCAGGCCGTCATGCTGCGGCCACATTCAAGGGCCGGAGGTGCCATGCTCCTAGATGCTATTATTTCCAAGCAATCTGCGTCCGAGGGTCTTCTTTGTACCGCCAGCTCACTTTGCCATTCGCGAATACCGTGTCATATGAAAGTCATCGGTGATTCCTTAGCGGCATCTCCAACAATGAAGCCCGGGTTCTCCAAGCTTGTGGAAAACCAAAACTTGCTCCTGACGAACTTGGTGCCTTTATGGCGAATCCACTCTTCTCTTAGCGTCCAACCATCATTGAAGATCTTTTCGTCAAGGGCCGACCGAGGCGGCGTGGCCAATGGTGTGTTCAGCTTGAATTCCGTCCGGTACTTCTTCTGAGCGCATCGCTCGCGCTCTAGGACAACTAGTAAATAGATAAACCCGAGCTCCCAGCAATGACATACGGATGACTTCCCAAGAGTGAGAGGTGATTTGATTTCTACTGCGGAGGTGCGACCACACGGCAGAATAGATCAGCCCGTGCTGGAACCTGTTATTACGGTAACTTTGCTGGACTACCAAAATGTCGGAGCAAGCTGAGACAGTAGTGGCTAGTAATCCTAGTAGGTGAATAGGGTCGAGGATGAGGTCAAACGGAACTAATACAGGATGATTGAGTTGATTGATTGAAGAAAGAATAACTGCGATGGGAAGGTTGGAATACTCCCAGATGACTAGGATACATGCTATGCCAATCCCGTACTAGCGGTACGGGAATCCACAGAAATCCTGGCTCCGGACACAATCGAGGCACTAGACGCCACAGTTGAAAAGCTCACAACAGTAACTGCAAGTGCAGTCGACCATCATACAGCGGACCTGCGACTATCCCCATACGCAAAGCGGTGGTTTACCCCCGGTCTGAAGTCCCAGCAAAGAGGGGTGAACCAGGCGCGACGCAAATGGCAGATGAGCTGCGCAAACCTAGGACGGGAGGACCCCAGCACTATGGTGCTCTTCGAAGACATGCGTGAGAAGCGACGTGCGTGGACGCGGACAATTGAGAAGGCCAAGACATTACACTGGAGACGCTTTCTGGACGAAGCAGGCGAAGGAAAGCTATGTAAAGCAGCAACATACCTAAAACCGCGAGAGTCTTGGAGTTGTATCCCTGCCCTTAAAGTTGGTGGACGGGAGGTGACCGACAACCAAGAGAAGGCAAAGGCATTTATGGACTCGTTCTTCCCCATTATGGCGCCTGCTCAAGAGGAAACTCTCGTGCAGCCCTTAGCTGAACTTCCATGGCAGTCGATTTCAGAGATTGAGGTCTACCGATCTCTAAAATCGGCCAAAAGCTCGACTGCACCAGGAGAAGACGGTCTCCCGATGTTAATATGGAAACGCCTGTGGAGACATCTCGGAAACCTCATCACTCGGATCTTCGCGACGTCGATCGTGCTGGGATATCACCCTGTACGGTGGAGAACTGCCAAGATCGCAGTACTACGGAAACCCGGGAAACCGGACTACTCGCTCCCGGGGGCGTACCGCCCAATCTCACTGCTTAACACGCTCGGCAAACTGCTGGAGGCGGTCATAGCCTGGCGGCTGTCCTACTTCGCAGAGCACTACGGACTCTTTCCAGACACCCAATTCGGAGGACGGCCAGGACGTACCACCGAGCAGGCCTTACTAGTGCTAGCTAACGCCATCGATCGAGCCTGGCTCGGGCAGAGGGTTGTCGCATTAGTGGCCTTTGATCTTGAAGGAGCTTTCAATGGAGTCAACAAGACAAGTCTAGACGCCCGACTCAAAGCGAAAGGCATCCCTGCGGTGCTCCGGAGATGGATTGCAAGCTTTATGAGCGGACTACAGGCCAACATCGGGTTTGACGACTACCACACGGAGGTAACAGCGCTCGACAATGGCGGACTTGCACAAGGCTCACCCCTATCGCCTATCCTCTTCGCATTTTTCAACAGTGATCTAGTCGACCAGCCCGTCGATTTCCATGACGGTGCGTCGGCCTATATAGACGATTATTTCCGCTGGCGAGTCGGCCGGACCGCCGAGGAAAATCTAGCCAAAATCCAATCGGAAGATATACCGCGGATTGAAGGGTGGGCCCGTAAGACAGGGTCCTGCTTCGCAGCAGAGGAAACAGGACCCATTCACTTCACCAGAACAAGGAAAGAACAATATCAAGGCCAGATTGTCATGAACAGCTGATAGACCTACAGGTCTACAAGGCAAGGAAGCAATCTGGAGGCGAGACAACTGGGATTGGGAAGTCTAGGGAGAAGGAAGAAGAGAGAGAGAGGGAAAACCCACGATGGGGGAAAAACCCTCAAGACACATAACCGCTGCTGGGCCTAGCAAACATCTGGAGAGGGCAAACTCTCTCAACAGCAATGTCATCAAACCATCAACAACCACTAAGCTCCTAGGGGTGGTCTTCGATCACGAACTCCGATGGAAGGACCACGTACAGCAGGTGGTTAAGCGAGCCACCAAGGTCAACATCGCGCTAGGAGGGCTACGACAACTCCAGCCCGAGCAGATGCGACAGCTATACGAGGCGTGTGTTGCACCAGTCCTTGAATACGCGTCAACGGTCTGGCACGATCCACTTCGAGATAAGACGCATCTACGACAGCTACGCACTGTTCAGCGAACTGCACTCATCCGGGTCCTCTCCGCCTTTCGAACGGTAGCCTCATCTACGCTCGACGTTGAAGCCTATGTGCTGCCTACCCATCTTTGTCTCCGCCACCGTGCGCAGGACACCATCACCAGACTCCATACCTTACCACGGAAACACCCCATATGGGACACCCTGCTTCGAACTCAGAGACGACGGAATACCGTTCGTTCGCGCGCCCGGTTCCCGCTCGCGGAGGCCCTGAAGACAATGAGCCTGGAAAGGCTCCAAGAGCTAGAACTGATCGACCCAACTCCGCTGCCACCGTGGCGGACTGGGGCCTTCTCAGAGATAGAGATTAAACCGGACAGAGAGATTGCAATGGCACGAGCGGACGCTGCACGGTCTAACTCAGACATCGTCGTTTACTCCGACGCATCAGGACGCAAAGGTCACTTAGGCGCCGCGGCGGTAGTGCTCGACGACAGGCTGAAGATAACCGAGAGGGTACAGATACAAGTCGGACCTATGGACCGATGGTCGGTACATGCGGCTGAACTGTTCGGTATCCTGTATGCTACCAACCTCATCAACAAGATCGCCCTCCAACGGCGGAGATCAACTGGTACACGGGTTCAGCACTCCACCATCCTCAGCGATAGTATGTCAGCACTACAAGCAATCCGGAACCCCGGAAACAAATCCGGGCAGCAGATCATATACGCTATTCTACAAGCAGGCAGGAACACCAAGTCTCACGGCATCGCGATCCGGCTTCAATGGACGCCCGGTCATTGCGACTCACTCGGGAATGACACCGCAGACCATCCATTCCCCCCCTTGCTATCACGCGAGCGGGCTCACATCAGACAAGGAATCTACGCCTAATGGGAAAAAGAATGGAAAGAGTCCAGAGACGGCGGGCACCTTCGTAAGATCGACAAGTCATTACCAGCTAAATACACGAGACGGCTCTACGAATCTCTGCCAAGATATCGAGCATATCTACTGACGCAACTACGGACGGGACACTGCTGGTTATCAACATATGTGAGGGCTTTTGGGTTCCGCGACGACGATCTATGTGTCTGCGGTGAACGGGAAAGCGTAACACATGTTCTGCTGGACTGCCCTGCGCTCAGAGAATTACGCCGAGAGCTCCGGAAGAAGGTCGGCGACGCGTTTAACAGCACCTCAACGCTAGTAGGAGGATCTAGAGAAGGAAGAAGAGGTGAACCTGATAATGCCCCACGGGCCAAGACAGTAGATGCTGTCTTGGACTTCGCGGAGACGTCCCAACGATTTCGAAGCCGCGTGCCATGAAGGCAAGATAGCAATAATGGCGAATAGGCCACGACAGGCCCCGGCGAGGCTCCAAGTTCGTCTAAGAAGTGGTACAGTCTCGTGGAAGACAGCATGTATTTAAGCTATAGTGCTAGGATGCATATCGCCCAAAGCGAGGGGTCAGCGTCAACGAATCCATCCATCCATCCATCCACATATAAACTATGGACCACTCTGCAGATGTGTATTTGCCATACCTTCTGCCTGCCCCTCATTTAATCAATCAAGCATATTTCTTAAGATTGCGGTAGTCCTTATTCGTCACTATGTTTACTAGTTCGTAGGCTTTTTGCTGGCTCTGACAGAAGATAACTCGACGACTCACTAGATTCCGCGTCATCTTGCCAAAAAATCTCCAGTTTCCGTACCAGCGCTTTCCGTTGCACACTGGCCTTGAGTGGCATCTCTATATACGAGAGCGCTCGAAAAAAGCCAACGTCCTCTACGACTAACACAACGGTCCCAAATCGGAGCAAGTTTTCCAGGCGCCCATATGGTCCGAGCACAGTGACCGGGATCCGATTGCCGCGCGGGGAAGCGAGATTTCTATCGTAAAGCTTTCGAATAATACCTGAGCGGGAACGAGCCACCATCCGTGCGATCTTATGCTCGCCATCCTTTTTGCATACTGCCACATAGAAGAGAGGAAGTTGCAGACCGGCGCGAATGCCAACACGTGGCATCCAGAGCTGCACACATTGACCGGGCCGCACAGTCCAAGAGGGAGGTAGACCGATCTCAAGCCAAAGAAGACCATTAGATGCGTTCATAAACACTTCTTGTCTATCTTGTCGCTATGGCTTTTTGAGACCACACGGTAGCTATAAACACGGCAAGACTTATCACAGCCCAGAGGCAGAGAGCACCTAATAAGACCCAACGATATAGACACTGTTGTTCCAGGAGATGATATCCAAGGGCGGATATAGCCACTACCGCAAGCAAATAATGGCATTTCAAAGCGAACTGCACATGTCGTGTTCGTATTGCCACGCACGTGACCGGAACAATCAGAATGAGAGAGCACCCTGCCTAGTGGGAGTCAGAGTGATCCAAGGTCCAAAATTGTCTTCTGGCTCAGTCGCAAAGTATACTTACTAGAACAGGGAAAAGATACCGCGGAGTTGTGAGGATCGAAGTTTTGGTTGTGGACATGCTAGTAATGCCGTGTAGAAGGGAATGAAACACGCAAATACGTCCCATCCATCGATGAAACCATCCGAGCGACTGGCAGTCGATACGTAAGAGATCAGCTGGAAACCCAAAGTTCGGACCGGTGCACAGAGGGGCGATGCTGATGACGGCCAAAGACCCAGCTCTTTTTTGGACGACCATCAAGGACGTGGCTCTAAGTCGCAAGGCTAAAATGTTTGCTGCGAGCAAAGTTGCCAGTACTAAAGCCTGCCAACATGTTGAGATGTCGAGCCACCCGAAAGAATTCGGTAGGTGGACAAAGAGAATTCGTCGCCAAATCCCCGGCAGCCTTGAGCTCCATGAATGCCAGGACAACAGATATCTTCTTTTGCAAGTCCAGAACCATATATGCACTGCAGATGAATAGATAAGCCAGGATGCAAGAAGAATCGCAGCGCAAGTACCGTAAACGTCGGGAACCGATAAATTCGAAAACCAGTGGAGGAGTTTCGACATTGGCTTGTACATTCTCCGTAGCCTATGCTGGCTACGGGAATAGTGAGAGAGCTAGAATGCTTATATAGAGAGGCCACTCCTTCACTTGGCCTTCCTTTCCCGAGGGGCAAAATGATATACTCTCTACTGTAACAGTCTGAAGGAACGCCACTAATTTTCTACTGCCTCAGAACCCAGACAATCGGTACAAGTAATTGCGCCCTCCGCGACGGAGCCGCCTCCTCGTTGCGATTAGCGCATAACGTCCCCGTTTAAGCGTCGGAGACTGGATGACCAAACAGGCTCTGGAAGGTACGCATATAAACATAGCGGTCTCTCGGCTTCTGTTCGGCCGGTTATCTGATGCCGGATGCATTGGTCTTTCTGTTCAGACGTGTACAGTACATCCCCTGGGTCCCGGTCCACTACTCAAGGCCTAGGAAGCTGCCAGGAAGATGTGATACTGCATTTTCGTCATCAGAGTAGGTTGTTCGCATCGTTGTCATTACTAGCCGTGTATTTCTATCTGCAACTATTGGTCACCTCATCTACCTGTCGAATCCAACACGTAGAAGCATTAATAAGCATTATACTGCCGATTATGCGTTATCAAGTTCCATCGTCTGCTTGAGAATATATGAGAGATGTATTGGCGTTGAAAATAATCAGTCATTAGCGGGTCCTCAATGAGTCGGGCTCTCCGGTGTCTTCAGAGCCCAGGAGCATCTTTGGGATTCCCAGGAGCTCTTCGTACCTATATCTCTATGAGTTTCTTATACGTGATTCTTTCCAAGTATAAGATCTGGATTCTGCTTTTCTAGCCTCCGTTTTGATCTGTCTTAAAACATATTCATCATGAAGAGCCTCCCTATGCTACTCTCGACCTTGGCAACAGTCTCGCTGCTCCTACATTGCACTCGAATTCCTTTCCTTTGTGTAATATTTCAGAATCATGCGTCCCACCAGTGGCTTGACCGTGGGTTGTTTGTGGCAATATTGATTTTGTGGGCTGTTTTGGCGGCATCAAGCTGGTGCGCAGCGAACGGGACTATCATGGGAATCCTCGCCGGATTGGTCAGTGTATTCTTATCGTTACAGGCAGTTCGTGAGCCCCTGTGTAGATTCTTATGAATCTCGTGCTTAATGTGATCTGCAGTATCTTCGAATCAGCATTCACTTGCAGCCTCCATCAACTATTTCTCGCTGTCTGAGAGTCTGCTGTCCACTTTTTGCTGCCTCCTCGAGCCTGATTAAATTGACAGCTATCATAGTCGGAAGCTTCGTCTTTTTCCCCCTGTGGTCGATCGTACCCTTCGTTGTGTTCATAGACTTCCTGAACATAGCTTCTTTTCATTGGTGGCTAGTTGGACGCATCGGATATCAACTTCCAGCTCGGCCACAAGTACTGTCCGTCACATATTACTACACTGGGCTGACATGTGTCCTATTGGTCGTCGCACTTGTCGGTGTTATTCGTGGGCACTGGCTACTGTCACTGGAGGTACTGTAACTCTGGCTCTCCGTGAACGTTCCGAGTTCGTATTTGCTGACCAGACAAGCTTCAACTTTTTATGATCTCTCTTGGAAAGATATTTGCATGCTTTATCCTAGGAAGCCCATTATCAGAGTCGTGAATTATTCCAAGAGTGGATTGGATTTCCGGAACGAGCGTACACCAGGAGTTACTGTTCTGGTAATGACGACTTCAGCTAAAATGGAACTCGAAATTCCTCAACTGCGGCCAGTCCACCGCTTCTTGATGAACTAGCCCCCTGTTGCATTCACAAAGTCAAGATTGATCAATGATTCTCCTGTGTTTCTTGCGGATTTCCTGCCAACACCCCTGTAGAACAAGTATTCCAATCTTTAAGCACCCCAAGCAGACCTTGCCGAACACGCCCAACCCTTCACGGTATTCTGCACTCTCATTACAATGGCCCTTCTGCCTGATGACGTTTCTGATTCAAGCTCATCCCCTTCGGCGGATATGAATGTGATATCTCAGGCATCTCACGTCCATATTACTGATTTATCTTATCTTGCCGATTCTGACAGCGCGTCAGATGACATTCCTTCGGAAACAACAGACGACCGTGTGTTTATTGTTTCTGACACAGAACGATTGTCCTATTTTTCCAGTACCTCATCAGAAGCATCTATCACCGAAATTTGTCCATCCTGCTCCGTTCGCAGCAATGTCGCTGATGCGGTAGGTTTACGGTCAATATCCATGTTACGGCTACAAGACTAACACCCTCAAGCCATGCGATACAATTAAGCTGCCTGTCAGCACTATCACTAGGAGGATCGTCGTCGAGCATGGGCACGAAATTGAACAGCATCTGGTTTTATGGGCATCGTGGAAGTGATCAGGCCTGCTAAGAAGAGTGTGTCTAGCGAGGCGAATCGTGACGCTAGGAAACAGTATGTGGGTAGAGTGTTTAGTTTCGAGCGAACTGGTTAGCGGAGACCGAGGGGTATGATCGCAGGCACCTCAGCTCCAGCACTTCTCGCTTCTCTCTTCTCTCCAGTTTCAATATTCGTTGCGGAATGTACTCTTTTCTCAAAGAATAGGCTCTTGTCACATGAATGTTCATCAGCAACCCTTGTACCATACTGTATCGTGCCATGATTATTTTTTAGGCTATGACTCCACTGGTCAAACAATGTCATGTTTTTGGTTGCTAGTAATTCTTCACTGCATCACAATTTAAGAAGGCAACATGGTTTGATTTTGGAAGGAAACTACTGGAGACACCGAAACGGAAAATATAAAACCATCGTTGGGGTCCCTCATATACCCAAGGATGAGAGCGAAAGTATTCTATCCGCCTCCAGGTCTAAATCTTGTCATCTTAAAACATTCTTCAGCTGTCAAGACTCGTTAAAAGCAAATCTTGAACTTGAAAAACCGAGAGCAGAGTAGAGAAGTCCAAGGTATAGAAAATTATGAGCTTAGTTTAAATTCACAGCGTGCTTTATTGGATGGTTGAAATGTTGACAGGTAAATCTTGGTCCTTCCATAAGGAAAGGAGTCGCTTGAGCAAGAATTATGTACGCATCACAGGATTTCAATGTTGGCTTCACCTTTAGACCAGGGGATTTGTATTTAGATTGAAGTGAACCGCGTAGCGTTATTGCGGGGCCAGTGGCGAAGTCATTCACTGACAGCACTGCTGATAAAGTGCAGCCTCGTTCAACCCTTCACCGCACTGTACTGAGATGTCTTCACCGGCCTCGTACCTGTCGCGTCGCACAACAAGGTTTCATTAAACGCGATGTCTCAACATCGATATTTCAATGGTGAGGGCTGTATATTTTGGCGATGTAGGGACTTCAACGTACTGCAGAACCGTTGAGTAGCGCCGTCTCAATTCCGCTGTAAAATTGAGGTCGAGAATGGGGAAGTTGTATATTCACACCAAAACTTGAACTAATATGTTTCTAAGAGTACAGACTTATAAGTCTTACACCGGGTCACAATATTGTTTTACCACCAAAGTGATAAGCTCAGATCTCGATCACAGAGATGGAAACCCCAAAGGAAGTGCTGGCAGTCCAGGGATTCCGCAAAACTCATACAAATGCGAATGATGATCAGCCATCGGAAGCAGCGACTTCGAATATCACAACTGTAAGTTTTGGATGCCTCAAGGGAAGTTCTGCAAAAAGAGTTCTAAATTACCGCTACAGCTTGACACGCTTCAAACCCATGACCAACGCACGCTGATGACACGGCCGTTCCAATCGGTACTTAACACTCTGGACAAGCTTGAGCGTGAAGACCCGAAGCTAGCTTCCCAGGCAGCGAGGCTGGTGGGGCTGTTTCGGCGGCTGTGGGAGTCATGTGTCACTAAGCATGTCGATGCCCAGGCTCTCGAAGATACAAATCAAGCCCTGAGAGCCGACAATGTACAATTGAGGCAGGAGGAAGGTCGCTTGAAAAAGCGTGAGGAAGATCAAACCACTCGCCTCGCATCCTTCCATGAAGGCATGGAGCACGCCAGAGAACAAATGCTTGAGGCACTGAAGAACTGGAATATGTATGTGTCGGATGATGTGATATTGCCCTCGCAAGAAATGACGGCGAATGCTTGATGCACTGACAATAATCTATGTGTGCCTCTTAATGTATTGATAAACTTGTCTATGACTATCCAAACCTAAATGATTCGCGAGACGCAGCTCAGAGATTGCAAAGAGTACCAATGATGTTGTTGACATGGCAACTTGAACCTTCGTTCGTCGTATATTCACGTATATCTTTGGCGAGGCGTCGCCTCAACTGACATATATTTACACAGATTAGAGCAATATTAGGTTTAATTGGTTGATTGCTAGACCTTATTGGGATGAGGGACAGGATCTAGGAGGACAGACACCATATACCAGCTATTGAGTTATATTGAAGATTTTTCACAATCTAAGATAACCTCTGAGTAGAAGTGTGCTATTCACACTTCCCTGAGACCACGTTTCCGTATAAGGCTAGTATGCCTCAGGGAGGACGACCTACCCTCAGCGACATTGAAGACTGCTGAAACCTCAACAAAATGTTCCGCAGTCTGCGCAAAGATGCACCTACCAATATGAGATGCGAACCAAGAAGCAGTTTGGAGAAAATATTCAGGATGAGTAATGATATATTACTCTTAGTGACTGGCCATCACATTTGATATCCAGAAATAAGAAATTGATGGCCGCCAACCATGACGTAAATGGACAGGTACTGCTATCAATGGTTACTATACGGCACGTTATTTTCCGGGAAACGAATTGTGTAAAGTCGCAGTTAGTCTTTGGTGGATGTCAACGTGAAGGCGTTTAAGAAAATTGAGAACACTTGTTAGATGACTTGAAATAATTTTTTAACATAATTATTTAAATCGTCGGGCAGCGAGTCTCATGCATTTAAGCAGACGAATCGCCGTCCCACTGGTACAGACTACGTCCTTGAAACGATCAAAACATGCCCCATATTCTGCCCAAGAATATCTCTGATGTCATGGAGTATGTACGGGGCAAAAGGTGCGCGAATCAGTGAGGCGCTGCGTCCGGCCCCATGTCGGCAGCAGCCTCAAATTTTTGACTTTTGTCGGACAGAACATGGGGCACAATACCGCAAGACCAAAAATGCACTATAGGCGGCATTCTTAGTCTATACGGTCATTTCTTGTTCTGACAACTTTTGATCTGGGGCCATGCCGTGTGTGGTCCGAACATGACGCCGCCCATTAGACCGGCCCCATGGGCCCACCAGGCTAACCAGGCTAGAGAGAATCAGCCCCAACGCTGGTCATCAGTACTCTGAACGAGCATTACCAAGTCGCAGCCCCTAGCAAGATCTGCTAAGTTAGTATGGGCATGGGGTGACCGGATGGATGCCCCCTAAACCCGTTGTAGCGCGTGCTGGGAGTATATTCGACTACAGCTAACATCTATTCATCCTTTGAATCTAAGGGAAGAAGGAGAGGAGACAACAGATCGTTGAAGAAGCTAAGATCTAACAAGAGGGCTGGAGGATCTAATAGACAGAACCATGTGACTGGCAGCCACAAACAAACATATTCATGTCATGTTTTAAACTGTATAGAAGCTTAATAAAGTGCTTCTTCGATAAAATCCGTACGGCACACTGATTTCCCCTAAATTCTCCTGTCCATAGGAATCCTCCCTATCATGCGTCAATCTGTTGGAAGTTCCGAAATGGCCAGCAAGCCCATGGCTGAAGCATCCCGTCTCGCTCTATAGAATTTACAGTTCGTCCGCCGGCGAGAACAGATACCGACCGCTGGAAAGCCAATCGGGTCACTAGAATGATTTTCGTGATAAGAGACAGACCGACGGCCGTGGCATATTTGACATCGAAGTCCGTCAATTGGTGGTGCTCGTGGTGCCCGTGGTGCACTAATCTCATACGGCTGCGATACAGGAATTGGTGGCGGGCTCTCTTTCGTGTATGATGGTAGCTGTTCCCTCGCCACCTTGAATCTGCGTCCATCAGAAATTCCGATCAATGCTTAGGACTCAAGAAGATATATACAGTACCTGCTGTTAATCCACATAGTCATACCTTGAAACCAACGCATGACGAAGGAAATGGAGGAAGCGTGGGCAACTCAGGGAATGTGGGAAGTGGCAGTATTAGTATCTAGCCTGATCTTTGTGTGAGGACAGAATTCAGACCAGAATTGACTGCAGCAAGTGTAGATCATGCCAATATGCACACAAAACCATACTGACGATAGGAGGGAGCTCTGGCCCTTGACGCGTGGACGTCTCTTTTCTCCGGCCGAGGAGATGGAAATCGTTGAGACAACTGTACGTGACAGTTATCGATATTTGGTGGTGCTCCGATGTGAGCTCAAAAGGTGAAAACTTCACGCATATTCAGCGTAGCAAGGAGGAAGCGTTGATCTAGAGATTCTAACCGGTGGCAGTTGCGGTGAACGATCTTCCGTGCTACCGGAAAGATTAAAGAGCTTGGTTCAAGCTGGTGACTCCAACTATGTTGACCAGTGTATGGTCACCAATACCGTGACAACCGAAATTCACCGTTTTTATGAGGCTTATGGTCCACTTCGTCGACCTGACAACCCACTTCAATGGCTGTGTGGGTAGCTCAGGGTCTTACCATTGCCGGGGGTTTAATTGAATGATTAACATTGACACTGCTGGAAATGAATAATGAAGCGGTAGAGATAGCTGATAGCTGTTTTGCTTTATTCTCCACCTCTGTCGTTCCCACGCCGATATGTACTCAAGAGTGCGAGCTCTTCGTTTATCAACACATAGATCACGCGCATCAAGTAATTATTTTCATTTATGTACGTCTAATCGAAAGAGACAAGTGAGTACTCATGCTCAAAGCTACATTGAAGGATTTCCCATTATGTTTTCAACAAAACGTTGCGGTTCGAGTATAGATGCAATCAAGGAAAGACCCTATATCTGTTCCACTCTTTTGATACATCGGTTCCCGAATAGGGCGAATGATCAACTGGAAGCGATAGCTTGTATTTTTTGCAAAAGCAGCCTGACAAAGAACATCTCCAATCTGCTCGCGCGTCCGTCGCAAATTCCCGAGTAAAGATTCCCTTCGGGGAAGGAAAAACGGATACTGCGCCAGGACCTCCTCGGTGGCAGCATGCACTTTGCAAAGTCGAAACTCCAGCCACTGGAAGTCTTCTAAGAGCAGAAAAGTCGAGATATAGAGAAATAGATCGTCTGCACATGTATAAGGGCCCAATGGGTCTGGACCTGTCCAGAGCGTGTAGCGGCCGAATGCAGTACCCACATCAAAGAAACATTCCACACGAGCGGGCTTTGCATTGATTGGAACATGAAAAGCTTGCCAGTGATATGCAAGGGTGATGTCGTAACTGTCCTTGTCAGATCCAATGCACGGTGGGGGGCTGGGTATATCATCGAATTCCGTCCATAGTGACTCGAGATCGATATCGAATGACACGATCAAGAGATTCTCAGAGGCAGGGTCAACCATAGCGATGAAATTTAACAGAATGCAGTCCTCAACTCAAATGAAAAGCGCCCTTTTTTGTTATGGAGAAAACTGCGGCGGCATACTCTAGCTTATAAAGTTATGAAGTATGAAATTAGCATCAGCTCCGTCGGCGGACTGTCGCCTATCTCTTGAACATAATACACGAAAGGAACTGGGCACAATTTTTAGAACGTTTTGCTTATATTAAAAGCCTATTTCCTGCTACTGTATCTTCGAAGACAATTGACTACTGTCTTTGAAAGATTCAACCCCCATTTTCTCAACACGCGCGCCGCCCCCACCGTACCGATATTGCCCCACAGGAAATTGTTCGGTCGTGTGTGGGTGATTAGGTAATCAACGGCTGATCAACGGAACACGCAGTGCCTCAAGCACCTGGACCATGGCCTCTTGCACGGAATCAAACGCCTCTTGGCGGTCCCACAAAATCAGCTCTCGGTCGGTGCAAGCCTGGAACAACCGATTATTTGCGTGTATCAGCCAAGCGTTCTCGGCTTGGAGCCGTCGCTGCTCCTCTTCCAAACGGATCTTGCGCGCCGAGTCGATCACATAAGACTCCCACAGAAGAAGGTAGAGGTCAAGGAACTCCATTGTCGAGGACGCAAAAGGGGGATTCTCATCCAAAAGTGGTTTCATTTCTTCCACAAGAGACAATTTCATGCCACGAGGTGCTGCCTATGCCCTATCAGTGTCTTGTAGAAATTTACGTCGCGAATGGATTTTACCTTGATCCGAGTCAGAGTGCTCATCTTCTCCTTTGGTGTTTGCCGTTCATCGGCGAGTTTGGAGTCGTCTACTTCAGGGTCTTCCCGTCTTCTCTTACACGGGCGGCTCCCCAAAGCGACCTTGGCAGGGGCATCCATCGTACGGCTTTTTGCAAGCAAGCCTAGTTGAGATAGTATGAAATAGATAGGCTTTGTGATTACCCTTACGACTTTATATTCTTGACCAAAATATCCATCTAGACAATAGCCAAAAAGTCGTGACCCACCATCTGCGCAGTGGTGGGTCACTGGATTCACCGTTTATGGACGCTAATGATGTTGAAGTGGCTTTACACATACTGGGGCCAACAGAAAACTAGCGTACCAAATCCCTTTGTATGTGTGGTTAATTCAATTAGTTTGGGGATCTGTAGTGTAATACCTCGTTACTATACGAGGCCGGTTTAAATGATTTGGTGGCTTACAACGATCTACGAAAGTTGACTGCTCTGCTAAGGCAGATAAGAATATCTCCACCGCAATGGCATTTTCAAAATGTTTGATCGCGGTTCCTCAACAACTATTCCCGCCAAAGCCATAATCAAAAATCGTAAGGCGACTCCATCAAACCACCACCCGGGCATGCAGCAAGGAAACGGGCGCCGTCACCCAGGAAGCCTTCCCAGGTATCCAGATCCGCTACTTCGAACGGTACAAAATCGGGATACTCACTGGTTGCTTGAGATTCCTTCGACGGATCTCGACGCCGAATCAAGAAGCGTTGGGCTTCGTAGCGATCTTCATGGGAGAAGTCTCCGAATGCCAGCGCCTTCAAGGACGGTATTCCTTGCGGACTGAATGCCCAGGTTGCAAATGATAGGAATGCCTTTGCCTCGGCCAAGTGCGGGAGTGCGCTGCTCTGAAGGGAAGCTATGTGGGTTGAGCGAGATGGATCGTGGGTATCGAGGTTGTCGCCCTGGAAGTAACTGCCGGGCGCACAAACCCCAACGGAATTTGCCCGCTGTATTTCCAAGAGGAGTGCTCTGATTTCCTGAGCGAGGTTAAGATGCAATCTCTCAGGTCCGCTAAACCGTAGATGCAAGAGTTGAAGCTGGGAGTGTTCTCGGGCTGGCTCGAGACATGTTCGCTAACGTTGTTAATACAGCATTTCGATGACCGAACAAGGAAGACTCACGGCAGCTCTCGGACATATAGATAGTGCCAGGAAGGTAACTTGGCGCTGATCAATCGCGTGATCAAGTTCGCCGACCCAGTTCGGGCTAACATCGCGATCCTCCTCAAATAGTCCACTGTCATCTAGTGGCGCCAGTTGTCGCTCATGGTACACAAGCCATTTCAGAGTGGCTCGATGCGCACGGATCCCTTCCACGAAGTCTGAACCCAGAGGCGGGAAATTTGACATATGCAAGTAAAGATTGCGGAGCCCATTAAAGGAAAGAAGAAATTGACTAATCGCATTGGCATGTCGGTGATCGTCTTGCAAAAAATCAAAACAACTCTCCAACGAGTCGAGCTGTATTTTGTCTGGCTCCTTTGATAGCAAATGAAGTAAGCGAAGCTGGTTAGGGCAGTGGCGCAAACTCAAGGAGCGTAGCGTGTGGAATGTGAAACATTCATCAGATGGAAAATGCGACGGTAGTGTGATTTGTGATAAAGATAATTGAGTCAGGCCGGGGAACGTCATTGACGTCGGCGTGCGGCAGACTCCATCGCCCGGCCCTAGCCCGACAAGATGGTTCCAAGATAGGGAGTTGGCAAATGCAGATGGGGTAAACCCAACGGAGAGGCTTTCAAGATGCGAATGATTACATCGAAGACACCCTCGCAGTGATTCTACCTCTTCTCGATGCTGGATACCATCCCACTTCAGATCTTTCACGGTTCGGAGCTGCGACAGCCCTCCAAGACCGTGCCGGGCGTGGAAACAGGTGCCATCCGTAAGAAGGTTCAAGTGTTCGATATGTGGCTGGTATCGAGCAAGATATCCGTCGGCCCCAAAGATACTGGTGGGAACACATGTGCCGAGTTTCCATCTGCGATTACATAGTCAGTTTCACTGTGCCGGAAAAGCCTATATAAGAACTGACTCGAAGGTACGAAGGCTATGCGGATTAAGGCATGAGAATATCTGCGAGACTTGGAGCTCCAGGTCCCTCAAGAATTGCTTGTGAGCGACTACCTCGCTCATGGCATCAGGCGAGCACCCGTCCATCCCAGTCATCCGGAAGATACTGTAGTAAGCGCACCGACTGAAACGGACCAATTGAATCGGTGCTTGGATGCAAAGATACCTGGTGTGTCTCAAGCAGTCCTGCGCCCTGCCATAGTCATGGTGGAGGAAAAAAGAGTTGACGTCGAGCACATTGAGCGCCCATTCGTTCGTAGCACGGAGTGTGATGGATTGGTAAACGATCGGAGTAAATATGGCATGAAGCCGGCGGGACACCCGGCCCACGGCGCATACACTGTTGGGTGGTAACTAACTCTGTGAGCCTGGAGCAGGGCAATGGAATCTTAAGGCATGGGATCACTCACAAAATCAGCGATATGATAGAGAATTTCGCTTGGCAGGGTGTCAAACATTTTGTACCGTCAAATACGTGGCTAGAGGGATGTTCAAAATTGCAGTAGTCCGTCTCTCAAGAATATTGACTCTTGCTAGCTGGGCTCTATAGACAGTAATGCCAGGTGGACATCTCCTGCACTTAAGGATTGCAGCGGTCATAGTGATGGTTGAGCACGGCAGTGAAAAAAGCGGATCTATGTGTTGAAAGTGCGATTTCAACGGAAAGAACGGCGTCCACCAATGGATGAAGCCCGGTCAACGGTCAGGCCGCATATTCACGCGCGGGCAAGCTACGGAGCAAAGCTCGACTATTCAAACTGCTGACTGTTATTCAGTGAATCAACCAAACCCAGGGAATGATAGCCCAGGATGCAAATGAACCCTCACTCGACAGTGAACAGTCAAGCCTATCCTTCAATGTCGGCCACGATTCCCAGCCAATCACTAAACCCTCTTGCCCGTTTACATTATTGTTTACGCAGCCCTTGTTTACAAGTCGATGAATACACTACTATATCAAGAAACAAGAACAACCGTAGAGAACACTCTGTCCAGGCGCATGCGTGGGATTTGTTCTACAGCGAGCTGAACACCGGTACTTTGTACACAGGCAATACAATAACCACCTCGATGGTGGTGATTCTCCAGGTCTCAACCACGGCCAGCTGTAAAGAACATTCACTAGGCCTGTCAATCACCAAGATTGAGAGACCGCAGGCAAGATCGCAGACGAGCGTCAGTCGTAATTCAGAGTGAACTCTGCGGAACAGCCTGAGAGTATCCGGCAGCACTATAAGCCAAGGCGACGTGCATCACATAGAGGCTAGGCTGCCATCCGGATACGAGACGCGTTCGCTCGAAGGGACGAAGAAGGTAAAACACGGTCCCCATTGTATTCATCACAGCCATGCGACCAAAGGCAATTGCTAGTTCGGGGGCAGTACTCGTGGTTTCCGTGAACGAGTGGATGGTCGGAACTAAGGCTAGGACCCCAAGCGAGGTACAGTAATACAGAGAACGTACACGCGTTATAGCAAAGCTAGGGTCGTATATTAAGAGATCCACCAGGCTTCCCACGAAAACAAGACTAAACGTAGCCAGATATCCTAACTATAGGAAAGGCTGCGCGGGAAACAAAAGAACCACGATAGGCAGAGTAGTAGTCTAAATCAGAAGCAGGACACCTCCAAACTCTGACCTTTGCTAGCAAGCCGCATAATCCCTTTAGATGGCGGCAATTAGTCGATAGAATAGAGACAATAGATACTAGCCAATTACACTAATCGCGAAGAAGATCACGGAGAGCGCCTTCACGATGTCGGCAGGCGTAGAAGGGAAATAGAATATCAGATACTTAGCGGTAAAAAGAGAAAAATATGACACACCAAAAACGCCGATGAGCGTGATGACCACGCTATCACGTAGATTCTCCCTTTCTGTGTTAGACATTTTGCCGCTAGCTGGGAGCAACGGGTTCTTGAACAAAAATTGAGCGCTTGACAATCTTTTATATTGACCTAGCTAGAGGCCTCTTGGCCCTATTCAGCTCAATCGTTAAAAGCCTTCTTCTGACCGTCTGACAATTCTGGCTGATTCAGCCCTAGGGAAGGAGAAGGGTGAAGAGGAGTGTGACTTCGCAGCCTTATGAATAAACTCGTGTTGGACACCAGCCCATCAAGTGATGGTAGTATACATCGGTAAAGCTGAACTTACGTTCCACCGTATGTGTGAATACAACCATTTAGCTTGTCTATTTGAATGAACGAGAGGCCTCATGAGTCCACTTGCGCCTTTCGTTCTCTTCGCAATGGATGAAATTGTAGAAATCGTCCGCCAGGTCGGTAGACAACAGGGCGAAAATGCTTACTACCGTTCTCGTTACGGCCTACTCAAACGGCTACAGGAGCTGATCGAGGAGGCATCGGAAGAATTGCTCCGGCACCAGCAAACACGTGCATTGGATTTGCCAAGTCAGAGCTCTGTTCATGCCTACAGAATCCTCCGGGAACTGCAGGAGTCGAAGTTTGATTTGATTGACCAGGCCTGTGATGCTCAATCATCCTGTGAGGAGTTTTGCCCGGTTGGTGACCGGTTTTCTGCCTGCCATGTCGTCCCGCGCCGTGATTCTAAACCGGTTGACCATTCGCTCGTGGAGCCGTTGAACTTGCACGGGGCTGAGCATCCAGAACTGCCTTTCTAGTGTTACGCTCCGCGATGCGAACGTGTCGGTCCGCCTTGTCAAGGCTGGGAGGCTCAGTATTTGCTCTGAATTTGTTGGTCATCTCGAGTGAGATAGATTTGAAGTCCTCCAACAAATCGAATGAAAACGACGTCGTTGGTCTGGTGCAGTTTTTCGGCCGGGCATCAGTCGGCTGTCCCTGGCAGTAATCCCAAAGTCCAACCGAATATTACGCTGGCAGATTCACTTACTTTCAGCTAAGTGGCGATAGACTCAAGGCGGCTCTGGGCTTGGCTGGCGGCGGTCTGTATTGCAGCCGATGCCTGAGACACTCTCCGCTGCGCTGTTCACCGTCTTTGTCGCCTCACTAGCGGCTGCATCGGCAAGAGTGGACACGTCCGTGCTACTGACACTGAGATGAAATCTCAAAATTCCCACATTTTGCCAAGATATCACTTGGATCTTCTCGGGTGTGTCCATCTTATTTTAATTAAAAGTGGGTAACAGGTGACTCAAATTCCCAGGCAGGATCTTTGCCAATCTCATGTATTAAGCTCGTGTCTCGTTCTCCGTTCTCTCGCCATCTATCTCTCCCTCTTTCCTTCTCCATGCTTAGTTTCTTCGTTGAATGCTATGTACTATGTTGATATTGTCTCTTCGTACCTAAGCTGTGACAGGATCTTTCAGTTCATCTTGGAATATATGCCTGAGAGTTTTCTTGTTATATTTATAAAATGTCTTAGAAGAAGACCGTTACTGGCGTCGTTTCATGGGCTAGTCAGTTGTCTATTATTTCTTCTATAAAGTTCGGGTAGAAGAATTTCTCTATAGAGGTAGGGCAAGCGCTTTCTAAAGGCTTATTATCAAATAATAGGAGTATCGGAGATTTCCTGTTTTTTCTGGGCAGTGGATGAATGCTGGAGAACGCCGTGTCCTTGGGATATAATATCTAGAGCTCACTCTTACCTCACCTTCTCCTCTACTCCCACACTGGAACAACACACTCCTCATGTCACGATTGAGACGATGAGGAATATGAGATCACGTGAAAGATCAGGTAACAATGCATGAAGGAAGAAGGAGACATCCTTAAATGCATTGTTGAGGTGTTTCCTTCTTCTCCCCCTTTTCTTCTTCAGCCTTGATACTTCGTTGAATACTGCCATGCCGATTTGAGATCTTCGCGCCTGAGTGTAACACCTCCCACGACGACTCTTCACCCACTAGACCTACATGCTTTGCGTATGTCCCCCATCTTTCGTTTGCCGACTCTCTCACTCGCTCAGACATCGCGGTCGTCAAGGTATGTATGACACAGCTTAAGGCTTAATAACAGACGCTAAAAGTTGAGCCACAGATGTCTCGGACATATACAGGAGACAACTTTATCTACATGTGGGACGATATAAACGACCCCTTACCGTGCTGGCAGTGCCTCCATGAGATTGCGCAACCGAATATGTTCCTTTACCAGGCCTCCTTTAACATCTGCGACATCGTGTCCGGCTACCCTCACCTGTGCAGCGAATGCACCCAGCATAACTTCCGCTATCAGACTCCCGATTGCTCTTTGCCCAGAAATATGGTATTTGCTCTATGGTAACCATGACTTCTCTGATCAGCAGATCCGTGATAGGTTGTGGGAGATCCTACAACTTTATCAGGAGGGTCCTCAACAGCTTGGGGAAGATGAGGCTTAAGAACAGGGCGGTTGCTAAAGTGATCCTCTGATATTAGGGTGTTTCACTGCTTGATTTATGGCCATCTTGACCATCTATTTTTATGCATCTGCCTATCCAACAGATTCCAATACAATGTCTAGCGATTCAGGAGGCACACGTACATGCACGCTGATTAGTTCACTTCTCTCGCTACGTCGTTTCAGGGCATAAGCTAGAGCCTAGCGGTGTTTTACAGTAGGAACTCCACAGTACTATACTTGCCTTGACTGGAATTCTCGGATTCGAACCAACTCTTGCGCTTTTTCCCCGTGACGGAACGATGGTCGTGAACACGTGTGGAGACACAGGGGTTACAGGCACAGAAGACACAGCAGGCACAGCTGGCACGGCGGCGTGACCATCGGTACATTGTGGTGGGCTGGTATTCTTCAGATGTAACACCGCCATCTGATCCTGCAATTCCCGCAGCTTGTAGGATAGATTAACAAGAACCACGTCAACATTTTTCTCTACTACATCTACAGGTCGGTCAGCTCGGTTTATCCAGTAAAAGTCCACGGTGGAGTAAGAACAAATATTGGGACGCTAGATCTTTCCACAGTGCTAACTGAGCCATGGCGAGCCGGATGACATCGATCTCTGCGCTCACGTCGCTTGCGTATGACATTGGATCGATCATTTGGCGAGGAATCGTGCTGATCAACATGTCATGATCGAATTTTGACGGCTTTACTACCGCCTTGTCTCCTGGAATGTGAATATGATAGCTCCCATCTTCTTGAGGGACCGGGTCATATGAATGCAGACGGGCGATGTCTGCCCATTGCACAGGGCTCGTTCGGCCCGTCGAGGCTTTCAAAAGATTCGGTTGGGGAGTGCTGAAGTTATAGTGCAAATTTTCGACCTGAACATCGCTCACGAGAGGCACCTCGAAAAGGCCCACCAGCGGTGCAACAAAAGGTGCAAGGAACGAGACATACTGATACGATTGAAGCAACTCAAGAGTGGATTGCAGTCTCTTGCGAGATGGCTCAAAGTACTCCCGGCGTATACGGTCCGTCACCGCATTCAACGCTGGTCCCGAGCCCTGCTCACTGTAATGTGCCGGCATTTTCTAATCGTGAGATATCACGGACTTCGAATGATCTTGTGGAAAGTTTATCGTGGGTGAATAAAATCTGGTAGAACGGCTGCTGCTACTGTAGCTGCAAGTCAGGCTCAGGGGCGATAGTGTTGGCGACAGAGCGCGTTAAAAAACATGACTTTTTTTGTTGTGCGAGTAACAGGACCCTCTTTATTATTACCCAGGCTATTTAACGTCGGGAAGGAAGCGCCATCGCTAATCAACGGTCGCTCCACTTGACATAGAGGAGCAAGTCTACCGCTCATCGAACACGGACTGTCAAATGAACCGTTAGAACCATGGGCCTGCATGGGGCTCCCTGGCTACGACGGTGTGACGGCAGGAGCGGTTTTGCGTTTGTTTCATGTATTTGGCAGAATTACGGGACCAGGTGACCGCTGACTAACGAGGGCGGTAACACCGGAAGTGAACCCCGCTTCAGTAGCCTGCCGATCTTAGTCTTTTCATCATTCTTTCCATCAATTCCATTTGTTGTTGCGTTCTTTTCGTGGAGCTGTTTCTCGTAATTCCATCCTGTAACCTCGAGGGTTTGTCCGAGGCATAGGGTTTCTTGGCGTAGAGCCGTTATTGAGGCTTCGCCTTTCAACGGGTGTTGGAAACGGATATAAGTGATGGGCACGGGATTAACGGGGCGCACCGCGTGAACCTAATGCGTCATGTCGTCGCGGAACGATCCAGCTCCACAACTTGGCCCGAGCTTGACCCACGGCCAGGCTATTTGGTTCTGACTATTGATAAACTCCACCGTTGGTTTTCATGCGCACCGTGATACCCCTACAACGTGTAGCATACGCCACCGGAAGTTAGAAAATGAGAAAATAAAAAACATAAAGGTAAAAAAATACAATAAAATAACAAAAATACACAGATATTTCACAGTGAATAAAAATTGAAAATTCCCTGGTGAAAATTCCCTGGGCCAATCGAACAACTGTGGATGCTTCCTTGGCGGTGACCTTTGGTTCAACTCTTCTCCGTCACATATGGTGCTCCCTGTGTCTTTCTACCCGGTCATGGATTGCTTTCCAGAGCAAAACGGAGCGATCAGGCTGTAGGTATTGCTGGAGGAGCATGAGGCGTTCATTTAATCCTAGAGTGACATGAGTAAGTCTCCATGAGATCTCTGTGTCTGGGCTTGATCTCACCGGAAAATGGTCGCTGCTTCCTTGCAAACATAGTAATCTTGGGGTCGCCGGCTGACCGAGAATATTCCAGTAGCAGTCGTTCGTTAAATTCGGGCGTACGCTGTGCCCAAATGGGGAACGAAGGCGCCAATCCGGATATCCCAGGCTGCTCTCGATGCTGAAATTGTCGTATCGCATGCGTAGCGGGGCTTGCTCTGTATCTCACGGCACGTTGAAGCTTGCGTCGAAGTTCGTTTTGTTTTCCACGCAGAGATTCCCCTCAGCGGAGGATGCCGTGTTCTTTGAAATACGCCCGAGATCTCGCCTTCCAAGACAACATTTGATTACGAGATAACCAAGGAAGCAAGTTCTTTTCTTCGGTCCGAGACCATCTGACAGTGTTTTCTCGAGGCATGGTGATAGTATCACACGAGGGAAAAAGACCAGCACATGGAACTCGCCAAACCGCCAGAGAATACTGAAAGAATCAACAGCCCCGGTGAGAAAAAAATGGAGGGCGGTATTATATAGCCTCGAAAGAGATGTCGAAGAATAGACTATGCTCTCGTACTTTCAACAGGGTCATACTGCGCCTCGGACTTTTGTACCAGTCTCTCTGAAGGTATAACTGTAGAGCATCGCTGTCGATCGACATTTGCTTCAACGACCAGGCTCGAAGCTAAGGCCACTTGATACGAAAATTTGCTCTCTCACACACTTTTTTTTCTTCTTTTATTTGAGGACGGCAATGCACAAATTCATGGGCATTTTGCTGCCGGGTATGGTGAGAAAGATTTTCTCGCTGTGCCGGTGATCCTGGCTTCACAAAAAGCTCTTAGCCAGTAGAAGGAGGGCTAAGCGGCGCTAAAGTAGCCTGCGAGTCATGACGATCGCCGATCCTTTCTTTGACGGGGTTGGCCCCCGCCTCCACTGAGCCGGTCGATCATACTTCATTTTTCGCTAGAGTTATGATTGGCTGCGTTGAATAAATTCAACTTCATTTCATTTCCGAGGTGGGTGCCTTCGGAGTTTCCCCATGGACCCCTGTCTAGAATCGCCCGATCAAACCAGCCAGTAGTGTACACGTGGGCATTACAGCTCTTTACTCTAAAATCACCACAGACGAGGCAGAAAAGCCTCGCCGTGCGAAAAAGAATCGTCGCCCTTGGCAATATCACCGTTAATGCGGATAAGTGCATTTCGCTAGAATCGTTTGTCTTTGTCATTCGGATGCACTTTGAATACCAGGGATTGGCCCTCTTTCCAGCCGCCGTTGCTCTCTGATGCGGCTGCATTTGTGTATAAGCAGAGCGTTTTGACGGCAATGCTCCGAAATAAAATTGGCGCCCTACCTTTCGAGCCGTTCGTGTTCATGCAGCTAACCGAATTAGCTCTCGTAGACGGATGGACGGAACTACCGCGGTGCTAGCTCAAGGTTGCGGGACGTTGGAGGATCATGTGCACGGACTGGTTCTAAGTAGAGCCGGAGCCTGGGCGCTTGACGCGTTGGCGATCGGGGTACGCGCTGATCTGAATTGGCGACTGTCCATCACCACCTCCACCGGAAACTCTCATCCGTAAGCCATACCAAAATACAAACGAAGGAGAGCAAACGTATAGCGGAAGGATTCAGGGCCGTCCTGGTGGAAATGCGACATCGCTAGGACAACGGTCTCGTTGATGAGAGTCTTCGGAAATTGCCTGGAAGGCCCCACACCGTGCCATTTACTGCCAGGACAGTTCCCTTCGTTACACCGGGGTAACTCAGTGGCGAAAATTCCGGTGAAATGTGAACGTGGTCGTCGGTCTGCACATCTAGATTTGGATCCTTTGCTCGAGTCTCGTCGGCCCCTGATAATGCTATGGGCTATAGTTTGAGAAGTACAAGAAGCATTGAAGCTGTAGGCTTGTAGCCATCGCGGATAAAAGATCCAGTTGCATCTCCTGTTACGTGTACCTCGAGGGGGCTTTCTCAGATCATCTTAGCTGCATAATTAGCGCCTCAGGGATTTTGGTACTTTTGACTACGCCGGCCTCTCATGCGACTGTTATAAAGATAAGAGCATTCCTTGTCTTCGTCGTTCTACATCTTTATAACTATCTCACTCGTCCATTTCCTGGACCAAACGCAGAATGATCGGTCTTAAGAAACGGGTCCGAACGGATGGAGGATACGCAGACCGTTTCAAGGAGGCTTTCCGACCGGAATCCCTGAGGACCAGCATTTGGAGCGACCAGGGATCAGATCCAGAATCCGCTGGTGAGGATGAGCCTCATCAACTGGGTTTCTCGCCAGAACCGGATGCGGGAAATAGCTCAGCTGCCGAAGAAACAGAAGATCGACAAAACTCCAGTGGACTTCCCCAGGGCGTGCTAGCCTCAGCTACGGCCGATGAACTGGCTCTGGTCGGAATGGCAGAGTATGATGTCCCTCAATTTTCCATGAATCAAACGTACATCGCAGACCGCTAAGTTATATCTATTAGTTTATTAAAGCGGCAAGGGTGTGTAATCCAATCATTGGCGACGATATGAGAGCACTGATGAAGCGAATAGGTATTCACAAGAGTCGCTGGACAATCAAAAAGAGTGGAATAACCACTTCCAGCGACAACTCACGGAGCTGCGACAGCTGATAACAAAATCGTGCACTGATGTGGGGGACCTCAGTGCTCGGGTTTTTGCCATGGAAGAAAAGGTGTCTCGCGGATTTAAAAAGACTGGGAAATGAGAACCTAACCACGGCTAATATGTAGAGTAGCCAATCTTGCGTCCGATGTATGTAAACAACTAGGGCATACGATATCGAAAATTCTAGCAGGAACTTCAATCTTTACCTTGCGTGACAGATGACAAAGTACTGCACAGACATGGGGTGCCTCAGTGCTCGGGGTTTCGCCATGGAAGCAAAGGTATCTTGCGGATTGAAGAAGACTGAGAAATGAGAACATAACCATGGCCAACAGAGTAGACAATATTTGTCAGTCCAGGGTACTACCGCAGCACGTTAGTTCTCGTTGAGTAATACGTGCCTCACCTTGCCTGCACTGCCTTAACGATCAATGAAAGGATAGCATGCGTCGAGGTGGCCAAAAAGATCTCAAAGCTACCAAAGCATGTCAGATAAGTCGGGGTGCATGACGCTTGGACGATCGCTGAACGTGTTTGCCCAAGCGCTGTTAGCATCGGAGACGGCTCAGAGATTAGAAGGATCAGTAATCAAATTCTTACATGTAACAAACCGAAGTTTTTCCACGTAATTTTCTGTAGGCATAGAGCTCCGAATATGGCAACGCATCCAGAACGACCTAAAGCTGTCGTTCAATTTGGGAATCGCGCCGGAGCAGTAGTACTGCCTGTCAAGGAAGAGACGGACGCTCTCCAGACGATACGAAAAAATCGCTCTCTTTTGGCCTACTGCAAGAACATCATGATGGTCGGCGCATCGCCGCCCCCTGTAATAGGATTGGTGTGGTGGGTGATCCGGGCTCCATGCAAAGTTCTTAGCCAATAGGAGCCGAGTATCAGGCGGGTCCGTGGAGTGGACAGGATAGATTTCCAGGAGCTGTTTGATCGTTTCTCACTACCACTGGAATTATGATTGGCTGAGGGAAATAAATGAACAGCGTCTCATCTCCAGGGTGGCTGTCCTCGGGGTTCCCCGTGGGACAGGCAGCCATTTACGGCTTCTGTGGTTCCTAAATTCACTGTTGAACTTGAGGAGGAAGGAACATACAAGAAGCCTCACTTGTTGCGAGGAGATATCTATCCATGGATATGAAAATGCTTGAAACCAAGTTACCCGGGCTGCCTTGGATGTTTTCCAGGAGAGGTTAAGTGATATTGCAAGGTAGCTTGTTGATAATCGATCATGAGGCCATTCAAGTCTTACGATGCGAACGTCCTTAGTGGCGAGAGAAAGCGGCTTTACGGCAGACTCCTGCCAAACCAAGACTGGCGCCTATCGTTTCGAAGGGTCCGTGTTCGTGGAGCAAACATAATCAGCTCCAGTGGACCGAAATACGGCGATACTAGCTCAAGCTTCCGCGACGTAAGAGGCTCCTGTACACGCATCAGTCCCGAGCAGAGCCGATAGTTGGTGGCCTTTTAACGCCATCACCTTGTGGCTGGGTCCACTGTACCTAGCTATGCCTTTACGATCATATGGGATGTGCGTAGATCTGAACTGATAACGGTGCATCCTCGGTCCCGCCGGGAGCTGTCATCCGTGAGCCGTACCAAGTTTAGACTTGAGACCAGCAAAAACAAATGCGGTATACTCTACGACCTGAGGCTTAGCTCGCGTGCAGTCACTGACACGGTTGACGCTACCGAATACACCCCCTCGCGAGATACTCCTGCAGATAAGAAATTAAGCCTTAAGAGATTGTCTCGAGAGACCAACGCTGGATCATTTGCTGCTAGCAAACTGTTCCGCTAGCCATGATGGGGTAAACATGTTGGACGCAAGGTGTTTGGTGACGAGCAGCTTGAGGATTTAGTTTCTACAAACACAGAGCTCCGTATCAGAGGCGGCTAACCCCGAAATGCCCTTTTAGTCTTCCGAGTGGTTCTCACATTCCAGATCATTGAGAGTCGCATAGCACTGGGTGCGCCACGGTACTTGCAGGATTCTGGTCCCCGCTCATCCTTACGGAGAGTCGCATTTGCCCCTTCCTTCCTCGAAACCCTTGTCTCTATGCCATGTGGGATTGGCCCGGTTTCATATCACCATCTCCACTCGAACTCTTAACCCTGTAATGACATATCAGTCTCGCGAACCGCGGTGATTGCCGGTTGGCCTTGGAAATTGCTGAACCATAAAAGAATTTGTAGTTTGGGGAGTGGGTCAAACAGCCAGGATGAGCCACGAAGGAAGCCAGGGCAAAAGCGCTGTGGGTGCCGCGCGGCAAGCTTCTGGCCCATTTCGATCACCCCACCTGGGGGCCACCTTGGCCAGACTTCCACTCTTTTCGGACTAGTCTGGCGGGATGGCCAGCCAGAGACACTGATCAACATCAATGCCTCGAAGCCCATCTCATTAGCTGTACATTCACCCCACGTGATCAACAGCTCGCTGCAAGACATAATGGTCGTGCATCCTGGTCAGGTACGGTCGGTAAGATTAATCGATACGAGGTCTTGAGTTACGTATGCTCTCAGTCACTGACGGTCGCTTCGCCTTCGGTTGGAACTTGAAAACACAGTGGACGCGCCCAGTTTCGGAAACTGAAAGCATAGCAAATTGCACACTCAATCCCACCCAGCGCGCGTCTCCCTCCGGCCCCTGTTCTTAACCCAGTTAACAAGAAAAACAAGAACTTTCCAACCCATCTCCACAGGTGGTTTTGGCTGATTTTAATCAACCTTCCTGTTTAACCATTAGACGTTGGCGCCAGTCATCCTTGCGAGGTTTGCCATTTAGTCTCAAAAGCTGTAGGATCGCCAAGGTTCGCACTCACATGCTCTGCCGCCGATGGCCCGCTATTGGTCTCGGCACATTCAATGATGCAAACCGACCTCGGCTACGGAGTAGACTTACGCTCTTTCCGATTACTCCGAGTATAGGCCTCTCTAATCACCACCCCTGATGGCGATTGTCAATTTACCCGAATACGACAGAAGCTGAATGTTGGAATACTAGTCACGATCTCTTACCTTCGACCAGCAGGCTCGATATTCAGTTTCAGGCGGTTGAGTATTCAACCCCAGTCCCCAAAACTGCCCGTCGGAGTCGCGCAGGGTAGAATATCGCCTCGCTAAATTTTCAAATCACTATGTAGATGCAGTCCACCGGTCCGGAAATTCCTAGCTCTAACCCTATTTCGCTGCGGGTTATGGAGTACAGATCAATGCTTGGAGAGTTTTAAAGTTTCCTATTCGTATATAGGCATATTCAGAGTACTGGACTATGGATGCCGGGGGAAAGTACGTTGAACTCGGATGATACATAGGCTTCCTCACATGTTCAATCGGAGGGCAAGCTGCTCAACAGTCTGTTAGAACCAAACAGCTGGAGCCCGAGGCAAAGAGAGGAATATAGTTGATTCTTTCGAAATGTTTGAACAAATCACGGTACCAAGCCGCAATGCCCGAATTGAGATGGTGTATTGGACGTACCCAAGGATGGGTGGGCTGGCAGCACAGCATGCGATGGAAGGGAACTCGAACCCGACCCTGAAAGCGGAGCGGCCGAGCTCGGCCAGGCATCCTGATACAACGTCGAGTCCGGCAAATACAGGCCATTTTGCTTATTTTGGAAAATTTCAAGCATTCTGCCCACCTCACTGGCCGTCGCGAGTACACTGCTTTGTGCTTGTTGTATCACCGGATAAAGCTCATTACACGCAACCTGGTGCTGATTGGTGGTACTAGCTGCATCCAAGGCCTGCTTCATCTGGAGTAGCTGCTTGCCCAATTCACTTTTCTCATCTAGAGTCTTCTTCTCCTGGGCCATGAGCCGGTTGATTTGGCTCTTCATATGGCTTGCATCATCACGCAGTCGCTGCAAATTCTGCGATGCCTCGAGACGTTCTTGCTCCATATCGGTTTGCTGTCTTCTTGAGGTCTCATCGGCCTTTGCGAGGAGCTCTATGCATTTCTGATAGAACTCGTCGGTCGACGATCCTTTCCCTCTGGAGGCGTTCTAGCAGTTTCCAGTTTTCCAGTTAGACACCGTGGTAGCCATTTTGGAACATGAAGAGGAAGCTGTTACCTACTGCCAATTTTTGGAGCTTTGCCACACCAGACGAGGACGGACCTCTGGAAGCTGCCCCGGTAGGCGCAGAACGTGTAACTCGGCTGGCAGCATTGCTAGAAATGGAGCCGCTCTTTATGGAGACCGGAGGGGCTGGGATCGTTGGCTTGCGCGAGGATGAAGCTTTTGCCATGCTGGATCGACCGGCTGGGAGCGGATTTTTCCCCTTCAACGGGAAACCTGAGATTCAAATCCTTAGATTGGAGAGAGGATATACTAGCACAGCGGAAGGACTCAAGCTTAAACGTGTTTCTTTAACCATCGTTCCAGCTCTCCTGAACATCGTTGAAGTTGGAGTTCTCCGGCCCGACATTGGTGAGGCTAAAGCGGATTTCAACGCTCCACTCTTTCAACGCCTCCACAACTCGGGGTAAGGCTTGGGACCCACAAGCCGCAGGAGGTCTAGATTCGTGTTTTTCCAACCGTTGGAGTTGGTTGTTATTATCATTATTACCATCGTACCGCATAATTCTGCCTGCCATTCACTTATCCTTTTAGAGAAGCTCGTTGCCCAATCTCCACAGCTCGGAAACGGCTAGGATCGCTCAATGCTAGCTCCGAATCTACCCTCTAGACGACAAATCGCGCAAGTGGTGGCGTTTTGGGAGATCCGAGGCCGCATAAAAAACACACAGGATGGGTGAAACGAAAATGTACCCTACCATGGGCCGAGGAAAGGAACTTTTGGCAAATTACCTCTGAATTTCTGGCCACTGCATTCACCTCGGACCCAACGGAGCACTTACAACCCAACATAGGTCACGCGAAGGCCGTACTTTAGCATCTCGACAAAACAACCGGGATGGTTCCCAGGCGTTCGACCACTCACCGGACTTGCCCCTCACGATATGGTCCAATATCTTGCTAAGTCCTCGGTTTTCTGAAATTTTCGGATAGTTCACATCATCGTGTCTCTAATCAACGAGGCACCGGATGACGCGAGAGGAGTCTTTGCACCGTCCACTGGCGGCTACAACCTTGACCCATCGTCCCATCATTCAAAAGGATTCAAAAAATTACATGTCCTCTTTCAGTCACCGAGATCAGTGGCCTCCATTTCTTTCTCCAGAACCATGCGAGTGCATATCCCAAGTACGTTGGAATTACTGTAGAGCGTTGAAGCCCCATTTCCACGTCTATCACCGCTAACTGTGATCCCTCCAGACATCTGACCCTCAAAGGTCATATCATACTCAGCCAGACGAGCAGGTAACCTCAAACGCTAAGGGCACCCTGAGGCGTCAACCCCTGAGGAAACTACGTACACTGAAGGCAGGACGCCGCAGTTCCCGCACCAAAGCCGTTGAAGACAGGCTTCGCACTCGGTACGAAGAACTAAAGGGGAAGAACCGACAGCTGTCCCTCGAGCAAGTCTTTTGCGCGCACAATTTGAGAGGGCCAGTGCGAGTTATCGGGTGAGAGATGAAAGAATGATAAGCTCTTTATCTCAAGCTCATACACAAATCATCTCCATAGCCTCAGCTCTTCGCGGATTGTTGACCGACCAGTCTAGTCGGCTCGTTCAACAAACAGACCCTGTGAAGGACAATAGGGGAAGGACATTATAGTCGGGTCAAACAATACCATCTATCTCAAAAGATCTTTCCATAGCAGTTGTCTCCTCATTGAGGTCACTCTGAAGTACTCACGGCGTGTACTCGCTGCGTAAAGATAGAGCGACTTTAAATGTTCTTTACCACTGGACAAGATAGAGACTCCGCTAAAGCAACCGGGTTGTATCCGAGGGCATTCTCGCCACACATGCGGTCAACCAAGGGCGACTGGGACTGCGACTGAGGGACGTTCAACGGTCTCCACAGTCACCCCAGCCCCTTGGGGGCTGGGATTATCTAGCGCACTGGGGCTCTCTGCCTACAGTAGTGACGATTATAAAAGGTGCCTAAAGCCCCAGCCTTTTGAGAACTAGGATTGCGCTCCTTGTCCATAAACCACAGTGTCACGGACTACTTGCACATCTCCCTCACGACGTGATACCCGTGTTGTATGAAGTCATCCCGAGGGTGTCAACCTCATTAACACTGCTACCGTGGGAGCACACCCTGTTACCAAAAAGCACTTAACCTGAGGGCGACGACCTCGTAAAATAATAGCCGGGGTAAGGTGCAACCCCGTCATCAACAAGCAAAGCCTCAAGGGCGCCTACGGGTTCCTGGCGGAGGGCGCATGTGTACCTTGACCAGCAAACACATGCCGAGGGTGTCAACCTCGTAAAAGTGACACCTCTGCCATGGTAGGCACCTCTGCGTGATGCTAAGGACTAGTACCGGCGCTACTGCTAAGCACGGGAAGCGAAGACCTACCAAAATCGATGATTTGCATACGGTACTCACAGCCTATAATGAATTTATTCTGCCACCCATAGTCCTTTTTCTGTTCTAATTAGTATTGTACATCTCTGATATAGGACTACTTCCATAAGGTAATTAGATTACGAACTGTAGTGCCGCATAGATAACGCGAAGTCAAGACTAATAGAACGCACCAAAATCAAACTTTGCATCCAAGTACAACCAGTAGCGTGAATCGTGCAGCTTCCTGAATCGTGGTTTTTGTCGATAGTAAGGTGGTTTGAAGATGGCAATTCTTGAACCTCATGGAAGAAATTGATTAGTGGGGTGTGACCGATGGCTCTAATTACCCAGTAAAGTACCTCGATCTGCTTTGCGTTTCGTGCTTAGAGTCTTCACCAGTGTCTTCACCTGTCTACTTTCTTGCGATCATGATGCCTAGGAGTATCATGCAGGTGAAAGCAGAACTGTCATCTTTCAGTTTTTGAAGTTGTCATCAAAAATTCAGGTTCGGTCATAGTTGAAGGCACCTCTGGACACCATCAACTTCGGCACCTATCTCGGAATATGAGTCAGACAGCAGCCGATTGATCGACTATAGAGTCAGTTTTCGTTCGTGCTCATCAATCCTAGTGAAACTGACTAATCGCAGATGGCGACTCGGTACATGTGTCCCTAAAAGTATTTTCGGCCGTGACGGATACCTTAGTCGGTACTAGCCGTATGTCGAGCATCTGGACCTCCTTAGGGACGGCACCTGCTTCTATGCCTAACACGGCCTCGGAGCGATGTCATAGCTCCGTAGTGTGCAGGATTTGAAGTGGAACGGAATCCGGCATAGAGAAGAGGTAGAATAACTGCGGCGGTACCTTCGCTCTAATCATTCGCACCTCTTTACTCTGTCTGTTGAGTTTTCTGCATCTGCCTTTGCTAGCCACCTCTCTTAGGACCACCTTATCGGGCTAGGGCAGTTAGGTGATAGAGTCACCTATATGCCTAGGTTCATGACTTTTCCTAGCCTCACAGAACTATCTTTGTCGCAAATCACACTACCGATATGTTTCCTATCCGAGGAATACTTCACATTCGACACTCTCCGCTCCTTGAGTTTGCGCTATTGCCCTAACCAGCTTTGCTTACTTGTTTTGTTATCAAAGGCGCTAAGCAAAATACAGCTCGACTCTTTAGAGGGTTGTTTCGATTTCCTCCAAGACAACGACAGACATACAAATGCCATCAGTAAGTTTCTCCAGTCCTTCTATAGGCTACGGAAGCTTTATTTGCATATATCGAATTTCCTACCCCTGGGATCAGCCTTTGTGGAAGGCGTGCATGCGCATTATGCTACTCTAGAGTTATTTATATATTATGAACGGCAACTAGCGCTAATAGATGACAGTGGACTATTTGAGGAAGACCGGGATTTTATCCTAGGCTGGGTCGGGGACTTAGGTCGCGTGATTGACTAGCGCCAAGTCACCTCCTTAGCCCTATTAATATGTTCGAGAGCTACCGTGAGTCGCTTCTATTAGAATTACCCGGAAGTAATATATTAATAGCAATAGCAATTATGTTTTGAGTCAGTTCGGGAAGGATCCTAGCTATAGCTGTTGCATCTACGGTTTAGCGGACCTAAGAGACTGTACCAAAACCTCGCACGAGCGATCAGAGCCCTTCTATCGGAAACAGAGTAGCTAAGCTCTTCTGGCGTTCGTACGCCCGACGTTTGCGATAACCTAGTCACCTACTACCTATCCCGCTCGACTCACAGAGCCTCCCTTCAAACAAGCACACTTCTTCCGTACTTAGCCGAGGCCATAGAGTTTGTATCGTTCGCAACCTGGGCATTCGGCCCGGAGGGTATACCGTCTCTGAAGGTGCTGGTATTGGGAGATTTCTCGCACGACGATCGCTACGAAGCCTAGCGCTTCTTGGTTCGCCGTCGAGACCCGTTGAAGGGATCTCAAACTCACGGTGCATGTCGAGACTTCGTACCGATCGAGTTAATGGATTTGGATACCTAGGGAGGCTTCTTAGGCGATAGCGCCCGCTTCCTTGCCGCATGCCCGGGTAGTGGCTTAATAGAGTCGCCTTACGATTCTTGATAGTAGCCTGGCTGCTAACGGTTATTCAGTAACCACGACCAAGGTCTTTTCACTGATGAATACTATTTCGATAGAAACATCCCCCCCACCCGTCTTTAACAGTAGAATAGTCAACTCTTTCGTAGACGGTTATAAGCCCTCAAATTTACAACGCTACCTTTTATTCCAACTAGCCTCGCACGTTAAACGTGGGTTGTACACTACACATCCTCAAACTGAACAAATAATTGTACCTACAGAGTTATGTAATTACGTTGAGGTTTTCCGTTGAACATCCGTATGTGCGGGACTATCTAATAACTATGAGTATCCACAACCGGTGGAATTCCGGTAAACCACTACGTAGACAGGCTACTACCTCCTAGCGATCGACTAGGTAGACCTCTTGAGCAAGAATATAAAGCGGTCGGGGTAGTCACAAACCTAGCTATTTCATACTACTCGACCAGGCTTATATGCAAATAATCATACGATGGATGCCCCTGCCTCGGTCGCTAGAGGCGACCGCCCGTGCAAGAGAAGACGAGACGACTCTGAAGCAAACGACTCCCAAGTCACAAATGAGCAGCAAACTAGAGACAAGACGCTGTGTGCTCTATACCGAATCAGGGTAAGATCTTTCCGTGAAGTATAATTCCTGAAGCCACTAACGGGACGTAGGCAGTACCTCGTGGCATGAAACTGTCTCTTATAGAAGAAATGAAACGAATTATAGACGAGAATCCTCGTCTTGCGTCCACGACAATAGAATTCCTTGATCTCTATCTTTTCCTGTGGGAGTCTTACGTGATCGATTCGGCGCATAAGATCCGTTTGGAGGAGGAGCAGCAACGGCTACAAGCCGAGAACGCTTGGCTAATCCACGCGAATAATCGATTGTACCAGGCTTGCACCGACCGGGAGCTGGTGTTGTGGGACCGCCAAGAAGCATTCGATTCCGTGCAGGAGGCAGTGGTCAAGGTGCTCAAATCACTACGAGTCCCGTCGATCACCCGTTGATCGACGGCGCTAACGGAAGACTGGGCGCGAGTATTGCAACGCATTTCCATAGAGCGATTTACTAGGTGGGAGACGTGTGTTAGAAAACGCAGAGGCGGGGTGAATACTTTACAGTAGAATTCGAAATCAGTTTTAACTCCACACTCTTGCGATTTGATTTGCGAACCCTAATCTGAAACACACTAGTGCACATTTGGAATGGTGGTCGATCTATAATTTCCAAGAATAGACATTGTATTTTACATGACCAAGGTGGGACCTTGCCTTGTGTATCTTACTCGTAAATGCCATACAATCGTAATTCTCTGCCATACCACCCACCTCAAGCAGGAGGCATCTTCACCCGTCTATCTCCCTAGAATGTCATAATTGACCTCACAAAATGGCACCGAGACTTCCACCATCCAAGCTGCATCTCATCCGCGACATGATAGAGAGCCAGTCACTTGGCACATCTAAAATGGCCGAAGAAGCAGAGTGCAGCCAGGCTACGATTATAAATATTCGCGCAAACTTGCGACAGTTTGGTAGTGTGCACGCACCCCCAACTCGAATAGGACGGAGACGGACTGTAACACCACTGATGATCGAAGCCCTCTGCGAACACCTGTCTGAAAAGCCTGGTTTATACCTCGATGAGATGGCTGTTTTCCTCTGGGATGAATTCCGCACCCTAGTCACAACCTCCAGCATCAGACGAGCCCTTGTTGCCAAAAGTTGGTCTAAAAAGAGCACTCGGCAGCAAGCGAGGGAGCGAGATGCCGATTTGCGAGAATGGTATCTGCATAATTTATCGGATTTTCAGTCGTATCAGCTGGTTTACGTTGATGAATCCGGATGTGATAAAAGGGTTGGATTCAGACGGACAGGCTGGTCACCATTTGGTGTGTCCCCTATGCAAGTGTCACAATTTCATCGCGACCAGCGATATCAAATACTGCCTGCCTATTCCCAGGATGGAATCGTTTTCTCACGTGTCTTCCGCGGGTCCACGGATGCCACAGTGTTCGAGGACTTCATAGCGCAGCTTCTTCAGCACTGTGGAAGATGGCCCGGACCTAAATCCGTTCTGGTTATGGATAATGCATCGTTTCATCATTCAGAGCGGATGGCGCAGATGTGTGTGGACGCAGGGGTAAAATTGGTCTATCTACCACCCTACTCGCCGGACTTGAATCCGATTGAAGAGTTTTTCGCTGAGCTCAAAGCCTTTATTAAACGCAACTGGAGTTATTATGAAGTAGACCCCGATCAAGGCTTTGATGCCTTTCTTGGATGGTGTATTGATATGGTCGGTGCAAAAGAAGAGAGTGCTAGAGGTCATTTTCGGCACGCAGGCTTGAAAATTGAAGAAGTCTTAAAAGATTGTTAGGTACGCCCGAAACTGGTGCCACCACCTGAAAGCTTCGATTATTTATCCAGCCCCACTGCCAAAACACACCAGTCTATATTGGGAACTTATCCGTAGTACCCTGTTAGTTGGGCATGTATTGCTTTTTACGAGATTATACGGCACTTTATGTGCTGCTTAAATTGAATATATCTGATGTCTCTTACCCTCAAGCCCTCCGAAGGACGTCGTATCTTAACAATTAATCACGAGAAATCGAACCGAGATGGCGCAAAGCTACCCTAGAGCATGAGCTTAACCACGACATGATCCAGAGTGGGGGATTATCTATGGCACAGGCAGCTGGCTACAACATATACCGGGGACCTCTTCCAGTATACAGCATCAAAGCACATCGTGGAGAACGCATATGTTCAATAACTCACGAAGATTAATGGGTATTGGGATGGCTCTTCCGCTAGCGTGGAAATGTCTTGATCCAGTTCAGCATCAAGGATGCAGTGATATTGATTACTCAGCATGACATAACGAGGGGGTGAAGGAGTGAGGGGTAAGGTGATTGAACTTCGGTGAGTGAAGTACAGGGTTCAGTCACCTAAGCGCTCGATAAACCTGCTAGGCAGATGATGTATCGAGCTTAAAGATATATATCGCGTAATAAGAAGGATTTCAACACGTGTAGTCTTGTCGCTCAACTTCCCTGTGCACGAATTTATACAGTATACGAAAACATATTTTCCTGCTTTCGTTTATGAGTTCTTGTAAAATACTCTCGACCACACAACTTTGCAACGTGGCTCTCATGGAGTTGTCTAAGCCAATAGCGCCGTAGGTACGCCTTAAGGGGTTCTATTTCGGGCCACCAGTAGGTCGTGACACATAAAGCCAGCTCATCGAACATTCACAAGCCAAATGCAGCCAAATGCCGTCAACCGCCCTTGAGATAACTATACATATGCCCCAAATCTTGTTTATATGATATCAGGACTGTTGCCATACTCTTGGAGTTTCTTTTCTCTCACAGTGCATAGGATTTGACGCTTTAAGACAAGCAATTAACGAAGTAATACGCCTATGGCTCCACCAGTTAGCAAAAGCGACAAGTTCTATACGGTCTACAAAGGTCGTGTTGACAAGCCTACCATATATTCATCTTGGTAGGATTGGATCCAACTTGGCAAGAGACGTTTGATGCACTGACATGCTACTTGCCTAGGAGTCAAGCGCACCCAAGAGTCATAGAATGCGAAGGCGCCGAGCATAAGAAGTGGGACACACTCGAGGATGCTTGCAAGGCAATGAAAGATAGAGGCTTCGAGGACGTTGATATATTTGTCAAAAAATCAGCTGAAACCAAAATCGTGTCGTTGCGAAAAGACAAATACTATGCCGTTGCAGGTGGCAAGACCACTAGAGTGTTCACTTCTTGGGAGTAAGCCTCCTTATTTTGATAGTCCAACATAGATAACTCACATAACATAGGGATGCGAAAGAGGCGATCAATAGAACCACCGCGTGCCAAGAATGTTTTAGCACTAAGCAAGAAGCAGAAGAGTTCATTGAGAATTGGAAAGACGCCTACGCTGATGTATGGCGAAGGGCAATTCGACAAGGATTGAACGAGGGATGGAAGGCGAGGGACATGAGTTTGAACATTGGATCATTCTTGCTTAGGGAGAATGACAACGAGAGGTTAAAGGAAGATGGTCACGAGATGGTCAAAACGGCTCAAAATGAACTTCCGAAGATTGAGCAATTATCTGTCAAAGAAGATAACCAGGAATAGAGCGTTCAATCTAGGGTTACGTTTGTGGTGGGGCTCAACGAGCGAAGGCCAACACGACCGAAGAAGAGCTCTACATGGCGCCGGGACTTTGGAGCTTCTTCTACAACAAATTTAGCAATGAATGTCATGCAATTCTACCTACTTTGCTGAACCCGTAGTTACACAGTGCCACCTCACATTTCTGCGGAAAACCATAAACTACTCAGTATTCTGATAGCCATCCCCACACTATTAGTGAAAGTCAGCGCCACTGATGGTGGAGATCCGGTCCAAGTCCGTCAATAAACGCCGTAGTAATGGTTCGTGGAAATGATGTTGAACGAGTTAAGCTACTTTTTCTCCTGGCCTCAATTACAGTATTAGCCTGAAAACAACAATTGCAGCTACACAAATCAACACTCGTGAAACCAATAATATGTCAATTGCACCTGCGGTCAACAGCAATATGTTAAACTAAACCTCCTAAACGCCATGTACGCCAACGACAAAGTGGATAGTTGCTAAATTATCTCATAAATGGGGATTGCTTTCTTCACGTTCTCAACCCAGCGCCGAATGTCTTCTACGAACCGTCGAGCAATACCTATCTTAATGCTCTTTCCGATAAAGAATGCCGGGTCTTGATCCTTGTAGACCTGCTCAAGATCAAGACCATTATCGATCATCATGTCACAGATCTCTCGAAATGCAGCCTTGAGAGTGTCATCAGTGACATTTGACACTTGCCATTCACCATACTCCTTGACTGCTTCATCCCTAGGTCCAGGGATCTCAAGCGGACCTAGAGATTGCATGGACTGGAAGTCAGCAGAAACCTGTGCAGCCGCAGAGGTGGAAGACTGCGAGGGCAGGACCTGGTTGTCCCTAGCTCTCTCTTTCATCACCATCAAACCTTCAACATAACGTTGAGAATGAAATCCTACTAGTGTTTAAACAATCCATCTGTTTGTCCGAAGGGAAGAAACTTTCCCACACGCGAAGGTCTTCTCCGATCATGGATAGGTCTTTCGCACATGATAGATTGGCGTGATTGATCTACCCTTGCTACAGTCTTATTCTGTCTGCTCTTCGTCCTCATCCCTGAAGCACGGGGTAAGTACTAATAATCCAGTTTCCTACATTGTCTAAATCGGATGAATTGCCTACGATTCCTCCTTTGCTTCCGTCATGCGTTGGTTTCTGGGTACCACTTTGTGGATCAACAGCAGGTAGTTGTGTCTTCTATCTTACTGGGTTTTCGCGATTGATCAAACTTCCTAACGGACACAGACTCAGAACGGCAAGGGAACGGCTACCATCATGTTCAGAAAAGAGCCCACCCACAGTTACCCTTTTCTGGCCGCAGGAGGATAATAGACCACAACCGTCGTCCATTGTTGCACTTCGATGCCAGATCTGCCACGGCCGTAGATCTGCCTCTTACCATAGAAAGCACTTTAATGACCCGATCAGTTTCCCAGCGACCGGCATCTGTTCTCGCCGGCGGACGAAGTGTAAGCTCTATAGTACGAGGTAGGATACACCGGTGGTAGCCATTCCGGAACTTCCAGCAGATTGATATATGACGGAAAAAGGAGCAGTTTATGGACCATGATTCTCGGTGGGAATTAGCGCGAATCCTATTAGAGTCAATTAAGCTATTTTGCAGTCTGGAAAATGACAAGAAAGGATGGCTGACCGTATCATTTAAGCTCTAATATTTGTTTCCATCGCTCCTTTCCTGTACTGCGAATAATCTGGAGTGAGTAGTAAAAAATTCTTGAATTATGTCGACTTCATTCTCGTTCAGGACACGGGCGGAAACTGGAGACTGCTTATCCCGCGGCTGCTGTGTCAGGCGAGGCCGGCTAATTGGCTGCGTCATGTTCAGACTACACACGACACGGCCCCAGGTCAAAGTTCAATGATCTGAGATTGCTGTTGACATGGGGCTGCACGCAATCCCTCACTGACTCGTGCATCTTTTGCCTGGCACACACTGCATGACACGCATTAGAGAGATCTGCTTCACCAGGGGAACCTAGTCAGTCACGACGGTCACTCACCGGCCACGACCATATAGCACTTCATCTCTTTTTCAATGTCTACTGAATGACGATAAAAACAAAGCCGATCTTCTTCTCGGTACGAGGTCGGCAGATCATGGTTGGATGTGGTCTCGCCGCAAAAGATTTTGAACTGTAAAGCCGATCTGGCCCTGTCGCTATTGAGTTGGTACGAGCTCTGTCTTTTTTGTTCAAATAAGGGCAAAGCTCATGCGACGCTTGGGAAAAATCAGCAATTTCTTCATATCTGTCCGATAGTTTCCGATTCTTGACGGCCTGGATTAGATATGTCGCACAACGATAAATCCACATGGAATCCTAAAGACGACGATTGGCTCCCTCAATTTGCCTCTAAGGCCTCAATCCCATCAACATGTCGACTTTTGTAGACCGCTCCATCACTTCAAAATCACATACTCTTGGTCAGAGGCTACTTTTAAAAGTGCATGACTATCAGAAAGTGAGTACGTACTTCTCTCAGTATAAAGATTCGGTGAACAAACATGTTACATGAGAGATGATATCGAGGTTGAAGGTAATCGTATATACCGAAACCAGCAGCACTCATGTATTCTCTGTTGATGCCACAAAAATGTTTCTGGACCTGTTTTGATGCACTCCACTCTGAAGAAGCAACAAAAGTGAGGCGGTTAAGATGATAGGAATCTGGAGCTGCTTAAATCAGCGCACGTCTATTCACTATAAATACGCTGGAGTTTTTACCTCTAATGATAACAACCAACTGTGCAAGATGGCTCCGATGCTGGTGACGACTAAAAGTAGAACGGAAGCAAATGAGAGTACGGCTGCAATGTGGCTGACTTGAGCTCGAGTCTGATATCCCTGCAGGGTACGCTGACGTAACCACCAGTAGAAGAAAGACATTGCTAGGTAGTCAACACACAGCAGGAAGGCCACAATAAACCACATTGAGGGGTAAATGAAGGTACCGATCATGGCAGCAGTGACTTTGGTCAAACAAGAAGTCACAAAGACTGCCAAGCCAGCCGCAACAAGGCGAGTCTCTCCCTCTAATCCGCTCAATTGAAGCTTCACTTGGTAATACTAAGTCGTAACAGTTAGCTCTGGTCTGCCATCACAGCATTCCTGGGTATTACCCATGGCACCGGTATTAGAATCGAAATGATGGCTCTCAAGGTCGCAACGCTCTTTTCACTCGATTTTCTGCAGGTCAAAGCCAAGCTCACAATGGAACAGCTCAATAGCATTATGCATTGAGCCAAATCAACAAAGTATAGTCGGTATAGTCGGTATTGGGGTAGTCGTATATACAAAAATAATACCCTTGCCCCGAGAACGACAGACAAGAGTGTGGTTAAAGCCGAGTACTGAATAGCCTCAGATTCCATAATGACCTTAGGATGAGCAGAAAATGAAAGAAGGCAGTTAACATGAAAGCCCTCCAGTCTTGTATTTATGAGCACAGGTAAGGCAACTGATAGGGGCTGATAAAACCCAGGTCCTGGGAGCTTCCAGATGTCTGCAGAGCTACCGCGGGAACGGCGCTTCACAACGAGCGGAAGGACTGCAGAGCAGAAATTTGATAGAAGTGACTCTCCTCGGGACCGGCGGGTTTCAATCCAGTGTTCATTCCTGGGAGATCTGCCTACTTCTCTGTTTCCCATTCCAGCCATGTTTCAGAATCAGATAAGACCTGACGGTGATTGAGCCCCAGTACTCGCTCCTGCCTGGCCAGGCAATCTCGTAGTAAATCAAGGGCGCGGGTTTATGACCTGAATATTTCAAGGTAAAAGAGAGATTGGCCATGCTCGTCAGAGTGGAGAGATGGTCCGCACCGAGCTTCGTCATGTTCACCTCCATGACCTGCACAAAAAGCTGCTCGGCCTCCTCCCATCAGCCGTGTTTCCTATAATTTCACGATAGGCTATCCATCCTCTTCAGCGTATTAGAATGTTCCACGCCGAGATTCATCTTGCGAGCCTCCATGACTTGCACGGCTTGCTAGACCGGAGACAGATTTGTCTTTTGGTCGGTGGGACAAATTTACGTCGATGAGGCGGTAAATTCGTTAGCATTTACATTTACCTTCTATTCGGTCCTAGCGCTTTAGGTTGCCGCTGATAACTCTTGCAAGTCCTACGGGACACGGGAATTTGGTCAATATTGTTTTCACCAACGAGTTCTTTGTTGACTCACCGGACCAGGTGGATGACATATTTGACTTTTCTCCCTTGGTGAAGCTCGTCCAGCTAGTTTAGTTTCCTACGAAGATCGGCCGATAGCTAGGTCCTATGCTCTCTGAATTGCAACAAGGTTCGCCTGTCTATGATTTACCTTTCCCTTAAATTTGAAGTTCGAAGTCTCAGTTTTGGAAAATGTGCCACGATGTCTCTCAATGCTCTGCCCTCGGAAATAATATCCCTCATTTCAGGCCATATACATTCTATGACGGACCTATTCAGTTTTCTACGAGCAAAACATAAGCTGTACAACATTCTTATTGGCGATTTTTTCAAGAAAAACATCAAATCTGATGGAGGGTCTGTCCTCGTGTGGTACGCGAGTCATGGTAACGAAAAAGGGGTGCAGTGTATGCTGGCAGCTGGCGCAGACGTCAATGTCCGATCACATGGCCGCGAGCAATCAACAGGGCTTTTGGAGGCGATAAGTCACAATCGTACTCGTATTGTGCAGCTTCTGCTAGAGAATGGAGCATCTCCAGATATAGCCGACCTCCGTTCTCGAAGGCCATTGAAATTGGCAACCAGTGGACGCAGCGACATCGCTATCACCAAGATGCTGCTTCACCATGGAGCCAAGGTTAATTCTGTCGCGTTTGATAAGCTGTCTCCTCCGTTGGAATCCATACGATCAAACTAGGTGTCCAAGGCGGCTCTACTCCTGAAATTTGTAGCTGATGCACATATATTGGAACGCAACGGGATGAATCTATTGCATGTCGCGGCATCGAAGAACGCAATATCTGCAGTTATCAAAGCACTCCTGCATTCTGGCATTGATGTGGATTCGCAAGACGGCACTGGACAAACTCCCCTTCAGGTAGTAACTGAACATTCATGCCTACGGGCTGTTCAAGTACTGTCACAGAATAGCGCCAACCTAAACTTTCAGAATCATTACCGGTTTGGAAATGGTTGGACAGCTCTTTTCTACACGATCCGCCCTAAGAACCTAAGGAATGATAACAGAACCATAATCCAAACGCTCGTGATGCACGGAGCTGAAATAGATATGCGAAACTCTAAGCAGCAGACACCTTTGCTCTATGCGATCTCTCAATGACGCATAAAACAAGCCCAAACATTCCTTCAATCTGGAGCAAATATTATGGCGCAAAACTCCGACGGCGAATGTGTTCTTCACTTAGCTGCTCTATCGCCATATTCTTCTTTCGATATGATAAGCTGGCTGGCTGAAAACGGAGCTGACGTGAACTGGGTGGGGGGAAGCAACGTGAAACACCGGTTTTCTACGCCATCAAACGCATCTTTGGTGACGAGGAAAATGAGGCAGCGAAAGTCCAAATGTTACTGTCATTGGGTGCTGATGTTAATTTCCGGAACATCGACGGGCTCACCCCTCTTGATTTGGCCGTCCGCAAATGCTCCATTTCAGTAACAAAGATCCTACTTGATCGCGGGGCGCAGGTCAATTCAAGACACTTGCAAAAGAAAGCTGCACTTCACCATGTTTTCGATGAAAGGTTTCTTTCTCCTCTGGAAGTACGAGAAATGGCTGCACTTCTCATTCGGCACGGAGCTGATGTGAATGCTCGTGACTCTGCCGGATATACGCCCCTACACATAGCTGTCACGAAGAGATGGACGTGGGAAATAGTTGGAGAGTCACTGAATGCGGGAGCTGACCGATGTGCTACGTCTGATGATGGAAAATTTCCATATGATATGATTCCTGACGGTCCTTGGGCGGAAACACAACGTCTTTTCCTTCGTCATTACCCTGTTTGATCATACATCAAGAACAAAGCCACAGCATCAAAAATCATCTCCACATTTCTAAATTAACAATAAAATTGTTTGGAGATCAGTTTGAACTTCACCTGGTATATTATCAGAAAGAATAAGAAAGTGTCAGGATAATGGATATTGGCATTGTATTGACTCGTCAGATGCAACTATGGCTGGCTGAGATCTGCAACCCCTTAATAACCCCCTCTTTAATTTTTATAGATTCTTGCTATATCTGGACCCCTCGGGCTAGTAACCCCCGAGTCATTGGTATTCTCATGGGTATTTCAACCCCCATGAAGTTCAGTAGTTTAGTTCATCAGAATCAACACTTTTTTCAACCCATCTTTGCATTGCCCCTTTTTGATTCCGTTGCTATCATTAGCTGGTAAATCCTTGGTAATTCATAGCTGATGCAGGCCATTCCTGTTAGAAAGAGACAGGTAGGTAAAGCTTCATCTTGTCTTCACGGAAAACATAAGTGGGGAACGATCTTGTCCCAGAATTGGACTACCCGTTTATTAGGATAATTTAGGAAATTCGGTCCCGTGTTGAAGTTAAAAATGACTGGTACTAGAGCACAGCTTTTGAATTACTGTCAATATTATCGACTGCGGGTAAGGCAATATTTGCTATCCTCCACGGTTGGTCCAAGATTTACATCAACGAAGAGCGAAGGAACATCCTCGCAGTGCGCATGATTACCCACCAAGTTCTGTTGAGCTGGCCGATTTGCTAGCTAGTATTGTAGGAGTAATTCGTGTCTGATCTGAGAATAGACAGCCGAATCAGACAAGATGATGGACATCCGAGCAACATCTCAGTCTCATTATAGATTTTCCCTACTTCTACACGACCTGACAGGATCTGGCCCGATGATGAGCTTCCATCATTTAGTCAACAAGACTCTGGGAGGCAAAAGGACAGACTCAACCGATGTCGAACTATCATCACCTACGTTGGTGACTAACACAGGCCAAAGCTATGTCCGTGCAGCCCAACCCAGCAGTGAAATCGACCTTTAGCACGCCCACAGAACGAGGGGATCAGGGTGAGCAGCAAGTTCCACGGTGAGGACATGTGGGTCTGGTGGTTTAGGCAGACCCGCCCCCACTGGGGGTGTTGCCTACGTGGGAGAGGGTGGTGAAAGGAACAACGATAGGGAATGAGGGCACTCCGGTGACGATAAGTCCTCACTCAGGTAACCACCGGTGTATGGCCATGCTACTTGTGTTTGCGAATTTCTCTCGGATTCTCTTAATCCTTTGCAATACATATTTTCACGGGTTGTGATTACTATAACCTCTATTCAAGCTATGCACTTCATTCCCCAAATTGGCTCGCGAAGGTTTCAAGATGCTGACGACCTTATGTCGCTTGCTGATGGGTTCGTCCCAGACGCGACAGAACGGGATAGAACCACTTCGCAGGGATTTCTGGAATGACTACCCCTACCATCTGCTGGAAGAGGTGCGGGAAAAGTCTATGTACTACTATTCGCGTGTGAGAAGAAAGGCCTGGGTATTGATCGGAATCTTGGCCGCGCTGGTTATTATGTACCTTGCTACCGTCACCGTCACTTTCCAGCGACCATGCATCATCCGTGACGGACACTCCTGTGACCACCCTGTTATTCGACTCGCCAAAAATGCTCAGAAATCGTTTAACACGACCCGAGACGCTCAATCCCAGTCTCTCGATGAAGCTGTTGCCGAATACCGCCGGCGTTACCAGATGCCGCCGCCTCCCTATTTTGATAAATGGTACGAGTTCGTGACGGAGCGCCAGACGATGATGATCGACGAGTTCCACAATATATATCATGCCATTCTTCCCTTCTGGGGCCTCGCTCCGAGCACGATCCGCGCGCGCGCCCGAGAGGACTTAGGACGCCCAAACGTCCTGATGGAGGTAACTATTCATCATGGTCTGCCAATTTGCAAGAATGGCGGCCAAGGCAATTTCCAGGAAGATGGGACCATCGAGTCGCTACGAAAATTTGCGCAGTGGCTGCCAGACATGAATTTGGGGTTCAACGTGCACGACGAGCCACGTGTGGTGGTACCGCACGAGGAGCTTAATCGGCCAGTCTTAGAAGGCCGCAAAGCCCAAGCTCGATTAAATGGCAAAGGCGTTACTCTGAAGCCTTATTTCACCCAGCAGAAGTTTGAGGAGCCTGTTCCGGTGCATTTTAACAGGTTCATAGATATAGAAAAGCAAGAAACCTGGCTCTACTCGCGGCTATTGTGCCCGCCTAGTCCATGACCCTCTTTTGTCGTGACGCTCTTTAGTGTATTGCCACGCGTAGCTTCGCTGAGTTCTATGCTTGCCGCGCTTCGCTCCTTTTGTCAATCCTGAAATATGACTAGAACTTCTGATAATTGGCACCGTGACAACGGATGTTACAGGAGAAGCCCTCTGCACCCACCTGTCTGAAACGCCTGGGATCTACCTAGGTGAAATGGTTGTCTTCCTTTGGGATGCGCTCCCGACCCTAGCTATAAACTCCAGCATCAGATGAGCCCTTATCGCTAAGGGTTGGTCGAAGCGGCTACTCTGGGATCGGGGGGTTTGAAAGAGAGGTCTCAGAGTGAAGATGGCGGTAGTCCCACCCGGGATTTCAGGACGCACGCTTGTCTTACAGGCCTTGAATGGAATGTGGGCTACGATACTCCGGATATCTGCTGGTAGTAGTCAGTATAGATGTTACAACCTGCAGCGGTAATCCCAAGCACCGTTACTTCTGAGGCTACCTCTGTTTAGTTACGCAGTGCGGGCAACAAAAGACGATCCTACGGGCACAAGAAATTCTAAGCATGAACAATCTGACTGAAATATGGATTGAGCCTCATATTCTAGGCAACATGGCTTGGCTGTGTCCCACGCAAAGCAACTAGAGGCCGGAACGCACGGAGTGCCTTCCCTCAATGATGAACTTCCGCCGATGGGGCATCGGACGAAGCCGACTCAGCCATTCTAAGCAACCACATCCTTGTCCCTGGCTCATTTTCGGCCGGGGACTGGTTCCTGGTTCTTCGCTCATTTGACCTCTTTTCGTCCTCTCAGTCCGGCAAGGCCCCCACCAGGCTTCAGGCGCAGGAAGTTTGTCACAGACTGGCAGTCGGAACATGATGCGGGGTTTGACAGCATTGCCTGATGCCATAGAACTCTTCTGGCGAGTTCTAATGGCTTCTGGGGGGAGTACCGGACCATTTTCCCAAGATGAGTCTCCTTCTGACGTGGCATCAGAGGTGTCGCGTCAGATGCATTGCTTGTGCGGTGACCGGCCCGCAAGGCTCTATGATGCATTTTTAATCGGTATTGGGGTTTGATTTCTGGTTGGTTTGAGAAATCCCGAGTCTTAAATATTCATATCGTGAACATGTAATCATCACGCAATTGTCTTATAGAGAAGCATTTCAGTGGACCTCATTTTGTGGCGGCAGGTCACGGCTTTCTCGGTTTGGTTAGATCCTTCGGCATATTTGGCGAGTAGCCCTCCATCGAGCCTCTCTATATACCGCACAAAACATACCAGCTACTTAAACTGTCTGCTAATGCCCCATAATTTTATTGAATGATCAGAGCCTCAAATGACTCAGCCGGTTGTCGCCACGCAGTGCTCCTTCATCAACCCAGTTGCACGTAGCTCATTTCCTGGCCATCGGGGCTGAACGTCGGCAGTCGGGAAACAGCGCACATTGTGAAGAGAACAAGACACACGGCTGTATGGACTCTATGAAGCCTACTTGGGAAGATAGTCAGGACTAGTTTTACCTTCCTCTTGTCGGTGCTCAGGTTGCATCGTGTGTTGATGATCTTTTAAGCACCCAAATTGAAAACCCTCAGCCCGCCAGCGGAAGATGAATGGTCACGTTTCTTTCCCGCTGCGTTGGAATCCCAGTAGTTAAGAAATCTCCACGGAACCTGAATAGGCTGGTGTCGTACAGACTTCTATAAGAAGGACTTTCCACCCACCGATCACTATCCCACATGTCTAAATTCTATCCAATTCGCCTTCAGGTCACTGATATGATCTCCCTGCACTCTCAAACTTGCAACCTTTTTGGTCGTGTTATGGGGGACACGCTTCACCATACCCAATGCTTGTGGAATGCTACTGGATATCAATGCTCTAATGAGGTATCTAAAGAATCGCGGAGCCATGGGGCAATTTGTTTGACGATGGCACGGGTCTCTTCCGAAAGCCAATTCCGCAGAAACGTCACTCAGGCAGCTCGATATCTCCTGTGCGAGAATTGCCGTTGTTACCGGGATCGAGTTACAGAATGTGCGAACAGATGGGCAAACCAATTATTGCAGAGCGAAAGGCAACTTGATGCACTCGTGCGCCAGGGAAAAAACTATGACGCCTGGGACCGTTTTCTTTGGCCCACCGTTCTGTCACACTGACACGTAAGAATCACACATTTCCCGCTCAAAGTCAACTGGTACCGGATTAAGAGACATATTGGATATACACTAAGCAAAGAAGTATGGCAATTCAGCAATTCGTGGGTAAATCACCCCTTGAATCGAATCGTTTCTTCTTATATGTATCTGAAAATGCGGTGACCGCACGTCATGGACGTCTCACGGCTCTTCGCACAGACATGCCGTGACTAATCCAAGTCAGTAGCGATAGGGCCATGATCGTTCTGCCAGTTCTGTTTACGAGAGCATAGGTCCAGTGGAGAATACGGTTAACTTACCGTTGTCTCTGCTGTAAACGGGCGCGGTTCTGGAGAAGGGGCGGCTGAGCGACGGCTGCGATCACGCTCATAAGCAGCACTGTCATTTTCTAAGTCAGAAAAATCAAACTGACCATCTAACTGGGTAATCAAAGAAATATCACTAGGCTGCATTGACTGAACTAGAGTGTCTGAGCAAATAAAAGGTTCTGTCATGCTGCTCTGTATCGAAACACTGTCATGCATTTTGAGGTTTTCCTAGCTGTTGACTTCCATTGCAAGCTCGTTATATTTTCAATAAAATAAGAAAAAAGTCCGTGTGCGTAAAATATACCGCGAAAGGCTGACTCATTTCAAGCATAGGTGATCCGTAGCACCATAATTGCGGATTCCGTCAGGTGCGTTGCCCGCTACAGGATCAGCATCAATAGAGGCCTCAACTTTGTTCGGTTTCCTCATTCTCCCCAAGCTTTTTAAAAATAGTTCCTAGCATAACCTGGATAGACAATGGCTCCCCTTCATTTTCTGGCGCCGCACGCTCCCGCAGCAAGTAGTCCACAACAGCCCCAGTCCTCTGGTTGAGCTCATAGAAAATTTCCAGAAGACGGGTAACATGATCAAAATCCTCTTTGGACAGCCTGAGGCTCTCTTGCAGAGACCTGACCTCTTGCTCAAGCTTCGCGTATGCCTGTTCGGCTCGAAGGGCTCTCGAGTCAAGCCTTGCCACGGTACGGAGAATACCCTGTCATGGTTAGAGAATGCTTCCACAGAGTATGGAGGGCATTGCATTTACCTGATCGTCCATCTTCATGTTCGTGATTACCAAGCGTGACGCTGCGTTTAAAGAGAGCGTAGGAAAGATAGTGGTACAGTGGCACTCAGTGTTTTTCCAGAGTGCCGATTGCATTAAATATGGCTATATGTATCTGTCCGGTGGAACATCAAGATCTAATCCGAATGAGCCTGTGGGGACTCCTCCGAACGATTGGTTGAAGAAAATATTCTTTCTCTGTACGTGATTCTTGCAGCCTCCATCTACTACGAAGAACTAGAAGTCAGTGAGCATCACTCTTTTGAGGGGGTCTTTCCAGAGGTAAAGCTTGAATGATCTCAGAGTTGTGGTGAACTAGGAAATACCTCGGTGAAGGGATATAACGCCCTATTGTGAGTCCATCGTACATTATCCGCCAGCTTTGACCAATTCACCTGCCTGAGAAGTTTGCGTTCTCTGACATAGTTACGCCTTTAACGTCTCCTTGGACAACGACAAACATTAGAATAAGCGGAGAGTGATGCGCAAGAGTGGCGAACAAGAGTGGTGAACAAGAGTGGTGAACAAGAGTGGTGAACAAGAGTGGTGAACAAGAGTGGTGAACAAGAGTGGTGAACACGAGTGGTGAACAAGAGTGGTTTCAAGGCAGGTACAGAGCTGTCAATGTATGAGAGTTTGTGATAACCACAATCAAGCAGTACTACTTGATGCAAATCGAATTTAGCTCTCTGTTTCAACTACTTTGGCATCTGCTTTCAACAATCAATTTGAGCTTGCTGCGGCTCACCTAAATTTGTGGACGGACCTTCATTTCTTTTATAATGCCGTTGGGTCCAAAATAATAAGTCTCGTCATCTCTCGACCTGTCGGTTTTGCTCGGACTGCCGTTAGTGCATCCCCCTGTTTAATATATATCTATTCCAGCCATTGCTACACTAGCACAGGAGACGGATGAGATATTTTGGCCCGTACGGGGCACCTGCGGTCTGAACACTGGCGATGTAGGCCTCGAAGACGGAGGGCTACAGCGCCGTGAGGCCTGCAGGCGGGCCCGTGGCACTCCATATATTTTAGGAGGAAAAGTAGCTATGCGGGAACATACGTGATAAATACATGAGAGGGTTCCGCGGTGGGCGGGAAGAAACCGTCGTGGAGAGAGCCCGGCGCTCCCTCGAAATGGAGATATTCTTTTCGAGGGAGGGGAAGGCCAGGCGATATTTGTGTGCGATGTCTAGCGCGGAATATCGTGATCCCGACGCAAGGGGCTCTCACGCAACAGTCCCGAATAGAACCTATCATTTATTCACTCCAACACTGCTAGAGGAGAACAACGAGCCGTCACACGGTTCCACATATAAGGCCCGAAAGAGCCGCACAGTAACATCACATAATACCAAGGGCGACTAGAATCGCACGACGTAAATATCTATCAACAGTATTTGCGCAGAATCAAGTAAAGCCGTCCAAGCAGTAAGTGAACCAAAGCAGATTTAACCGCCCAAGACTAGGGCCTCCACTCTCCATAACGCCTTACTACTAGCCTACCACATCATCTTACTAGAAAAATTTGAAGTTCAAAACTCATAGTGTAGAAAAATATTCAACGGTGAAGGTGAGTTTGGGTGGGGGCGAGTGGGCCCGGTAGTCCGGACATGCTAAGGGGAGGAACCGTTGAAGCAAGCCCCTTTCAACAGTAGAGATTCACCGTGCACTGGTCGGAGATAAAGCACCGGAATACTCAAGAATTTGCTAGAATTGCACATTAGGGAATTCCGGTAGAATTAGATAGTTTGCGAGATGCGTGACTGTAGGGTTGGTGAATAGAGAGGGTTGGTGAGAGAGGGTTGGTGACTAGAGGTAGAAGCAACAACCGGCACGAACTCGAGCGCTTACCAGAGCGGACAGTACTAGCTTTGCCCCTAGCGTATCAGAAAATCCACTCTAATCCGAACAATTAATGTGGTTGCTTTCTTGCTGCCCCTGAACTTCGCCCTAGGCCGGTCGGAAGCCCGTCTCTACTGTATATCAACCGGATAACCGAGGACAGATTGCCAATCGAGTATCGCTACAACTCCTAAGCGTCAATTATCCTAGTCGCAGATGGCAAATAGCAGTAACGAGAAGCGCTCTACATGGAGGAGACAGTGTCGAGATGCCCTTGCTACCCATATCTGTAAGTTTGCGGCGTCTTGACTGGGCCTCACACTGACCCCTTGACCGCAGATGATCGCCTTGGCGTTGTGGTCGACCCGGCCCAGGTTCGACTCCAACCGTCTCCGGATGATGGATATGCATGGTCTATCGCGGAACCAATGGCCTTCTTGCTGAAATCACCTCTCAGCAGTAGCAGCGTGAAAAACTTACAAATAATCTGCAAAGAACTTGGCCACTCACTAGAAGCAACTACGCCTACCGACGGGTTTCAAACAAGGACTGAGACGAATCACACTAGGGGAGACGTACGTTAAGTATTTCCACTCTGGCTATTCTGCTACTAACGGATTCGGAGTCGCAGACCCTCAATAGAGACCAGGAAGTGAATAGCTCCTTCACCTCGAGAATACGCGATCTTGAGTCTGCTAATAGTGAGCTCCACGATGAGCTGGACTGTCTGCGGACGACGCTTGAAGAGTCCAAAAGCGAGAGAGAAGACCTGCAAGTTCGGATAAGTGACCTCGAAAACGAAATAGAGACAATGCGGTCTCAAAATCGCTCAATGAAGGGTGATTTGACCCGTACCGCCAATGTTCTCTCGAATGCTCTCCAATTATTGCAGGTATACCAAGAAGAAATCTAACGGGAGATTCGATTTATGTGAGCGCCAGAAGAACATGAGTTGCTATAGCGCGTCCCGACTAGTCGCTAGAGATTGGAAGTCGAGCTATGCTCTCAGACTCGCTTGAAATTTGCGTGCGTGCTTAAAATATCTACACCGCGATATGGCTTTCACGTCCTCTATTAGCATCCTCCTTGTAAAATCCTCCAACCTACTATAGTAACTGAAAGCCTTGCCATTGAACGATAGCAAGATCCATACTTTTGCAATCCTAACTGTGATAGCGACGTTCATAGTGTTTAAGACTCCACTCGGTTTTGAAAATTCTCCGACAATCAGGTTGTAGACACCAAAATAAGCCCTGCTCAGTGAAGCGAGAATCTAGCGATGAGAATTGCTGAGAAGGTGTTGGAGCGAAGCCAAAGCTCTGTCTGTGGTCCCCCGCGGTAGACATGGCAAGGCTGGGACGACCTGTATCTGCGACTATACGGCTATGGGACGAATAAGTTGCCACATGATGCACAGTAAGAGAAGGCCCGGGCAGGGGCAATGTGCGTCCATCCGCTCTCACTGTATGGTTCATGTTGATGACTGGAGATAGGTCCGGTATCGGCAATGTTGGTAGTACTGATAGACCCATCAAACAATCCGTATGGCCCAAAGCTTCTCCTGGGACCGACCGATAGCCTGCCCAGCATGACAGTGCCTTTTTTTCATCCGAGTTACCTCCAGGATACCCCAGAAACACCAAGTGCTATACATTCCTCGTGGATTCAGTGGTTACAAACGATTGTCAGCGTACGGGAAACCCTGAGGCTTATCGCCAAGGATGGTCAGAGTCTCTCTTCCACCTGGGACTACCTGAATAAACACCGACCACAGAAGCTGCTTGGGTTTTTGAGATATGCCTGGGGAGATGAAGGTGATCTCATCAACGAAAACGAGTCATTAAGGCAAGCTCTTCAAGAAACAGATGCCAGCCGGCTCTGTGACGTCGACCTCCCAGGAGAATGTCGGCTTCATGAGGCATACCTTCCATTTCTGAATCTCACCCATCAATGCGCTCAGTTTGTAGACAGCGAAGCTGTCTTTCCATTCTTACACTTGGAGGGAGATTCAACCGTGGAGCAATCAATTTCAAATTGGCTTTTCCTTCACACCTCTCTTGGTGTGGGAAAAGACGAAGATCTTGACTTTTTACTCGACATCTTGAAGTGGTTGAAAACTTCAGACCCTGATGCAAGTCGTATCAGTGACTTTGAGCATATTTTCAGCCTCTATAGTGCCATACATTCCAAGTTAGTTGGCACCAGAGACAAAGTGGTGTTGAGAGAGCGCATCAGGTATGTGCGCACATCAACCAACACTATTGATAAGACTCCTCCTAATTTTTCACATCAGGTCATTTTTCCAAAGTGATACCTACATATTTGTTCCTCAATTTGCTGAGGCTAGCATCTCGAGTGCAACCTGGACCAAACCCGAGCTTTGTCTCTGGCGAGCACCCCAGAATTTAATCAGCAGATATCCAATTGAGCCAATTTACCAGCACTGTGTCGTTGATGAGACCCAACTATCATATATTTCGGTTGTTCTGATTTTCCAATAGGCCCCGATGTCCTTCTGCCGTCCATGGCTGATGGTCCATCTCGGATGATTTGTAGTCCTGCAGGGGACAAGGTAGGTCAAGGACTCCTTCGTTGGGATAAACAGGGGAGTCAAAGGAGTTCCGGTCATAAGAAACAATAACGGAGTCACCGATCAAGTGATACGAGCTCTCACACTTGCTTTGGGGGCAGTCCTTCAGCTCAGGCAGCTTTGTATCTGGAGCCTTGGCCTCTTGTCTGAGCTCGCTTAGCCAGCATGATAAGTTTACTCTTCCTTGGAGCTCGCGGCAGCCACAAATAGTAGCTAGGAAATATGCCTTCTCTTCAATCATCACATCGCTCACTTGCAACCCTTGTCGCTGTCTTTTCCTCGTCTATTTTAGAACTGTCTTCCTAATACTGGGGGCTTTACGCTTCGTCGTTCGAGAAAGCCCTTTATTTTCACGGCGGAGGCTGAGATATTTTTCTCTTCGACTCAAGATTTTCGAGACCGTGCTACAGCTACAGCATTATTTTAGGAAAGAGCATAAAAGGGGGCATGAATAACGAGTAACAACTGACGTTCTATCCACATCGAACACTTCTGTTCAAACAGAGAGGTCAGTAAACCCATTAGTCGGATTAAATGTAGAGGTCAGGAGTGTTAGGCCTACTACCGATAGCAGTATTCGTTGCACGGTGCTTTTCATAGTATGAACAAATCTGACGTCGGTCGTCATCGCTGAGCGTTCGTCGCGGCTTTTTAGTGGACAAAGAAGAAGAGTGGACAAGCTGCTCTGATTTTATTGAGCCTCGTTGAAGCTGCGGCATGCAGTACCAGGAATACACCGGCGTTGCTAATGAAGTCGACGGGTACAATGGCGTTGTTAACCCCCCATGCGTGATGATATTCGAGGCTAAAGTGTAGTCGAGGTCGTTATATTTTGGGACCGAGATCGAGTGCTCTGCATAGCTCACACTCTCCTCGAGACATTGCCAAGATAGAACATAATCATGCGAGACTTGTTGGACTTTGGTTCCTGTTGCAGGCAGGTCTTCCATGGAGTGGACTTGAACGGACGCCATGCTAGAGCCTTGACGAGGTAGAAATAGAAATTTGGAGGGTGTAGGGAGAGGAATAACAGCCGCCTCGGGAGGGTCAGTTAACCGAGTGTCCCGGCCAGATGTTCGGCCACAGGTAAAGTTCATGCCTAGTCAGAGTCACACAAACAATGTTGTCGGCTACGCAAAATAATCCCGGCAGCTCCAGGATCCAGACCTGCATTAGCACCAAACTAGAAAGGTAGCACAGCCGAAGCATGGCGGGAAAAGTACGGTGGAACAAGAAGCTGCGGAGGACCGGAGGCCCGTGCGGTCGCCAGCGTTTTGAGGCGTGACCGTTGGTTTCAGACAATCCCCGGAACTCCTACTGCTCGCAACCCAAAAACAAGAGTTTTCATTCTGCGAAATCTATTGTACTGAAATGTTCTGTAATGGTCAGACTCCTAGGAACCATATTGTGGAGGCTGATCGTCGAGTGGGGCCCACGCGACTAGACTGTGCGAACGCTGATCTCGTAGTCGCAGCCTTAACTGCTTAATGCCAATCCAGCGATTCTGGACTTCCCGCCGGTTAGTGATTTCTCACTGACTCGATGCGTTTGGACCTACTTTGAAAAGTACTACAGTCCAGGGGGTGCTTATACCCCAGATTACTCCTGCATGTGATTCGAGATTTCTTGGCGTGGAGCTTGCGCGTATATATTTTTGTACCCATGCCGTATCATGCATTGTCCTCAACGCTATCTTTTAATCGAAATGGCCACCACCGTACCGATTCACAGCGGAGACAAAGGTATGTCCATGCCATGTACTTATGGCATTTCGTCTTTCTCCCATAATATGATGAGCTAATATGTCATCCCCTTTAGGTGTCAGAAACATACCTTCATGTTCATCTTTGAGCTCAGAACAGACACTGGTGGACGACTCTACGGTATCCCCACATAAGCAAATCGCCGGGAATGAAGAAAGCTTGCAGGACAAAGCAATATGTTGGCGACCTAAGAAGCTCTTGGATCAAAGACACAGGCCGCATTCACTTTTCTTCAAATATTGTCTCTTCAACGAGGAATATGCCCAATTGAATGGATTGGAACCGCCTTCCCAACGACACGGTTTACCAGACTCAAAGTTCAGGGAGCTCAGTCGGTCTCAGATTTTGGAAGAGGCCCCCAGGACAATTGCAAGGAAGCTCTCCGAAAGCAGCTTGGAAGAGTTCAGGAAGGTTCCCTATAACGAGTTTATACGGGGAGCCTTTCTTGAAGCTTTTGGCATTTCATCGGACTTCATTGACTCCTTCTTTTTCAAATACAAACACCTAGAGGCGAGAATGTATTCCATCTTTATCGGAGCACCAGTCAAACGGTTATCTGATATCTTGAAAGTAAGCCATCTTTGCTCTCGTTGCCCAATCTGCCCTGAAATGAAGTATTCTGATAGCATGCAGGAACTCAAAGAACACGAGGCTGACCCTTTCGTGTACGCCGCAATTGAACACGCCTTGGAAAGAGTGAACTCACGAAGAAAAGGACGGGTCGGCTTAAGATACGTCAAGTCACAAGATCTTACGCAAAGTCTTGATACGCAACTAAGGAAATCACTCCATCTTATCGCAAAGCCCTTCACAGAGCTCCTGTCCAAGCCCGACACCGCCCAAAATATTCTGGAAGAGCTCGAGGTTTTGCGGACTCGCTTCTATAACTTCTACATGTCTCTCAATGTCGACTGGAGTTGCCCACTGGATACCAAAAACGACCTGTTAGAGCAAATTCGATGGGTGGATATCCCCACTATGGCCAGAGCTATCTCCAAAAAGGCCAAAGCTTTATTTTCCGAGTACCTTCGGTCTGCTTTTACAAGAGAGGGTGACGAGGCGCGGTCTATCCTGAACAAGGAATGGGACCTTCTTAGCAAAGGAGTGAAGGAGATTGTGGCTGCGAACATCGGTCTCTGTTCTCAGGTTGACACCCTTGCGAACGTGAGCTAGAGCATTGCCCCTAACTATGGATATTGTTGTTGGTTTCTAACATTTCTGACAGTGTTTATACCGTTTTCGCAATTATTATTCCCTGACAGCTGTCATCCAGGGTATCCAAGCAAGTGGCTACAGGACTGTGGCCCTAGAAACTTTCGGCTACCTTCTCAATCCAAAGGACGATTACAGACATTACCTAATGGAAATGAACATGGAGGGCGCACTGCATTTCCTCTTCCCTGTCCTACTTCAATATCAACGAGGCGAGCCAATGTTCACAGAGATGGCCATTGGTGCATTCAAATTCTACACCTTGGACGCTTATCAGTCAACACCTGGAATGCAATTCAGCCCATTGGATATTGCAACAGCTGCTACGAAGGCTACCTGCTCCACGGGTTACAAGAAGCCATCACTTGATTGTCCTTTTGTCAGTTGCTTCTTTGTTGGCTTCGGGTCTTAGACTGTACTTCCTGTTCCTTGCTGTATTATACTATTGCATTTCTATTGAGCATAATTCGAACCCAAAGTACAGTGACTCCCCACTGAGACGTATGCAGCCAACTAGGTTATACCCAATGTTTACTTTGCCAAGATGTAGTCAGGTCGAGGCAAGTGGTAAGATTTTAGGCTAACAAATCCTCAAATTCACGACCGAATCCCCCACTACAATAGATAATATCCTCGTAACTAGTGTAGTGGGGGATTCGGTTGCATGTACTTAAAGGTGGATGTTAGGTAGTTAGTGAGAGATGCCTGATAGCCTTACCGCCTAGGGAGGTTATCTAAGGCCTAGGCTACGGGACCCTTGGGAGCATCATCATCGTGCTTGATCAACAGTTTGAAGAGAGGATTCAGGACGGTCTTTACAGTCAGATTCCTTACACTTGCAATGTCACACTCCTTTTGATTCCTGCCCTTGGTTCCTGATATCGGATTACACGATTACCTTGGAGGATTCCGGGACTTGCTTGCTTGTGGTTTTGGTTTGGTTCCTCTATGACTCGACCTGTCTGGTGAGATCAGACTGCCTTGAGCATTCCCCTCTTCACTACATATAAAGATCAATTGAACTCTATAAAAAAGGGCCTTTTAAATAAGAGAAAATTGAAGACCCTCCTATTCAAAAGATTCCTTAGATGTGATACAATTAAAGAACCCTCTAGCTATATCTTTATAAGCTAACAGGCTTATTTAACAAATTTAATCTATAATAAGGGCTATAAAAATTACAATCCTTCCCTAATCCTAATAAACCCCTCTCAGAAAATTCCCTATCCAAATGATCTAACAGAGGACAACGTATTCGACTAGGGCGCCTATACCAAAATAATAGGAAAGATCGGTTAGCTCTTAATCAAAATGCGCCCGGATATTATAGCGACCGTATCAAAATTACAACGCCGCAAGACACACCCAAGAAAAGATAATATAGCAGCATACAAAATTTTGTTGTAATACCTTGCAGGCACCGCAAATTTAGCAATCCAATTTAGAAGAGAACCCTCAAAGGGTCTAGAAGGATTTGTCGACTTATTATATACTAATACGGAGGATAGAAAATCTACCGAAGCATACATTTAGTTCTTTGCTAGTGCCCCAATACCATAGAGCTCAAAAAGACAAGACATCGTAGCAGCCTTATCAACTATAGCCGAGTACTGTGCCCTTGCGACCGCAGCGAAAGAAGGACTTTACCTTGCCAAAATTGCTACGGACCTTTTACTTATGCCTCCATTAAACCAAGATAAAGACTTCGACAAAAACATTCAAATCGCCCTATTCTGTGATTCCGATAATGCCATCACGACCGTCATAAACCCCAAAGTCAGCCCAAAATTATCCTGGATCAGCACGAGATACCATCTAATCAGGGATCTCATTAAAAAGAACCTCATCCGGTTAATCAGTATCCCGAGCAAAGACAATGCCGCTAACATGCTCACCAAAACCAAGCCCAATAGGATTTTTCAAGATGACCGTGCCAAATTATTGCACATGAAAAATCCTAACTAACCCTTTCTTTTCCCCATTTACCATATCACACCATCATGTATGCAGAATTTTCGACATTGCTACTAGTCCTAGGGGGGTGTGAGAGAGTTTGCCCTCTCCAGATGTTGCTAGGCCCAGCAGCAGTCATATGCCTTGAGGGTTTTTCTCCCGCTCGTGGGTTTTCCCTCTCTCTTCTTCCTTCCTAAGATAGACTTCCCAATCCCAGTTGTCTCGCCTCCAGATTGCTTCCTTGCCTTGTAGACCTGTAGGTCTATCAAATATCCTCCAAACTCGTATCCCAGCCACTTTCTGAGCCTAAGCCTAGGCGGAAGACACAAGGATCCTATTAGCAATTTGTTGTATCACAATGTGAGATGAGTAGTTTTACCTGCTAGTGACACGGCTGGCCACAGATTGGACATTCGGCCTGTGTGCTTGACACCGAAGCACCGCAGTTCTTGCACGGGCTGATTTCAGATGGCATTTTGAATGAACTTGCACTGACTAGAATGCATTAAATCAGTTAGCTAGCACGCATAATAAAACCAAAATTAACCCACAATTGAAATGTAATGAAGATATTTGTACGTTGGATAGTAAAGATAGGCAAAATTAATCAATTACGAAGAGTGCAAGGTGCCTTTTTATAAATCTTTATAGATGCGTCTGTGTTAATTGTGAGGTTTGGATGACCTGTGTTCGAAGGTAGATTTGTGGTATAGGGGCTAGTGATCGAGTCAGGAAAGAGGGGAACCCCGCACCCTCTTTCTTGTCCGTGCGAAATATTATGCAACGCTCACTGGTCGACATCACAGCTGTTCTCTCCTTCGAGGGAGAGAGCACGGCCTAATACAAGGATTAGCGCATAGCATAGGACAGGACAACACGGCACGGTGTAGCACAATACGGTACGGCATAGAGCAAAACATAACACGACACAATATAACACAATATAACGTAATATAATACGACACAACACGATATGACACGATATAACACGACACGACACGATATAATATAATATAATGTAGCATAACATAACACGACACAACACGACACAACACGACACGACACGACATAACACAACACAACTCAACACAACACGCCAGGATATTGTGATATTCTACAACACGGCACTACACTCCCATAATTTCAGTAGCCTATGGTGATCACTTAGCAATGTGGCCAATAATAAGGTGTGAGACGTTATGAGAATCTGAGCTGTATGGTGGAAGTTGAGGAAGGGGTCGTTTATCAATGAGCAAGATGATTTTACTCCAATCGGGAAGTCGCATCGCCTCTTTACATGCATATTAAAATGCAGCCCACCAGGAGCGGGGCTGGTTCTAAACATCTTGCCCAACCTGACCACGCGCGAATCGCGGCACCTCCGAATCCATGTGGTAAGAACTACTGCGAGTCATCGGCCTGTCTAACGCACAAATTTAAAGACGTAAATTCAGTTCAAACAGCAGTGCTGTGGGCAGCAAGTTCTTGAGCAGGCTAGTTTCTGCTACAGACCATACTGCCCTCTCCCGCAGCAATGACATCGCTAAAATCAATGGAGCTAGATCCCTTCATATTGCCATATTGCCTTACCAAGTCTCCCTTGCTTTTATCCCAACCTAGGAATAGAAAACCAAGTAACTCATCTGAAATGGACCTGGGCCGGTTCAGGGTGAATCACTGCTGAAGACATGGTAACTTCATTTGATACCTCGTGCTACGGTGGAAGAACTTTCACTATCATACTAAGCATCGCATCATACCTTAAGGTACATTAATTATAGGAGCAATGACCCGGGGCACTGGGCGGCGGAGGGCATCGCCTGCGTAAACTGAGGGCCGTGTTCGGGCATGGACGGCTGACGGATGGCTTTCTGGAGATCGGTAACGATGCGCTCCAGCTGCTCCAGACGGCGATCCTTCTTCTGCATCTCACGACGCAGTCGCTTGACTTCGTTGCGGAGATCGTCGCAATTCTCATCGGAATCTAGAGCTCGCCGTTAGGCGAACCTTGTTTGCGCTTGAGACTAGGGTTGGCGCGCTCCCCTGGCATATCCATAAGATTGGAGGTTGTTAAACCATCATCCGTGTGCATGTGGCGACGGCGCAAGTGCTCTCGAAGATTTTCCCGACGCGTGAATCCGTTGCCAGTGCTGCGATTGCAATCGGTATAGGGACACATCAAGGGCTCCTTGGTGTCGTTATTCTTCTTGTGAACCTCACGCTGGTGGTGTAAGAGGCCGCCAGAGTAGGTAAGGCCCTGAATCTTGTCGCAACCAGGTTCGTAGCACTTGTAAGGCCGATCGTGTTTATCCATATGTTTTCTGGTAATGACGAGTTAGTATGGAGAAGACCCAGTGAAGAACGCGTCGAAAAGGAACTGAATTAACTTACTTCCATTCACAAGGACGGCGGAAAGTAGGCGGCGCAGCCTGACAGTCGGTGTGGTCGCAATAGATTTGGCCTTCAGTGTTCTTGGGAGGATCGCGAGGGTGTCGGACAGAGAGGTGTGGGCGTGCGCTCTCCATGCTACCATAACCGAGGGCAGTAGCTTGTTCGTTGATTCTGGCAATTGAGAAGAGAGATTCCGGCGCTGGGGCGAGAGCAGAGGCAACAGCTACCACGTGCGAAACTTCAATCACTTAGCTTCAATTCGCGGACCACAATGGGGGAGGCGGGAAATAAGGCAGAAACAATTCCTTAGGATCTGGGAAAGAGAAGATATGATCTCACGACATAACGCTAATGTACATCTACGGTGACGGTTTTCGGAGCATTCCTCACGGCCGCGAACTGTCATCAGGAATGAATGACGGACTAGCAAACAGTATATGCTAACTTCGCTTATTTGAAGACATAAGCTCACCACGGCGTAAAATGCTATTATTATTCGCACAGATCTGCCAGCCAGCGGGTTTGTAGTGACTGTGTTCAACGCACAGGGGCCCATCGATATGCTTCTGGGACAGTTTGCCAGGGACTTTGGCGAGCGGGCTCAAGAAAATGCGAAGATGGAATGGGACTCAAAAAAGTTCAACCAGATATCACAATTGACCTCTAAAGGAACGTTTGATGAAAGGATCTAGCGAACGACAAAGTATACAGCAAATTTGAATGGTAACTGACTGATGATCAAGATTTCCGTGAAAGACATAATCTCCGATATATAACCTATCAGAAGGTGCACAAACGTCCAAGGACGTATCATGTGCAGCTGTTAGCTTCTGGAAACAAATTTGTAGCGGCGTCCCTCTAAAGATCACTTACCAGGAACCTAGCCTCCAAGTGCCTAGCAGTCTTTTACATTATACGAACCATTTTCTGCTAGTACTAATGCTTATTCATCTGCGAAATATATAAACTAAATGTAATTCCGGTGCTGGTAAAATGGCAGCCGTCCCCTGCGTCGCGCTAACCGTCCCATGGAGTAAGAGGGTTGCTATCGGGTACAACAGCTATATGTGCTGAGACGGCTGGTTCCAGCCTGGTCGGCGCAGACTTCGATCCCAAGAGTAGCTCGCAACCGTACCGTTGCTATGCTAAGCCTTACCCGGGCTCGGGTCCTTTTGAGTATCTTGCAGGATGTGCCCGAGTGTGCGACAAGTGAGTCACTAAGTGTTACCACGATGTGAGCAAAGACCCATGCGGGCGCGTTGTGGGAGATTGGACGAGGCCCGGTACCCGGTCGCAGTAAGACCAGTTGCACAGGGACCGGGGGCTGGTCCCAGGAAGACCGAGGCAACGCGTGCGAGGCGTTGTTACGGGTTAGAATAGGCCCGGTGGCTGGTCGCAGGAAGACCAGGGGTAGGGCGTGCTGGTGCCCGGGTTGTGGCTTGGGCTAGGCCCGGTGGCTGGCCGCACAGGGCCCGGGTTCTGGTCCCAGGAGGACCTGGGGCAGGGCGTGAGAGTCGTATCTGCATACGTATATTATCTGTATGCTGTAGGATACTCTTTGATGTGTCCGGTATTAGTAGCAGTAGTATCTTATACTACTATTATTTGCTGATCTCGCTGCATTCCGCAGGATCTTGATGTTGGTGGGTGCTGGCGTCACGGCCCTCCAGCTCTCTCCACTGCTTGCGTCTTTTTCTTTGTTGACTTCGCTCCCCCCTCTCACTAACTATTACTTTTCTACGGCGACATTTTCTACGGCCATTAGCGAGACCTTCGCTAGCAAGACCCTCACCAACCAACACCACAATGGAGGCACCCGAATCTGCCCAGCGGAAGAAACCACGGTACAACAACGAACAAGGCCGGTCGCAGGAAAGGCGCAAGCGCAAGCGTGGTGTGGAAGATCCCCCGAAGTACCCTCACTGGGGTGAGGTGGGCTTGAGGCCCTTCCTCGGGGTGCGAGAAGGCCAGACAGATGAATTGGGCGCGTCCGAGATGTATCGCTTCGTTTGTCGTTTGGACGGCGCTGCCCGGTGGGCAATGACATTCGAACAGATGAAGGCGGACCTGATCCGGGACCTCACGGAAGCCCCAAAGTTCGGCAGGCTGATAGCCCAGAGCAAGATTCCGCGATTGTTGCCACTGCGCCAGCCCGACGTGATTCTCGTGGATGATGAGACCCTGGAAGGATGGCTGCGCAAGAAGTTCCCGATGCCGCTGCTGTACCGCGCCGAGATAGGGGGAAAGTCTCCCGCTCTCAAAGGAATGACCTGGGAGCGCTTCTGGAAGGCTCAACTCGATGAGGTCCCAGATGCAACGGTCGGTGTCTACGACTACTCACACCCGGATCCGCAAGACAGGATCACGGACTGGTCAGTCCGGCAGATCCACGAGTATTGGAAGCGTCCAGCGGGCGAGCGGGGTGCGATCAACGTGCTGGATCTCGAGAATGCCGACGGCGACTTCTGCCCCATTGCGATAGTGTCCCAGGACGTTGCGCAAAAAGCCCTTCGCCGGAAGCTACGCACTGCGGGCAGGTCGGATTCGCGCTGGGAAAGTCACCGAAAGGAATTCTTCCTCCTGAGTGCGGCGAACGCGGTGTCCGCGATCCACGTCGACAACGGAGGCCTGCTGACGTGGGTACTAATCCTCCAAGGCCGGAAGATCTGGTACTAGCCGCGAACCGTGATGGAGGGACTTGGGCAGGCTTTTGCGGAGGCGGGGGCCCAATACGTGGAGGCCTGCAAGGACGACGGCTGGGTGAAGGTGGAGCTGAAGATGGGGGACATACTGTAGGTACAAAACGCCGGCAGAGAGGAAGGCGGCTAATTCCGGATTCTAGTATCATGCCTCCGAGTTGGCCGCACGCCGTGTTCACCCCGGAGGACTGCCTCGCAGTTGGGGGCCACTTCTACACGGTGTCGCACCTGGGCTCAACGCTCGCCGGTCTCAGCAGGCAAGAGCGCTACCCGGAAATGTGCAACGAGTCTCTCGAGCCGGCGACCTACGAGACTCTCGCAGTGATCTTTGACTGCGGCCTGTACGATGCGAACGACCACGTGGGGATCCTGTCGACCGCTGGGTCGTTCGTGCACAACTGGGACCTAATGTCCCAGGCGAGGGCGATAGAAGCGGCAGGCATCGACTCGCCAAAGGACGACCCGCGAGAACACATCCTCGCGCATCGCGATCACCTTGTAAAGCCCTACTCTGCGGATGTGTTAGAAAAACCGATCGACGCTCGGGGGCGCCTCGCGAATGCCTTGGCTAGGGTGAGGGAGCGCATGCGCCAGGCGATAGATGCCTTACCGTAGGTAGCGCTTGCGATGTGCGCCTGGAGGTGTGAAGAGGACGATGGCGGTGGTGTATCTAGAGCCTAGTTAATAAATCCCCCTCTGGGAACTGCGACCTGACTTTGAATGGGGCACCTGATTGGTATACTGACTTGTAGAAGGTCGCCGTTTAATCGCGCCTGGTCGGCGGGCTTGCGTAGAGGGGCATATAAGCACCTAGAGCGCCAGGTTGATAGCAGCGGTCTACTACACTGGCGATTTGATCCTCCCAATAAAGACTACGGTAGAGGAGAGTCCCAATTTGGATTCCTCGCTGAACGAAGAAGCCACAGTCTGGGTCCTCAAGAGTCAGTTCAAGGTCTAGGTGATTTTCCAAGCCACCTGCCAGACTTTCCGGAAATCTGCTTTGTATTCCTCGTCGGTACACTAGCACATGATTACAACCACTTGCAGTATTTTCTTGCTGCCGCTTCCCGAGGCCCAAGAATTACGGGAGGCTCGTCAGGTATATATCCGGGCAGGGACGAAGTAACCGTGGACCCCTCTCCCGGTTCGTGCTGGCAGAACATTGATAATGGTTGGAGGATACACACACACACACAAAATTCATTAACGCCCGGCGGCTGAGCCGAAAGGGCAACTAAAACTGATCTATCAATACAGGTCCTATATACATATGCCGTATCTTCTTCGAGCCCATACATGGATACTTTCAGTATATGTCCTCTCAACCGTAAATATCATAGGGATTCCTGTGGGTTAGTAATTTTGTTAGTAGACTGGCTTGAAGGCGTTTCTTCAAGTGTTCAACAACCTTACTTCGGCAATTGAAGCGCTTCCACCATCTTTGGCACAAGGTGGTAGGTGTAGGTTGCTGAGGGGGAGGGTGTCATTATGTTGGTCGACGTAGTCAGGTGGCGTCGAGTCGGACAAATTGAGCTCCTGATAACGTAAGATTTGGCCTAAGGCAGCGGGACGATATGTATCAAGCGCACAGTCCGGATCACTTCCAGGCTACAGTTAGCCTAGTGGAAACTACGGGGACTGATTTACTGTTCGAGGATTTTTAAGAGAATATTTGGTGGATAACTTTGCTCAAACAAGTTACAATTCATGAGAAGCTAATCATAAATGCCCTCATAAACGATACAAAGTAGGCGATCTCCTGTCTGGTGGCATAAGAGATCCTCGATGCATTCATTCTAGATTAGATTTTTGGAGACCAACCGCAACATTGCTCAATCTACCCCTGATTCCGCCACATCTCGACTTAGATGATTGGATGGGAGAGGGACAGTAGACAGACGACACGAGAAATACTCTTGGCGCTATGTTTAAATAGAGGTTTGAGAAAATACCGTATTTTTTCTGTTATATTATTCCCAAATTCTTACATATTGACGAGTTGTAAACTAGGATCACTAAACCCGGTAATTTTGGGAATACCTATAAGTATGTACCGCAAGCATGATCAGACTAGATGGCCTCACTTAAACATGAATATAAATGAACTCGCAGTGACCAGCAGGCACCGTATAACACTACGCATTTCAGTAGGCGCTAAAATCTACTACAGGCGGTCGGCGAAGTGGACCCCCGGGTGTTCTAAAACTTTGCGTAGTCTCTGTACATGACGTGTTGTATCATCAGCGATAAAGGCCCAAGGAGTTCGGACAAACCATATATCCGGCTCTTCAATTAATTACTCACATGAACGCGGGGCTTCATCCCACCTTTCTCCACGTCGAGCACTCATGTCGGTTTCTCGTCAATGTTTTCAAAACAATAACCTGTCACCTACTTCTCTCACTCCAGGTGAGCAGCCCCGACCAAACACCTTCCCTTCATTGACGTTTGTTTATTCAACAATCGCAGGTATCCATCCCATCGCCGAGAATAACCCCCACTTTCAAACCAAAATATTTCTGGTTGGAAATCAACTTGACAAGTCTGAGTTCGCCATTTGTTATATTAACGATATCACGCTTCTCTCTATCCCGGAAGACATAAATCCTGACCTTCGGTCGCGACAGTGAGTTCGTCAGACCCCTGAATAAGTGCTCACTATGTACTCACGCCTTCTCGAAGTCATCAATAGCCCTTAATACCATTAAATACTCAATTCCTACCCACTCGTTTATGATGGCTGCCACTGAATATGAAGATGGCGGCATTCGAGTCGATGACATTGCCAATAACAACGCGAAGCTGGAAGAAAAGGCCACGCAAGAAGTATGACCGCATACCGGGCTACTATTCTGGGATTATGCTAATGATCATCCAGACGGGGGAGGATGTATATATTGACAAGGAAGACACCAAAGTCAGGGAGCTGTTATCCTCAGAAAGTGTGCGCGCTGTTCTTCTACGGAAGCAAAGCCAGCCCGGATGCGCCAGAGTCGAACCTGATGAAAAGGAAGCGAACGAAAAACCCTCGAAATACACTCTGACGGAAAAATTGGATGGAACTGTCCTTGTTGTTGCAAAGCAGAAGGAGAGTATCATTCTATTAGGTAACATCACTGTGCGATGTTTCCGTCGGCGCCCATGAGCCATAAATGTATTGTATCAGATCTGCGGCAAGAATTTGTGTCAATTGTACCTTCGCGCTCAGTCCGATTTTTGAATTTATTTTGATGTCAATATATGGAGAAGCCCCCACCCAAGGTACAATCAGTTGCAGATATCGCAATGTCGGACAACTGCATCGATAATACTCGAGATGCGCGAGTATATCCGTGATCCGAAAGGGGTAAGAATGGGAAGTTCCTGATTGAAATCGCTGGATCCAGCTGATGAGTTGCCCGATGTCTAGTTCAAAGACAGACTGAGGTGATTGGTCTTTCAGTATACACAGTTGTAGACCAGGAACATCAGCTGCTTCGAATATTAGAGGGTCATGTGTATTTTCGGGCGTTGAATTTGCCCCTTGAAGCTGATTATCCACTTCTCAAAGGTTAGATAGCTCTGGATGATGAGGTACAGAGTTAACGTACATATAACGCTGTTCGCCGCGTCTAGTAGAACTTCATTGCCAACAAAGCTTTGCGCAGATGACTCCGTGGATTTGTATTGGTCTTCGATCGGAGTGAGCCTGTGAGAATCAAGGTCACGTCCCTCTGATATAGTGTCTGCACAAACTAATCAGCAAGAGTTGTACCTAATATGCCAGTAGTCATAGTCCCCAGGTACCTTCTCCGGGGAGATTGTCACCTCCAACTGATCCCTGAGGGTCTTGTGATTGAAAATGAATATCTAGCTGCGTTGATTTCGCTAAAGAAGGAATCACCGATTAGCGAATAAGTTCTCATGCAGAGCTTTAGTCCGCTTTAAAACGTGACAGTCTGACTTACGACGCTTAGGCAGCGGCATGCCACTGTCATCGAAGGTTTCCGAACGCTTATGCCCACTTGTGAGACTTAACTCCGTGCAGTCGTGAGATGTATCTTTTGGAGCTTCAGCTTTTCGTCAAAGTCAGTGAAAATGGGAACCTTAGGTTAGGACAGAGTGGCCTACAATTACTGCCACGTCCCTGGAGAGTTTTATTTGAACTGGTAGTGGGCATGCCGGCCGAAGAGGATGCTGATTTGGCGTCGGGCATATCGAAGGCCAAAAATTGGCGCCGCGACACCGGGTATAATTCTTTTTCACAATATAGCAGGTCGCATATCACCTTCGCAAGACTCAACAGCGAGGCCCTCGCTGTCTTCCTCGTCTCTCCCCACCATTCTTCAAGCCGGTCATAAAAGGAGCCATGAGGGATCGTTGGTAGGCTTGAAATTGCGCACGCGAGTGAAGATACAACAAAGAGACGATTGTCGATTTCCAGAACTCTTTTGGCGAACACTCGAGCACGAAGTCTGGTGGCTCTTCGGGATTTCGATCTTTCGCTCAGTGATTCATCGCTCTCTCTGTATAGGTCTACCCATGTGAGAATATGGCTTGCTTGCTGGGCTGAGAGTTTTTCATGTATTGCAGAATGATGTTTTTCAAGACGGGGCTTGAATTTTGTGTCAAAAAGGGAGCGCGTCTTGGATTCCATGTTTCGATCACTCTGGGAGTGGAAACAAAACCAAGTACGACACGGCACGGCACGGCACGGATCTATATACCGCTTGATCACGTGCAAACGTCGCGTCGTTGAATGTGAATAAAAACATTGTGTAACGTTGGTTGTCCCGTGGCGCGAAAAGCGGACGCGATTTCCATTGATGGTTTAGCGTAAATAACAGGGATGACTAATATGCAGAGGAGGCCTGGGTATTAAGCGGGCAGTGTCTGCCATGCAATTGAATTTTACAATCACACCGTTGATTGAGCACACGCTTCAGTCTTCCTAATTTCCAGAAATTGGATTATTTTATCTCAATGGCCTGCATCAACTACGATAACGGAGCGGTTAGCTGCAAAAACCCCACAACTGCAGAAAATCCCGCATCGTCCAGTGAATGCATTGCGGTAACAGCCGAGAGAGCTTACTATCGTTGCGATCGCTTTTTCATAAAAAGGAGTCTCAGACCGAGTGAATTTCAAACTGGATATAAGGGACTTCACATCCCCCGGCTAGGCAAGGAAAGACTCCGAAATGAGGCAGAGTCGCTGCGGTTCATCCGCCACTCCAGCAACATACCTGTTCCGACCGTCTACGGCGCTTTCGAAGTCGATGACGCTTTCTTTCTGATAACGGATTTTGTTGATGGTGTGGCAATGTCCCGACTATCAGAGGATGACAAGAAGATTGTCATGGAAGAACTCGATCAGCATCGAGCTACGCTGCAACAGATGAGGTCTCATAACATTGGAGGACCTTCGGGTATCTTGATTCCTCCTTACCGGATTATGCGGCATACGACGAACGATATGTGGCCAACATGTCCAAGCGAAACGTCTGAATACGTATTCTGTCACAACGATCTTTCCCAGCAGAACATCATTGTCGATCCCCATAGCCTGAAGATCAACGCGATCATTGACTGGGAGTACGCAGGGTTTTTCCCGAAGTACTTCGAATTCCCTTTCTACAAACGGCTAGGCCCTTCTATCGCAGTTGACGGTGAACAAGATGACGTGCCGAAATTACTCCAATTTCTAGCTGAGGGAGTGTAATGCACGAACTACATTCATTGTCCGCGATAGATGATACTAAAAATCGGCGACTAATGGCACTTAATAGAATGCCAAATCTTGCCTGCCTGTTCTTTATCTGTGGCTATTTAATATTGAGAGAGTTTGCCCTCTCCAGATGTTTGCTAGGCCTAGCAGCAGTCATGTGCCTTGAGGGTTTTTCTCCCGCTCGTGGGTTTTCCCTCTCTCTTCTTCCTTCCTAAGATAGACTTCCCAATCCCAGTTGTCTCGCCTCCAGATTGCTTCCTTGCCTTGTAGACCTGTAGGTCTATCAGGTTATGAGCCCGATCGCAATAGTGAGGCCTGAATTTGTGAAAACCACAAGTTCTTAAAATTTCAATCACCAAATTCATCAAATTCGGCTGTGGAAGCCATAATCACCAAAGTCACCAAACTACCAAATTCAAATTCAAATCACCAAATCCAATACAAATTCAACAAATTCAACCAGGCTGTGGAAGCCAGAAATTCACCAAATACAACACAATCAACCAGGCTGTGGAAGCCAAATCCAATATCAACAAAAGATAAGACGCGTATTTTGATGTTTGCTAGGTCTACCACAACATCAACATCTCTCACTTCAAACCCCACCACACCAACACTGCATATCCCCCACAAACCTTCCTTCTTACCAAACTCCATCCCCAAATCCTACCCAAATCATCAAATTTACCCAAACCTCCATCACATTCCCAAATACCAACCATGGCTGAAGAAGACCTCGGCCAAGCGGCCGGTGTTGAGGAATTTCCTGTATCTCGTGAGGACTACAGCAAGTTCTTTACCTGAAATCCCGAGGCTAGCTAGTGAACTAACTTACTGGCGCCCCTAAAGAATTCACCCTTAACCCACTTGAAATGTTGGAAAGAACAGAAGACTTCGAGGACTGGTTCAGAGATGTATGCTAAATCCTTAAAAAGAAAGGACTCCATCGTCTCGTTGACCTAAAATGTGATAGGCCCAAAGTGACATCTGACGAAGCAGAAACTTGGGTCAAACACTCCCATGCCATATAGATGTGGCTCCAACAGTCTAATTCGAAGGATATCGATGCAATGGTTAAAGCTATGAGATTCCGATGCAAATTCGCTGATGAATATGTCATTGGCTTGAAAAAGGCCCTCTATACCACCGGCTTCATTCCTAGCAAAAAGAAGGTGACCATGTGACGGGCCAGAGCCCGGTGGTAAACCATGTGCCATGGCCTTCGGATATCGTCTTAGTAGAAGGATTCTGAGCGATTCCATCACGAGGTTCTAGAGGACTCCATGCATAAGGGATCGACACTCTTAAGGACCGCGACTACTCCTGTCCTTTCTTCTTTCTTTCCTCCAGATTGTTGTAAACTGCATGTGGCCTAGTACAATTGAATCAATTCTGCTACAGCCCTTCACAGACCAGGGTTCTACGAACCTACCGAGCTGACTACCTATCGGTAATCGATTTTGTGCATGAATTTCGTAGTGCCTACACCAAAGCAACGGAAGAAGTCCAACTTGCCCTAGGTATGATCGTTTCCCTACTTCTTGATGAATTACAAAGTGATATCCTAACCTTTGTGGCTGCTAGACTAGCAGACTATTCTAACAGATACGAAAATATTGCAAAGATTACCGCCCTAGACCTTTTCCGAACCTTCACTAAGGTAATCTATGAACTGGAAATTGTGAATTACCAATTCTCGAGCGTTATAACTGTTACGGCGCAAGTCATACTTGGTGACTCAAGACGATTCACGGTCGAATCTACTCCGCGTCGCCTTAGGGTAACAACCCCATGGAAGGGCTCTATGTGGGGCGACGGGGACTCGGTACGCGGAACCTCTATGTATATATTGTGGAAACTAGTGGAGTCTACCCGGACCCCAAGATTCAGTCTTTGAAATCAGACCCTATAGACTTGGACGCTCTGCCTAGCCAACAGGTTCTCTGTCCTGCGATACAGACCCCCTAACAATAACCACGATAACCGGAAAATCCTCAAAACTCTCGTCAGACAAATATAAATACCTCCCGTTGAAGTATATGCCTCCGAGAGGTAAGTCGCTATAGGAATGGGCAAAAGAATGGACTGAAGGCCTAAATTAGGTTGCTCCGAACCGTAACTGTTTCTTTTGCGGAAGAAAAGGCCATGCTACTAAGGACTGCGCCTATTTGGTTATTATATCGCGAACCCTAGATTGGAAGCCTATCAAAGGTATCTGGGTGAATGCCCTATAGAGGAACATAGACAATCTAAATGGACCACCGCCAGAAGGGTGGACCATAATGTACAACAACAGAATCAAGAAGAACGGAGGTAACACCCAGAATTCCACCTAAACCTTCCAAAATCCTTAGAAAAACCAACAAAATCCAACAATGCCAATTTCTATTAGAAAGAATAATGGGAACAAGAATTCGATCACCTTAAAGGGAACCTAATCCCAATTCTAACTATATAGAAGGGATCTTAAAGAGGAAGACAGCAATACGGGCGATAATGCGGTATTGTTCGTGCTGGTTAGCCGCAGGCTGTCTCCGGCTCCTGCCCTGAATGTCCTTGCCTTGGGTCCGCTGGGGTACGCCCAAGTATACCGAAACGCACGTGACAACGCTAATCCCTAGCGTCCGTAGAATGATTGGCTCACGGTCGTTACTCAAATAGCCGCGGTCCCCGCGCTTCTTTGAGGTCCGTAACAATAATCTCCTAAACAAGATTCCGTGGCTACCTATCTTGAATACCTTATCAGAAAATTCAATCAACATTCTTACTATAAACTAGCTAGATTTCAGTAGCGACTAGAGATTTTACGTAAGCGTTCTGGGTTGACACTAACCAACAAGACCATAAAAGATCACTGATATCTGCAGTTGCGGATATTGCCCAGAATCCGGTATATATAGTATAGTATTGCAACTTGGTAGTGTACGGCCGCGCCGTATCATAGTATATCTAAGATTTCTAAGTACATCATTTCTAATTGTTGATAGACTTAAAATTACTGTAGAATTACAACGAACTTATTGTTAGGGGGTCTGTATCGCAGGACAGAGAACCTGTTGGCTAGGCAGAGCGTCCAAGTCTATAGGGTCTGATTTCAAAGACTGAATCTTGGGGTCCGGGTAGACTCCACTAGTTTCCACCATATATACATAGAGGTTCCGCGTACCGAGTCCCCGTCGCCCCACATAGAGCCCTTGGTGTTGTTACCCTAAGGCGACGCGGGGTAGATTCGACCGTGAATCGTCTTTAGTTACGGCGCATGACTTGCGCCGTGACAACTGTTCCCCCCTTCTATGCTGGTCGCCCCGACCAGGGAAATTTTATCTGGGGGATATCATGACTCGGACTTTATCGTGGTACTGAGCGAATAAATCGTGGGTGTATCGTATGCGGAACGCTACGTCCTTAAATTTGGGAGATGCGGGTGTAAATAAAGGATTCCTGCATCACGTAGCTGCAATTTCCTACTGCTGTCGGCGATGCTGTTTGAAAGAAATCGCGATAGGGCGTTTGATCCTTGTTCGACGGATTAGCGTCGGTCGGGGAGCTAAGAATCTGTCCGCGATAGAGTGCTTTGTTGACGATTCGCTCCCGAAGATTTATAGAATCGATATTCCCGCGGACGAGGATATTTCAACTTTAATCTATTTCCCTTGTTCAAGCTTAGTTTCAGAATGCCCTGTCGTTATCGGAATCGTCGTCGCTACGAGGCTGCTAACGGGATAGGCTATGCACCTCCTGCGCTAAACTTCGTGACCGTGAGCCCCGATTTTCTCTAGTGTCTAAAGTGTTTCGGTAGGGCTAAGGCAGAGTATAACTGTCTAGTTGCGATAGTCTCCTTCGCTATAGAGTGCGAGTTTGACCGCTTGGGGTCGGTACTCTGTAATAACTGCAAGGGTAACTATAATGTGTACGAGACTATAAGTTTTCTACTCTTTTCCGAAACGCCTCCGAATTACTAACGGGTCGTAAGACTCCCGTATTGATAATCTGGGATATATAGGTGTTCTATTTTCTTTTGAAGATTTGCTAGGCAATCTTTAATAGTACCTAGGAGATCGTGGTAGCGCCTAGGCTATCGTACGTTCCGGTTTGGCCGGTCGGTATTTATTCTGATCTGTTTTGGATGAGTAAGGACCTTGCTGTAACTTTCTTGGGGGTCGTGCGGGCCTATAAGAAGGAGTACATTTTCGAAGGTCCGAAGTATATGCAAAGGGTACGGATCGCCCGTGATTCCTTGACGACTCGTTCTAACAAATTCTCTTTGTAGAGGTACCGTCGTTTTTATTCGGAAAAGATAGCGTTACGTCGCTAGAACCTTATTGCGGCTTTCGGTCCTCCCTTAACACGTGCGGACTAGTATCTCGGTCTTGAAGAAGGGGACGCTAGGTTTGTGTTGTGGCAGACTAGGCTAGTTAACTTTGCCGAGAGCTTGAAGACTACGATGACGGCGAATGGTATGCTTGCGGTGGAAGCGACCGCGATGAAGAATGCGGTGTTAGAGTTTGTGGAGTATTTCTGAGATGAATCGTGGCGGATTCGATCTAGTTCGTCTTGTGCGTTTCTGTGTGTTTTCAAACTTCGCGATAGATTGTTTTGCATTTTGTATATTCTCTTTAGGTACCTATTCGTTGTATTCAGAGGGCTAGTCCTTCTATTTGACTAGGGAATGAAGTTGTCCGTTGATCTTCGCCTTCCCTTTGACTTCTTCGACTTCGTTTTCTTGGTCGTCTTCGACGAGGTTAGGAAGCGGGAGTGTTTCGGGAGCGCTTAGGAGTGTCTTGCTTTCTAGCGGAATTTGCAGGCAGTCAAATGATTCCGGTGACTAGTTCACGTCCCTTAGAACACTAACTGCGCACTCTACTGGGATCGTATTAGTCGGATGCTAAGAATTTGCGTGGTCTTACACACAGAACATTTTATCCTTGAAGCTAAAATAGTATACTGTTGGGCAGGCGACTAAGAAATCGGCCTCGCTTAGCTTCTGTGTATCCACACCGTCTCCTTGTATCCTCTCCTTCTCTCGCTCGCGGTCCTCTATAAGTATCGTACCTATATCGAAAACTGCAATTCTACCCTTGTCCTTAACCCCTAGGTCGCGGAGTAACGGTCGAGAGTAGTTTAGCTGTATTTCATGAAAAAATGCGGCGTCTACTGCTACTCGACTGTTGATGTTAACTTTAAAGACCTTCCCCTTGTTTATAAAGAATGTACTGCCTTTATAGTGCTAAAGGTGTGAGCTAGCTAAATCCCGAAACTTTTGGCCTCTTCCGACTAAGTCTTTACGGACTTGCTCGTGCCTTGGATGGTGGCGGAGAGGGTAAGTCTCAAGAGTCGCGATCGGCTTTGACCCTCGGAACTTTAGCACACGCAAAAAGATACTAGCCTCGCCGAACTTGACTCCGTTATAATTAAGAAATCGGTATTCGAGGTTAAACTACGTCTCGTTATTTTGGGATATTTCTTCTCCCGCGTCGAATTTGACATATCGCGGCTCTTTTGTGCTAATGCATGTAGTATAAATATGGCAACCAGGCTTGAAAAGCGCCCAAAGAAGGTCATAGGTAATATGACCGTGCTGTAGCATTGATTCGAGACGCTGCGAGATAGAGGCATATGCCTGCTTGAGGTGGTCGATGAGCAGGCGGAGATGCTCCGTATGTGCCGAGTTATGATCCGAAATGTTGTCCGTGTTCTCGACATATCTGTCGAGCTCCGGGAGGAAATGGAAAAGGACGTTTTGCTCGATCTAAATCCACGTCAGCGTTCTCTTAGAGATTTCATTCCGTCTCAATTACCGATGGCTTGTCCTCTATCAGGCTAATAGCTTTGATGTCGTGCAGCACCACACGTAGGATGTCACGTAGACCTTCCGATTTGATGTCTATGTAGGACGTCACCTCCTCAGAATTCCGTTCTAATAATGCAATTAGTATTGGTAAGGGTCCCTTGCGCAAAGATATTAATTACATACCAACTCGTTCGCGGACAACAAACACACAATCAGCATAGTCGTCCAGATCAGTGCGAGTCTCGGCGGTTGGATCGGCTATCTTGTATTTACATGTCTCTTTGTCCCAACTGTACCTGTGTCAGCAATTTCCGAACAAGAACGGTTTGCATGGCTAGCTCATACGTTTCAACGACTGTTTTGAATTGGGATGCTGATGCCCATTTCTCAAACAATTTGAAATCATCTGGCGTAGTACAGATTGGACGATTGAGATCAATTTCATCTGCCACCTGAACAGCCTCTTCCTGTTCATTGTTGGCAAGACCAGACTGAGCAGGATTAGTTGTCACGAAGGGTCTAACTGAAGCACCTTCATCACTTGCGAGTTTCACCAGCAACTGCTTCAGCTGAATCATGTCGGGGGCTGCTAGGGACTGGTCCTGGGAGGCAGGAGTGTTTGGAGGTTCTTGGTTGGTAAGATCGAGCATCGCCTTCTCAAGAAACACACCAAAGAGATATTTCAGGTCGTTCAAGGTAGTTGGAGGCATAGTCGACTCCTTGGCTGGGCTATCGGGCGGCGTCAACCTTTGGTGGCAGGGAGAGGAAGTCTTCAATGCCATGCCGTGAGGTTTGAAAAACTGAGAAATAAGGGTGCAGTATGGGAAGCTGGTATGGAATGTTCAAGAGACTGGAATGTCGATGATGACCAGAAATACAGATGAGAGCCCGAGGAATTTCTTCTTCTTATACGTTCGTAACCTGTCGTCCACGCCGATGGCGTCGAGCGGTAGGACATTGTGCCGCGAGATGCACGGTAGACGCCTCGAACATCTTCGATTGTTTAGACACCTTCCAGCTTGGTATCAATATCGACAGGCGTGCATGATTTGTTGTACCCGTCATTACGTACGCAGCTAATATAACTCTTTCTATGTCTAGTTAAGACTTATGGGTATTGGTTCGTGCATTGTCTTATTAAGTTGTGCTTGCTCTTATTCACTCGTATCTGCTCTTGTTAACTTATGTCTGCCTCCCAATTCGTTCAGCATGCGCGGCTGAGTTCAGTGATTCGATTCAGCACGTGATGGGCCTTTAGACGTGTCCCTGATTGAAAGGTCCTTTCTGTCTATATAGAAAACAATCCTCAGAACGGAAACACACTCTCACACAATAAAACGCCATATAGTGGAAGCCCTCTTTTGGCTTGAGACGTAATGCTGCCCGAATTGCTCCCTTCCGATCGGGCTGGTCTGGCTTTGTCAGGTCGCAACAACCGAGCCCCGCCGATACCCCGCCAAAAAAAGCTCACCACTTCACAATCATACCCTTCCAACCTCGGACGTATACAGTCTGCGTTGCTGTTCAGGTTCTTGACCGAAACCCGTCATCCTTTACCCACCTGCTTCCGGAATACTAATCTGGCCCTGCTCCCACAGTTACAGTGAAATCCTACTCGCGAAACCAATCTCCAACGAGCCACAAAAATACAGAAGCGCAGTTAGGTGACTCCTAAAAGATTATTCTGGACAAATTCGAATATCTTCTACCGGAAGACTTCCCAAATCATGGCTGAGAAAAGTGAAGTGATAACACTGGATGCCGCCCCTCAAGACGATGAGCGTCTTAGGAAGATGGTCCAAGAGAAGGTGGGCAATGTCCTGCATCTTTTAATCCTCTTACTAAAATAATAAAACAGGTCAAAAAAAATGTTGCCCTCGACAAAGATTGGACTGTCGGCGGCAACCTCGAAAGCATCGATCATTCAATACCCGCGCTGCTTTTGAGGAAAGATGGTGCATGGGGTGCCGTTAGGGTCGACACTAGCCCTGTGTTGAATGAGGTTTCAGGGCCAGGAATGGACCCTGGAATTGCCTTGATTCTGATCAAACCTGGCGAAACCTGCAGGTTTTATCAAAGTCCCTCAGTTCGATACTTCCGGTACGCCAGTTAGATCACGCGCGACTCGAATATATTTGACCAACGCCTCACTTGCTCTAAGAGAAAGTTCAATGCGTGCGGTCCGCTCTGAGGAGTCGTCGAGGTTTATATCGATCCATGGCAATGGCGATCCAAATAAGGGACACATCAGTTTCAACCTTGGCGAACCAAGTTCATACTTTTGGAAAAAGTTCAAAAGCTCCGCGAACTCAACATCGACAACCGTGGGAGGAGGCTGATTCGTGGAAGAGTAATCCTTCGGCATATCTGCTATTTGTATTAGTGATCTTTTCGTTGAGGAGCGATGTGAGCCTTACCTGCTGTATATTTTTGTTTGAATTCATCATTGCAGACTTCCTTAGCCTTGATGCTAAGGCCATTCGGCCACTTGCGGATGGTTTTCCACCATTGACACACTTCTAGCACAGTTTCATCCGAGATTCTTGACAACCTCGTGATACTTATCGCTGTGGCAAAGAGGAGAAAAGCCTCTTCTCCCAAGCGTCGGAGAATGTCAAATAAAAGCTTTCGCGCCCGCAATCTTCCGAAGCGTTGTGCTTCGGATAACCCAGTCAACTCAGGACTTTCAAGCAAAACCAAGCATAACTGTAGTCGCTCATCTTGATCATGGAGCAAAGGACGGTTCTCTTCATCGAAAGTCATTAGTCCCTTTTGGAGAAGCTGCAATACTCCAATCTTCGGCAGAGCCATCTTCCGTCGTCCTGATGACGTCATACTAATTGTTAGGAAATATGAGGTATATGTAGGTAAGAAGTTGCACGAGGCAATCAGAGAGGATAAGAGAAATGAGGGGAAAAAAGTAAGAAATAAAGTAGGATAGGGTAGGATGGCGAGGGGAACGTAAGGGTGAAGACGAGCCTGTAAGAGTGAGGACAAATATATAAGAGTGAGAACGAGAACGTAGGAGTGAGTAAGAGAGGGTTTGCGCAGTGGCGCATCTTGAATAGAATTTCATGCCTAGCTGCTCCTCAGTAACGTTTTCTTATTGGTCCGCCAACATAGCCCCCACTTTGGTGCGGTTCATAGGCATATGATGCTATGATTGAAGAGGGTCGTGCGGATGCTATTTTGACGAACCCTAGACCGTTCAGCTGCTTGTACTTTGTCAGGTCGGGGCGGCTTCAGCGCAGACATCTTGCTAAACAGGATCACGCTAATGCAGTAGTGGTCACCTTCTCGCTCTGAGAATATGCCAATCTGCAGCCAATGATCAGAGGTTCCGGATATGGTGCAGCACTGGACGCGCCTTTGGCCGTGATATTCGCGTCTCCTAGATAGGGTTCCCCGCTCTGTCCAACGTGGCCATGTCGAGGTCAAACCCCTTTTTTCCTTAATTTGTAGTTGTCCAGATAGGAACTGCAGAGAAGAGCACGGCTTTACTTAAGAAGCCCGCCTGTCCCCTTGAACCTCGTGCTCAACCACTGCCTTTGTGACCGATCAGTAAAATTTGCTGCTTCCCAAGCGCCAAAAACTGCTTATCTGAACCGCTTCTCTCAAGCGTATACCCTCTTGTTGGAGTCATTTCAAGTACAGTACACGTGCCCTCTATTCCAGATCGGTGGACTCCTAACCTAATACCTGCATAGTCTCTGCCTCCGCCATGACTTCTGAATCCGATATAACTGTTCCCGTGGACGCGATCACTTGTTGTACATGCGGACAGGACAAGAGCTTTGTGCATGCAGACTGTGGCGCTTGTTATTCTTGTTGCAATTGCTCCAAGAGAAAGGAGTGAATGATCAGAGACGGGAGGCGAATAGCTGGAAGGGTATTTTTTGAACTGTCACTGAAGCTGCTTGACCAACAACCGGCCATACGGATCGTTCTGAGGATTGGCTCCCTGGGCTCTCCTAAAACAGTTTACGAAATCCACCGCAGCGCATAAGGGATGGGAGAGACCAAGTAGCAGAAATTATACATATACAAAAGACTCCCGTTCTGAAATCCATTTCGTATTTGCGATGGCTGGAATCCGCCATCCCTAGATATAAGGTTCTGTAAACTTAAGCTCCTTGGGAATCCAGAGATTGCTGGCGCCTACAATACAAATGTAATCCTTTCAGTGCAGAGCATATCTCAACATCATCAGAATGGCTCGGAAGGCTATAGGTATCATAATCAAGCCACATCTGCCTTGTTCTCGGAGATTCAGCATCTGCTAATGGTTTCCTGTGAAGTGCCATGGTCAGACAGATTCGATTATCGAAAAAAGAGAACTTACTCATTGCTATTGAACACTTCAAAGCCGGTGGAAATAATGAGCACAGGCCGAGCAAGATCGGCGATGATCTGCTTGACTGGGGCGGCAGCAAAGGGTGATATTACAATCGAGTCCTCGTCGATTTCCGCGAATCCTCCGGCACCGTGAGTCCCAACAATTTCGAATTCCTTCTTGGTCAGGATATCTTCTGCAACCTCTGTATACTCTGGGTCCTGGGCAAGTAACGGCAATGTTTCATTGCCACGGCAGAGTTGAGCAATAGTGAGAGCCATCGAGTGCTGGATCATGCAGCCCATCACATTTTTCACCTCCGAGTTCTCATCCCAAGAGTCGTGCTGCTTTTTCAGCCATTCAGGCGCGGAGCGGCAAAAATCACCGAGCCCGAAGCAGAGAACTTTCTTCACAGTCTTTGTACCAAGTACATCCTGGACCAGGGCTGCCAAGTGCTTGCAGGTCTTGCTATTCTGCCACAACAAGTGTTTCTGGTCAAAGACTTGCATAGGCTGTGCTATAAGCTCTCGAAAGTTTCGCGCAGTCTGATTGCTCCAATCCACAATGTAAGAGCATAGGTAGGTTTCGATTGGGCCGTTCGGTTGCGTTTTCACAAGTTGCCAATATTCTTGGTACTTGACATGGGGTTTCCTAAGGAAAACTTAGATTGCAGGCTGAAATTGGGTCGGAATACCATATACGAACCAGATAGGATTCTGTACTTGGAACATGGGATTGGAAATTTGGATTATGCCTCCATCGATTCGACGGACCGAGAATCGCTCCATCGTATAGGATTGACGCAATTGTTGTTCTATGTCTTCGAGATCCTTTCTCGTCCAAAGCCTGGCACCAGAACTGTACAGATCTGCGGCTCTTTGGCTACTGATCCGCCAATCTGTGCACCCGTAGTCGAGTGGTTTTAGGGTTTGTGGCATGGTGTCGTAGCTGCTGGTCGAGCAAGGGTGGGAACAAACCATGTGGTGAGTTGCCAGGAGGAAAAGCCCAAGATTGTTTGGAAAGGGGAAAAGTTTTTCGTGTATGAGGATCAGAAAAAAAAGGCTACTGAGCTGTGATACTCGATGATGGTCTGCTTTTGTGCATGGGTACCAATGTCGGATACAGCGGCAACGTTTGCTTTCAAGGGTCAAGAAAAAATCGACTACCGTGGGAGCTCTGTCTCCGACTACTTGACTAACTGCTTAGTTTAAGTACCAAGTAACTAGGTAAGGGGTCAAAAAAGCCAAGGCAAGAGGAAAAATAAAATTCCGATCATGGCGGCCCTGTTAGAAATCTCCCTTCCCATTTTGGTTAGCGCCCGGACGTGCTCAGAGTATATTAGTTACTGGCCCAATGGGAACGCAGTGTGCTTCCCAACTCTCTCAGGTCCTAGTCTCGGGCCACATCAGGTGTTACACCACATTTCACACCAAATTCTACACCGCCTTTATCCTCTTGAGCGAATCCTCTTGAGAGCAATTTAGTCCTGTGACGTCTAACCAAAGAGCAAATGCCAGATAAGAGAGACGACGTCATATGAAGCCCCTCTTCGTACTGCACCCTTCCTATAACGGTCGTCCTAGTCCTAGCCTAGTCATGAAAACGCACAAGGCATACAGGGCTCTATGTGCAATAGGCTCTTTGTGGAAGAGGGCGTCGTATGAAATGGAGGTCCAACAAGACTAGGGAGTCCAGGAAGACCAGGGAGTCAAGACCAGAGGCCGTGGTCTCGTTGCCTGCTGCGGAAGTGGGTCACTGCAGGAGTGACGTGACCCACCCACTGCCGATCGCAGTGGGCGAAGACACCTCACTCCATTGGTCAACTAGGCTCAATGCCTGCTGAAGCGGGTCACGATCGAGAGTGATCTACTGCGGTGGCCTCCTATTCGTCGGTCGTTGTTTGGCAAGACTCCCCTGCGGACACTAACCGTGGCTGAGCTTGGGGCGGGCCGCAGGGAAACCTATTCCACAGTGATTTAAGAGTTGCTCTTTCCTCACCCATTCAAGCTTTGAAACATGCAGACTTCCCACTCAACGTTTACAGTATGTGTGTGTGTGTGTGTAATTCATTTACCCTGACCCCTCACCGAAGTGATATGCAGGCTACCACAATTATATATACATCTAGAATACATGTTTCGTGTACCACTTCCAAAACGAACTTAGAGCCTCGTCGGGGCCTGCCGTGGCCTAGTAGCCCTTATTGCTTGTCTTGCTGCCCTCATGGCGCGCGGCTTTGAAATCGCTGTGACGCTTCAGCGAAGTCCAAGACAGCCTCCACCGTCTTAGCACGTGAAGCAGTTCCCCTTTCTCCAGATCCTCCCAATAAGGTTATCATGCTGTTAAACGCGTCCCCGACCTTCCCCCGGAGCTCTCGGCGTAGATCTCGGAGTGAAGGACAATCTAGCAGAACATGTATCACACTTTCCCGCCCCACCGCCAAGACGTTAGCGTGCGCCTTTTACCAATTGCATCTGCTACAGTATACTGTATCAGCGAAGAACCTATAGTACCCCGTACTTCGAGAAACCACCGTGTCTCCTCCCGCGGTTACTACATAATCTGCGCAAAAGCTTTCCGCACTGCCAACCGGACTCGGTCACAGCCATTCAATTTCCGCTTGTGCTGGCATTGTACTGAATGTACTAGTGTATTGAGTCATTTTTCAAGTATTTTTAAATCACAAGAGATTCATCAAATCCTCATTGTCGACGATGCGTAGTAACTAGACAGATACTGAATTAATGCGTGAACAAATCAGCTGTCACCTGTGGATGACCCCGCACATTAGGTAGAGATGCGGCCAGAGGATGGATACAGGCCGATTTTCTCCATGACTTCATTTACCTGCTGTACATCTTCGTTGGAATCAACCCAAACTGCACCAAGAATAGCTTCCATGGTGGTGGCCAATGTGCTATCTGGCACATGCCTTTCTAGGTCTGGTCTTTGGTGGATAAATCTCTGCAAATCCAAGACTCTAGCCATAGAGGCTAGCTGCTTGTTGCAGGCGTAAGTCTGAAGCAGACTTGTCCCTTGCTCTGTTTATATTAGCCTGATGTCAAATCTTGAAGGGGTAAACATACCTGTGGTGTTGCCTTCACGATACCAACGACGAAGCAGCATAAGGGCGAGTATTTTGTCTCCTACTAAGGCGAGCCGCTCATTTCCTGCTGATGATAGCCCTGACTCTTCTAAAGCCTCTTCCAGCAATCCTTGGTCATGGAAATGATGTCCAATCACTTTCTCAAATTCTGGACTGGATTCTTGTCCCATAGTCTTCAGTCTGATTGTAGTTTGTACAGTAAAAGGTGCAAACCGATTTTTGAAAGTCATCGTGAGCTATATAAAAGATTTCATGGGGTCTCTGTAATAATGACGTTAGTATGAGCATTAGATAAAGGTGAACTGTCGTTCGTATCTGGTAGTCTACTTCATACCATGGTTGAAATGGCAAATTATAACCTTATCAAGCAAATTGGTAGGCGGTCTGCAAGGCAGAAATGCCTGACGACCAGCTCCTTAACTAGAGCTAGGTTATTAAGGCGAGGAACTATAAGTGATTTTGGAGATAGTGTACCTGACCTGTGAAGATTGAGATCTTTCTGATGGGAGAGGATTCTATCGTAGAGGTTATCTACTCAGCGGGACTACAGTACCCCAATAGAATATTCACGCTACGGTCTTGGCAGCGTGTTACGGACCTCAAAGAAGCGCGGGGGCCGCAGCTATTTGAGTGACGACCGTGAGCCAATCATCTACGGACACTAAGGATTAGCGTTGTCACGTGCGTTTCGGTATACTTGGGCGTACCCCAGGGGAACCAAGGCAAAGACATTCAGGGCAGGAGCCGGAAACAGCCTGCGGCTAACCGACACGAACAGTACCCTAGTAAGCTTTGTAACTAGAAAGAAGATCTTAGGTCTTATATTAACTATAAGCTAAATTAAGGAGCCGACTATCTTTCGGTAAAGCTTAATTTTATTAGCTAATATAGTATCCTCGTACAGTTATAAGACTTCCTTATTATAAAAGGGCGTAGGTACTATATATATATCTAGAAGTCTAAATCTATCTAAGATTTTATATATATATACTATCTATAAGAGATAGATATAGCTATCTATTTAAATAATATTAATTCTAAGGAATCTACGAACTTAGCTATTATCGATGATATCGAAGGTCTTTTTAATTTAGTCCTTTAACTAGCTTCGAGTATTATCAGAAGGTATAATAATTAATATATTATTGATATATAGAAGGATATAAAGCTTACGTTTTATATTAACGAAAATAGAGTAATTAGCTTATAGATGTAACGGGCCAGAGCCCGGTGGTTAACCATATGCCATGGCTTTCCGGATACCGCCTTAGCAGAAGGGGGTCCGAGCGAGGTTCTAGTGGGTCCTACCCGAGGACGCTCTTAAGGACTGCGACCGACTCCTACCCCTTCTTCCTTCTTTCCTTAAGATTGTTGCAAACAGCATGTTGGCCTAGTACAATTGAATCAATTCTGCTACAGCCCTTCACAATAGACGCTTAAATTTAATAGCTATTAGAGCTCTATAAATAGTATCATACTACTCGCGAGGGCTTTACTTTAGGCTATATAAGGTTTTAAGAAGGAGGCTATATTTACTAGGCTCTTTAAATCCTTTAGGAAGATCGATATAAATTTCTTCTATTAATTTAGCGTTTAAAAATATAGCTATATAATTAATATAATATATATCCTAAGCGTATTAGGCTATAATTACACAGAATATTTTAAAGCTCGAAGCTTTAGCTATACTAGTATAGATATTGAGGTAATCGATCCCTTTACGCTATCTAAAGCCTTTTATAATAAGACGCGCCTATAAGTACTATTATCTTTAATACAGAATACCTATTAAAGTAGTAATAGAGTCTTCTAAACCTTCGTCTTTTTAGAAGGATAATTAACTATACACTAAGTACTATTTTTTAGCTATTTTTATATCTCCTTATATACTACTTTAATCTACTTTACCTACTTCTCTTTAGTATATTTGTACTTTATATCCTATTAGCTATCCGGCTTATATAGTATCTAAGCTAACTTTTACGGTAGAAGATACGGAAGTAGTTATAAATTAGCGGCTATACTAAGAGCCGAATATATTACGTATTTAATATTATTAATATATATAGCGTAGGAATACTTTCGAGACGTAAGATATTCTTTAGATTTAATAGCCGCGCGTATTTTAGTACGTACGCGTATTAAACGTCGAAGCGGCAGATTTTCGGCTTTTGTTTAACTTAGTTCTAGTCGAGTTTAATTAAGTTCTGGTTTAGTTTCAGATTAGTTAAGTTCTACCTCGAGATTATCGAGTCCTATTATTGTGAAGGGCTGTAGCAGAATTGATTCAATTGTACTAGGCCAACATGCTGTTTGCAACAATCTTAAGGAAAGAAGGAAGAAGGGGTAGGAGTCGGTCGCAGTCCTTAAGAGCGTCCTCGGGTAGGACCCACTAGAACCTCGCTCGGACCCCCTTCTGCTAAGGCGGTATCCGGAAAGCCATGGCATATGGTTAACCACCGGGCTCTGGCCCGTTACAATTATAGCTTAATCGAGTTCTATCGTAGTTTTAAGTCTATCGTATAAGGTAGAATAAGATCCTAAATAATATCTAATTCCTCGCAGAAAGCTTAAATATCTAGGTATTCCTTCGTATTATTACCGGAAATCTACTTAATAGTATAGTTAAATTAAGTAGCTAGGTAATTAACTACTAGGCGAATCTTCTTAGAAAACCTTACTTTTTACTTTTAAAAGGAATACCTAATAAAAGCGAGACGTATTATTAGTAATAGTAGCGAAGAATCTATGACTACTAACGCCTACGATAGAGATAGGACCCTAACTATTAGTATAAAGCTTCTAACTAGGCGTAGTCTTAATATATTTATCCTTACTAAATAGTAGGGAATAGCCTTTTCCTTAAATATAAGGAGGATAGGGTATAATAATACTAGAGCCCTTTTAGATCTAAATACTTGTGAGGGGCTGAAGCAAGACTTAAATTCAATCTGACTAGGCCACAAACTGTGTACAAAAAGCTGAAAGAAGAGAAGTTCTTCTCTCGTGTTCCTAATGTCAACATGCCAAGGTCTCGTGGCACACGTGACCAATATCGGGCACTGGCCCGTGACAATACCCCCTCCTAACCTTGTTCCTGCAAGGGGGACAATGACGTGGTTTCCAGCATCGATTTGATGGTGAATCACGTCCGAAACGGGACCGTGCTGTTCTTCAAAGGCGTCTAGCGCAGCACAGTTCTGGACTAAGTCCAATCTTTGCCACGTCGGTTCTACCCATCCTGTCCATTTTACTAGCGCTTCGTCGCGATATCCTCGCCCAATCTTCCTACGTCGTACGGCGAGGATCCGTTCGACTTCGTATTCTTCCTCTCCGTCGATCAGTGGTGGTAGCGGCTGCGTGTCGTCTATTATCTGGGATGGGAAGGGGTCTGTCGCTGCCGGGCGGACTAGTTCGATGTGAAACACTGGATGTATGCCGGTGGGAACATCGAGTCGGACGGTGAACGGTGATAGAACGTCTAATACTCGGTACCGAGCATGTAGCCAATCTAACTTCTTTGACGGTCGCTGCGTGCGTACGTTTCGAAGGTTCAGCCAGACCCAGTCATCCTTCTTGTAGACAGGGGCAGCCTGTCGTCGTCGGTTTGCCTGCTCTTCTTGGTAGTCCTGTGCGGAAGCAATCGCGGCCTGGGCCCAATCGGTGGCTTCTCGTAGGCGATTCACCAAGGTTTCGCCTGCTTTTTCCGGTAGGGTCAAGGCATCCTATAGCTGGTTTGCTTCTTCGATACCAATCGGGTCGATATGGTAGCCATAAGTGAAGAAGAATAGCGAGATTCCCGTTGAAGCAGCATCTCGATTATTAATTACCACTGCTACTATTAGTAGCAGCTCTTTCCAGTCATCCTATGCGTATATGGTGAATGCACGTAGAATCCGTTCGATCTCCTGGTTAGCACGCTCTGTTGCACCGTCGGTCTGTGGGTGGAAAGCGGTGGATAGTCGGCGTTAAATCGATAGCCTTTCGCATACTATTCTCTAGAAGGAGTTCACGGATTAGGGACCGCGGTCGCTCACAATCGCTAGCGGCATTTATGGCCTCTTGAACCTCTTCTGGTGGTCGTGATTTTCTACGGTGTTTTTTTCGAGTCACTACTTCCTAACGCAGGAATGCCTAGGCAATTACTTACTCGGGTTGATTCTGAGATCTGAATGACTTCGAAATGTATTCGGGGTATGTATATTCGTAGTCATTCATGACCGAGCTACTTGAACGGGTACCATTCCGTAGTTTAGGTCGAGGAATGGTGCTGTGATTTTGCTAGATGATAGTTGCAACTAATTTGTGTGTACGTGCCTGATTGCGGCTAGCTAAGCTGGGCTTCGACGCAAGAATCGACGCTTTTGCGGAGGCCCCTCTTCGACACTTTGTCGAATCAAATTCTCAGCCCGCATGTCACTTTGACAGGCACAGAACACCTCGAATATGAGTCGATAGAGCTGCATTATTCAATTTGCCAAGACGTGACGTCTAGCGAGGGCGATTATAGTCCTCCGCATATGGATGGTGGCACATTGAGGATATTGGCTTGGATGATGCGGAATGTGACGGCTTAGAAATCGCTCATCTCCAATCTACAGACGAGTCGGATAGCAAGGGAATAGGATAGAAGAATCTTCCATCCCTGTTCCCGCAGTTCCTGGTGAAGTTGTGATTTTATAGGAACCCGGGTGTAATGTTTCTTTGGGAAGGCTACGGCTCGCGCTTGCGTGCATCGAGTCCGCGCACCTACACCGCAGAAAGGTTCCGGTACAGAAAGATTCAGCTTAGCAATATTCTGCGCGCCTCCCACAATTTAGGAAGAGAGGCATTGTTCCAATGATATTTTGACTAGAATTGAAGATTCCTAGAAAAATTATTAAAGAAAACATTCTGGATTTGCGATTATGATACCAATTCTATCTCACCGGCTCCCTAAAACATCCCTACCTGGACTGAATACAAGCTGTTATGTCCGACCTCACTTCCGGAAGCCAGTTTGTTGCGATTGTTGGTATCCAGTAATTATCTTTCTCCCCTTTGAAAATGGAGTCCGCGTGCCCGATTGACCGAAGGGCAATCTGAAGCTGGGCATAACCGATGGAAAGCTCGCTGAAAGCAAAAGTGAACCCTTTTTCGCGAAAGGCAGAATATTGTTGGGCCAAAGTTTTCACCTTCTCCCATTCAGCAATGGCTTGCTCGAATGATGACTGCATATGATAAATACGGGCTGACGCGGTAAGTGTGCGGACATGGAGCAGCTGATCGCTGATATCTAAGCTCGGGGATTCATTGAAGAATCTGGTCAAGTCGGAGATTTTCGACCGAGCTTCCGCGAGGCTTGGTTGCGAAATCCTTGCAATATTCACATCCAGTGATGATACCAAAAGACGTCTCCGGGCCTTGGATAATCCATCTGTCGAGCGCAGTTTCTCAGTTTCTGCTTTGACCAGACTTTCTGCTTCGTCGATCTCCCCCAACGCACAACGGACATCCACAAGTGCGCAGATGATTTGATATTGTTTTGGATCATTGCAAAGCAGGCCAGGATGGCGGTAGCAGTCCTCAAGATAAGATTTTGATAGCTCCAGTTGCCCCAAGGACTTCTGAATGTCAGAAACCACAAGTGAAAGGTCAATGTGCACTCGGAGTTCCATCAGAGATGTGGCCTCTGGCATTCTCCAGCTTACTATCATTCTGTAAGCATCGTCAAATTTCTCCATCAGATTGAAGACTTTCAGTCGAGAGGCGAATAAATGAAGGTGCCATGCGTGGAGTCTTCTGTCGACGTGGTGAGTCCATGTCGAATTCGACAAATGATTGTCGATGAAAGTGCATGAAGCGGTATAGTCTCCATTCAGGCGTGCTAATGCACTTCGTCGGTGAGCTATTGCGGCTCCCAGATATTGCGGTAGTCGATTGTCATCTTCAAGTAATCGTTGAGCCATCGCAAGTTCTTCTTGACAGCAACCCGCCTCAAGCCCCGCTTTCACAAGTATGCACTGAAGGGCCTCCTCTTTAATGTCCACGGGTAGTTCTAGGTCCCTGACCTGAGCCAGTGTATACTTAAGGCAGGGTATTAGAGTCTTAACATCAGACAGAAATCTAGTTTGACGCAATAAGTAACCCATTAAGGCCGCAAAAGCAAGATTAGAATCGAGCACTTACCGTGGTTCCCATAATCTTTCGCGTGGGAAAACAAAACAGATGAGCTTGATAGCGAGGATTTTACGTCTGTGGTCATTATCTATGTGATTTGGAAATTGCCCCTTCAAACAAGATATGACGGTGTAGTACACATCGTTTGCGGTACCCCGAGATTTATCCTGTCTGACACAGGAAGACAATTCGTTGATCAATGCGGTAAAGCGAGAAGGTGAAAGAATCCTTTGAAGGACGGGATCAAAACCAGCGGCAGAAGGGCTGAAGATGCCGATTTCTCCATGGCTTGTCCACCGTTTCTGTTCTGCTCGGAATCGCAGGAAAAGCAATTCGGGAATCTCATGGCCACCAAGTGAGACAATAAGAGAAAGTAACTCAACAGAATCTGAGGATAGCCCTGGTAAAGCGAATGGGATCGGAGTCGGTCCGAAGGGAGAGTCGAGCGATGTTTTCATGACCTCCTCGTAAGAGCTACTGTCGGACCCATCCCCTGATTCTGGGAAAGAAATTCCCCTTTTCCGTTTCCGTACGACTTGTTGAGTTCCTGAGGGTCGTCAGCGGTATTAGAATCAGTAAAAATGGAGCTTGCTGGGGTGTTGAGCCTGACCAATCTCTTGATGTTCGTTTTCTTCGTCAACTCGGTCTACTGAACTTTTGTCGGCAGGACCGGTTCCATGAGAGCTAGAGGATCTACCAGCGACGTGTTCGTGGAGATCATCTCGGTTCCCAGTATTTCCTGACACTGGGCAGTGGTGATGGTTAGCCACGATACGCCAATACACTCGTAGCGGTGGAGCAAATGTTCTCACTCTGGATGAGCTTTCCAGCCTCTCTTTCAAGGGCTTCACAGGAAAGCATATCCCGGTTCTGGATCACGTATTCAACAATAGAGGTGGTTTCCTCTAACGTGTAAAGATCAAGGTCCTTTGTGGGCAACGCGCAAAGAACGAGCAGTGCATGTGCCAGGCTGGCATGCTTGTAGACAAGCCAAAGCATTGTCTCTTTTCTACTGTGATTCCACTCGCGGCCAGACATTGGTTTCAGCTTGACGCCATCTTCGACGATTGCTTTGGGAAACTTTGAGAGTGTGCTTTGCAATTGCGATTGCAGCCACGGATGCTTCCCTGAATTCAACCAGTTCGCCAAAATTGAACCGCTTCTTCTGATTGCGTCTGCTGTGCTGTTAAGGGATTGTTGTATGGGCTTCTTTTTCCTCTTGTTCATTCCCTTATTGACTGGACTCCTGTTGAGATTATCAGCAGCGCCACTTCAGAAAATAATGCTGACTTACCCTTCCTGCTTAGAACGCGCTCTTTTCACAGATTCCAGGGCGAACCGCAGCTCGTTCTCGACACTGACCAACTGATCCCATGACAGGTTTTCGTACCCTAGCGTCCATGAGAATAGCTCGTTATTTATGCTGATCAGTATCTCCGTGGAGCTCAACACAACCATTGCAACCAGACGGGTTTAGGACGGGTGAATGGAAATAGGATAGGGGGAATGGGTCTAGGACGGAGAAAACGAGCTCAGCATAGGGGAATTGCGTTTAGGGTAGGGGAAATGGGTGCGGGAAGGTAAAATGATTTCAGGATAGTGGAAACGGGTTCAGGATGGGGGGAATAGGTTTAGTATAGGGGGAATGGGTCTAGGACGGAGGAAACGGGCTCAGAATGGGGTGAATGGGTTTTGAGGTACTCAGTACTTTTGTCTTGCATCACAATACTGGTCTAATTCGGTATAATTTCGGATTAGCGTTCTTGGCCGATCACTGTGGGGCTGCCTAGATGACGGTACTTGCGAGTTAGAGAGGAATAGTGCGAGAGTTAACAAATCTGCCGTATTTGACTTTTGTCGACCATCCCGGTACAACCAGCATTAGTATCCAAATTGGGAATAACCTCGGCAATGTTGGGGAAACACTTCCCTTTTTGTCAACAAGACTGGTTCTACGAGATCAGTCTCCTAGAAAGAATCATTGTACGCATGCGTGCTATGTCATCAAATACTACAATCCATGTTACCATGAACCTGCAAATTGCCTAATCGTTGATCTCACTCATTGTAAGTTACAGTCTCAGAAAACGTGTCCCAGCAAGGACGCTCCGAATAAAGTGGACTGTGTACACAAAAAGCAAAGAATGAGGCCATAGTCGTCACCCAATGACTTTGGAATGATTCGAAATACGAGATATAAGACACCGTGAAAGGGAGGTTTCTTTTGCATTGAAGCACTACAAGTGCTTTCACGGCCTGTGCCAGTTTTTTCGCTTGCTGAAGCATCATGAATTCCATTACCAAAGCCGTGCAGGTCGAATCACGCAACACCATGAACTCTGCAATTGATGATTGGCAAACCGATGACGAACAGACAATTCCCACGCCTGGAGCTCATACACCTCTCTTTGAGCGCAAAGATCAACCATTACCCCCATTCGCTCAATCCATTCTCACTCAATCACTCTCAGATTTGGAGAACATGGACTCTGAAAACATTCCTTCCCCGAGCACGTTACGTCGTCTGATGTTCTCAGCGGAAGAGGAAAATGATGTTCTAGGAAAGATCCGCCCGCTCATGCTTGGGGAACGGGAAGGAAATTCCAGTCCAGTACAATCACGACCTCATCAGGTGAACAGAGGTTGGCCTCGTGGGGAACGACTTGAACGCACTCGCCTTGATACGAGGAGGTGTGAGAATACCGCAAATGATCAAAGCAGTGAATTTTGACAAAGCCTTCCACGATGGTGGATTACTTTTGTGAACGAAGAAACAAGCTGGATTGATCATAGACAAAACAATTATCTTTGTTGGACACTGCCACGACAGCAAATATCCGCGTATCATCCCATTAAGCATGCTGGATGATGGCGGTAACTGGGAGTGGAAGGATCACGAACTTCGACTAGTTGAAGGACGCACTGGTATCCAAACGGCAATTTGACCCAGCACCCTGACTTGACAATAAGAGATAGACTGGTGAGCTATTGTCAGCAAGTCGGGGAATTGATCAATCACAGCCGTTCACATTTCTTTCGTTGTTTGTTAAAGAGCTATTGCTGTTATGTGAAGGCCTTTCTGTCCAGAACTAGCCAGTAGTCACGAGTCTCGTCATGTTTTGGAGATACTCTAAGAGGGACGAAATGCTACTCCAGGTCATCGTGTACCATAGAAGAGTCCGGAAATAAAGCTTTCGCCCCTGATCTTAGTAGATATTCTCTTGAGTACTGAATGATTGAACTGAGAATCGTCTGAAGGGGATCCCTAGCAAAGACGCGATAAGTATTGACAATATACTGTATGTTCCGGTCATGAACATGAACCCAAAGGTATTTGCATAGTAGTTCCTTCGATCAATAAGCTCATTGACCCCGTAGCGATTGTAACGTTCCACTGTTTGAAAATCCGAACGTACAAGAAGGTCATCATGGCATATTTAATTTGCGTTTGAACCAACTGGACCCAGACAGGACATTTCGCATGAATGGGATATTTTGCCTTTCAATTGTTTAGGCAGCCTTTCGAAGATCTGCCCAGGTAAATCGTTGAGTGTCCTCTCGAGTTTGTCTCGAAGATAGACAACGGAGGATGGGAACTATTTCGAACTCTAATCTTAGAAACAAACAAATCAAGAGGTGTTCCGCTTTTTTTCCTTGATCCTTAGGAGAATTCGGTAAATGAAGGGAGGGAAGGATTCTACTGGCCCAGGGGATCCCTAACGTCAAGTAGGCAACAGCCATTCTAGACAGATGTTCCTCTGAGGTTTATTTATAGGGAGGCGCGATGCTAGGCTTTCCTTGTACAGCAAAAGGGCTAAGTTCGCCCGGGAAATCCCACGAAGTTCACCACACACGGGCACCAGCCGCCACCGTATCTGCCTGGTATTATGGTCAGTCTTGATCCCATGCCAGCTCTATTGACGGTCAAGCAACGAGTTTTTCCATGGAAAGACACACTCGCGCTATCGACGTGCTTGGAAAGATTATCACAACAAACATGGACCATGAAGGAAGGACAAACCCACTCATAATATACTGATTTACTAATACGCTAGCGTTACTCCTTCCTTTTTTTCTCCCCGAGCTTCTTATATTCGCTAGAACGCACATTTCCATTCGAGCTTTCTGGCGCGGAACGAGAAATTCCGGGTTTCAAAGAGTGTTCGAGGATTGCAGTTTGGCTTTCCTTTCCCGTCGGATCCCAGCGCTGGACTACTGGAGTAAAATACAGGCAAGAATGGCAATTTGCGCCGAAGAGAGCTTAATGGGGCTTAGTGCGAGGCTGAACCCAAGCCTCTAGTCGATCCTTGTCTGAATCTCCACCATATCAACAACACAAGCCCCAACAATGGATTGACTGACCACCGTCAAGAATGTTTTATGATTTTCAAAGTACCCGTGGAAATAATAACCTATATCAGAACGATATTGAAAACCTTGTACTGGCTTGTAGGAGGACATAGACCGTACCCGCTGGGCTAATTTTCATGCCTAAAACTGATTCGAGTGTCATTTGTATATATTATCCTCAAGGCCGAACCCACCGGTATAGCAATTGTGCGCCTAGTACTTTACAAAACACGGTTACCTATGCTAGGAACTCATCGAATTGATGCCAATGGCGTAAGACTATTTGCCTAACATGCAGTCCTCTCTCTGCGTACCCATCTTACCACAGGTATCACGGCTGGTTTCTATCTGTGGTTGGTGCAGTGGAGGGAGTGCTAATCAGCGGCATTGGATCTGTCTGGTCTGTCAGCTTTGTCTGCCCCTGGAAAAAAACTCAGGTCTGCTGGAAACACCGGTACAAGATGGTCTGGCTGACAAAAAACCATTCTAGGGTCCAAAGAGTGGTGATCAGTCACAAATATTAGTAAATAAGCCCCAAAGGGAAAGCAGGCCCAAGACTGCAAAGTGTGTACGTGTCCGCCTCTACACCCAGAAAAGCGGATCGAGCTTGGTCCGTGGGAATTTTCCTGCATGATTTCCTTGTGCTCACTCGGAAAACAGAACAATACCCTTTGCCATCAGCCTCATTTCAATTTCAATTTTCGACTTCTCACCTAATCGTCGAACTCTGGTCAAGACAGCGATCATTCAGTGTCTGAACAGCCTCTGCTCAGGCCTGACCAAGCCCATGGAAAAAACTTGCAGGATATGGAAATTACAGTCGTACTCACCTCGATATCAAAACGTCCGCGGAATATCAATCGCTATCTTTAGGTTCCGCATCACTGTCATCAAATCTGCTCATCTGTGTGATCGAGTGTAAACTCTGTCTACATATGGCATGTGATTCTGCCACTCAACACAGTCCATAGCTTAGGTAGAATCTCTCCCCACAGCAATCTCACTCCTCATTCCTCTCATACATCGATACTGCTGCCCCTACCGTAGCCGTATCTCATCAAACTCATGCCGCGATGGCATCAGGCCATTCGGCCAATTTGTCTGGTAGATCTCATGGTGGCGAGAATGAGACGGATAGGGTAAAGCACACCATCCAAATAGTACGCCCCACCACCAAGAGCCTCGCTTACTCAATTTGAACGATAACGTAGTTCACAAGCGAGTCGTACACACAAGCGAGCCGTACACCTATACGCCATAGTAAACGCGATATTTCACAACTTGATATTTCAACACTTAAGGGGTAAAACCGGATCCAAAGATATCGTAATACTTAATATATACCATTTATATATATTTACTACGTCTTGAAGTATTTTCGGATCACCTAATATTAGTATATATATCTGCATCGGACACTGTCAGCGTATTTTCATAATACAAGAAAATAAACATTTCTTATATATTGTAGAGGAGCTATTCTATTTCTCAGGCTGAGAAAACTTATCATAACGGAAATCAAATAAACCCAACTTCCATTTGTTGGTATCTAAGGGTCTGAAATATCGCGTATACTATAGTGTTTTGGGGTGTACGGCTCGCTTGTGTGTACGACTGGCTTGTGGATTACGTTAGTCCGCATCGGCAGTTCCTTTGACCTGGCCGCGAGACTCCCTCCGTTCGACGACAACCTTGCTGGAGGGAAGACCAATTATTTTCTTCACCTACAAATTCTACCTTTACAAGTCGACGCCTTCGACTCCCTCCGATGTAGGCCTCCGTAGCCAGCGGTCGGCCCTCATCGTCAAACAGGAAACACAGCCCCAGCGTCCGACCACACCTTCCCAATGTACTTTGATCCGATATTCGCACCGCTCGCCTCAACTTCTATATATCATACTCTATAAGGGTGATGTATGATTAGATCGGCCGACTCCCATCTCGGCCATTTGCCATAGCCACCACCACCCTTTTCTCCACGAGCATCTGCGAGTGCCTATCAAAAATGACCCCATATCCGAGACCACCATTAAGGATCGCCCGTTCGCATACCACCAATTATTCCAACTGATGATAGCTCCAGCTTGAGGTCGACTCACACCAGCAACCTGATCCAAGGGTTATTAGGCTCTTCTATTGGATTGAACCGGATTGAAGAATTTGGGTTTTGAACAATGAGAAGGATGATAAAAGAAGTGCTGGCTTGATAAATGAGCAAAATTCAGTCACTGCAAAAAAGAAATGCACAAAAATATGTACGATAGATATGTTCGCTAAATGAAGAGACCCTTATATCAAAGGCTCAAACAAGTCTCTGTCAAGCACCGATACGTCCGAGGAGGAGCTCAAAACGTTGGGGATAAAATCTCGTAAGGAATGGATCAAAGCATTTTGCTTTGTGTCATCCATGGTATCGCATCGACGCTCACACCCAAGTACACCATCCAGGGATACGAAAAACCGACAGCTCCAAGAAAACATTTCGAGAAGCTCTGCGTGTTCCACGGCGGACAAGGAGCAAATCTGTAAACCACGGGCACTGTGATTTGCAAGCGGTCTGGTATTGATTTGAATGCTGATATTAACAACAACGCCAGAATATGCTCTATAGCGCAATTTCGCAATTTACAGTGGGCTGAGAACAATAACAATTAACAAGACAACAAAAGGTGACTACCCGAAGCCTTCGCCACATAAAAAAACCAGCAGCGAAAAGTGAAATTGGCTGAGAATTAGATACGACAAAAATCCGCTGGGAATCAAATTTACACAGGGCATCGATCAGCCTGGTGCGAGGTGAGTCCGGATTTTTAACCAAGGGCTCTGCAGCAAATTCAAGCCACAGCAGTCATCGACACTGAGACTATTCACAGCGAGACATCACTGTCAGAAGATCGGAATAGGTGAAGACGATGAATGTGGTCGTGCGTGAGGGCCAGACGAACCAGGAATTGGCCCAGCGTGTTTGAGAATTGATACAAGACGTCGGACGCTACCCGCTCACTCCGAGATCGAACCGACTCTAACAGTTGCATCCATGCAGTTTGTGTCTTCACTGATATTGAACTCGAGGCTGTTCTCGATTTGGGTGTTTGTTCCCGATATCATGTTCCAGTCTATTGGTCGTGGTGAAGATGGTCTCTGTGACGAGTCTCGCGAACTATTTACCCACTCAAAGCCGTGCTTGAAGAAGACCATTCCCGTTCGATAATTATTTCTCCCGCTCGCCAAGAGACGAATCACCTATTTATCCCGGCCCTGATTCATTTTTGCTTGACGTTGAATCTTGTCCTGTTGGGCATCGAATCGCTACTTCAGCCGCATGTGGTTTCGCTTGCGTTCACGAAATCTCCTAGCGGCGTCGCTATTGGCTTTTCGTTT